CCGGCAGCTTCTGGCCCTCGGCCTCGAGACCGGTGTGGGTGTTCCAGAACTGCGTCGCGAGCTGTTGTCCACCACAAAAGTTCACAGTCAGTTTACCAACTTTTTTTTGAATAAAAAGAGAGGGTTAATTTACGAGGAGGCCACCGTAAACTTCAACGCAGCAGCTGTCGACCTTGTCAGGGTTTGCGCCGCAAGAGCAAGACAGGACGGGTTCGACTGTGAGGCGCGGAGGGTCAGCTGAGTCCTAGATTCTCAAGAGGTCACCGAGGTCTCACCGAGAGCGCAAGTGTGGTTGGCGGTGGTCAGGCCCGGGTAAAGGCCGGCTGCGGCCGTGCGCAGGAGACCAGCGACAGCAAGAAGTCCAATTGTTCGAGACATGTTTTCGAGTTTACAGATTGTACAATTCTCTCTCACAAAAGTTGGCGGGGACCAGAGGCAGGGGAGCAACAACGACACAAGGGACGTTGGATCAACTTGCGCAGGTTCATGACACTTTATATTCACTGTCTCCTCTCTATCTATCTTTCCACCTGGGGCAACATGGCAGAAAAAAAAGATTCCAATCTCCACACGGGAAGCGATGTTGGAAATGCTCTTGACTTGAAAAGGAAGCTGGCCAACGTGCAACAGTGCTTGTCAGGTCTTGTCAGCCGTCGTTGCCGTCGGCGGACCAGGGCCCATTTGTGGGGGGTAGCACTCCCACCTGCTCGAGATACGGGACGTGAGAGGTCAATTGGGTGCGCGCGGGGCGATAATCGGGAGAGTGGTTTGCAGTAGCGCCAATGCGATTTGACAAGGCGTTGTCGACTGTCGCGGTGTGTCTGTCTTTTTGACTCTGTTCAGGTACCTTTGCAAGGGGAATGGACCGCGATGGGAACTGTTTGGGAAGTGTGGCCGTTGACTACGGCGAGCTCCGAGGATAAGGGAATTGTTAAAGTCCAACATGCCTGCCTGCCAACCTTACCTTGCGAAGCCGAGTTCCTGGGACGTGATGCACTTGGACTTTCCATTCAGGTCCAAGGTCCTAACGGACGGTCGACCTCGCTTAACCATGGCCATGGGACCAGGGCAAGAGCGGAGGACTGCGAAGATGGGGATCCTTGATGACAGGCAGGAGGTGACAGAACTTTGAGAAACCTTTACAGAAACCTTGAAAAGCGTAAGTACCTACTGTGTAGGTGTCTTCACAGATAAAGTGGCGGTGCACCTATCTTGACGGCCACTGTGGCGTAAGCTCTTTCGGTCCTCAATTTTGGCAGGGTTCCATGGTAGGAAGGGAGGGAACACGTGAACAATGGGCCTCAGGAAGCTCCCGCACAGGCCACCTCCAGTCACGGGGAGCCACAGAAGGTGCTGTCGTTTCACACCTTACCTTCCCGCTTCATTCTCAAGGTTGAGTGTGTCTGGCAAGAACGTCCCAGGGAGCAAATTTTCAACTACACGCTTCCTCTTCATCCTTTGAATGGCGTCAAACTTACCATCTCATTGTCACACATCTTCTGCCGCTGTCTGCATTGTATTCGACTCACTTTTTCGTCTCGATCACCCGCGATTGTAAGACCACAATTCGATCACCTGTTCTACGTCAACCACCTCGTTCATCAAACTCCGCAATTTATCTCATCATATCCGCCGACATCTGGACACCATTGTAAGCTGCTTTTTGTAACTCATGTTCCTGGACTCGGAAAAGTTTGTTTTCTTGTGTCTGCGTCTGAATACAACCCGGCCGGCATCAGACAGGCACCACAGCTTGGCTCATGCCGTGATTCACCCATATGGCTTCAGTCTCATGCCTGCCATTCACTCCCACGGACGACGACATTGTTGTAAAACACTCTTCCTCTCATCAACTAGTCACTCATCTCTCTACTCCCTTTTATGCACTTGTGTTTGACGACATCCAGGAGTGGCTGTTCACGTATTATCGGAGATTTTCTTCAGTCGACTAACACCATCTAGGTCGATCCACATCACCGTACAGGCTAGGATGTCAACCGATACGCCGGTCGCCGCCTCGAATGGCATCCCCGAAGTTGCCACCCCGGAGGCAAAGCAAGAGCCAACGGAGGAGCTGGAGATGCCGTTTTCATGGCTGTAGGTGATGGCATTGATGTCACAAGTACATAGATCTAACAGCTCCCAGTCAGCCACACCCAATCTTCGTCATCGTCCTCGTCGGAGCCGAACAGAAGCCCTTTGGCCTCCAAAAGGACTTCTTGTGTGCCAAATCAAAATACTACCACGAGTACTTCAAAGGACAGAAGAAATCATCCGATACCATCGAGCATCTGGTGAAGCTTCCCCAGTACACTCCCGAAGTCTTCGGTCTGGCTCAGCTCTTTCTCTTCACTGGAGAAGTCTCAGAGGATGTCGAGACGTTTCCGTCTTATGAGGCTCTCATTGGTGTGTGGAAGCTGGGTCACGAATTGGGTATAGATGGTCTCTGTGATACGAGTCTTGACGCAATGAAAGAGTGCAGACGTCTCACTGAGAACATCCCCGCCACTCCCCTTCTTGTCCGGGTTTGGAAGGACACCCCTGAGGGCTCAACCATTCGGAAGCTCCTCCTCTCGTGGACGGCAGAGTATATGCGTTCATCCGACATGAGAGCCGACTTCGCCAAGTCTCTCCCTCAAGAGGTTCTGAGCGAGCTAGTTGTGACTATGAGTTCACTCGAGAACCTGCCTACGCCGCCTGCAGCACCGGCCGACACTGCCTCCGCCGAGCCTACTCCTAGAAAGAGTGTGCACTATCTGGAGGAGGACAGTGACGAAGAACAAGGACATATGTCCAAGAAGAACCGGCGGTCCTCTGCGCCGTTACCCGCTTCTCAAAACAGAGACAAGGCCTTTTCCCGCGCGCCACCTCCCCCGGTCCGCAAGGCCGCGGCTGTAGCGGCTGCAGCAGCGGCACCCCGTCAAAAGCCCGTTATCCAGAAACGACGCAGCATTGTTTCGGCACCAAGCGGCGAGATCACGACCGAGAAGAAGGTCGAGTTCTGTTCCGATCTGCTTGACAGAATGCTATCAGGACCTGGTGTGTTATGCCTGGCCGAATCATTCCATGTAGTCACGCAAACTGACCCATCACAGGCTTTTGGACGAGACTCGTTGGCCCATTCAAGGAACCTGTCGATCCTAATGAGGATGGCGTGCCCGATTACCTTTTGAAGGTGAAGAAACCCATGGACTTGAACACAGTCAAGCTCAAGATGTCGCAACACCAGTACCAGACAGAGGACGAGTTTGCCGCCGACGTGCGCCAGATTTTCGAAAACTGCTACACGTACTGGAAAAAGGGCGATCCCATGTGGGTGGCGTGTGAGAAGTTCCAGCGCACATTTGAGGACAAGTATGCCCAAATGCACAAGAACATCTCCAAAATGCTGCGCGAGCCCGTGGACTAGACTGCCACCCCGCGACATGATTCTCTGGCTGATGGTGCGAATCATGCATGATATGGATTGGGGCTTCACGTGTATGATATTTCATGAGAGGACGGACGACAGTTGTCTTATCCTTGGGCGCGCTGTTCATCTTGGTGGGGGAGCGCGATAAGGGCGTGCTATATAATGTGTATCGTTAGGGACAGGGTGCAGGGGATTTGTGAGTAGGAGTGGATTGCTTTCGGGGAGGATAATACCCAGACTGACCTCGAGCAGCGCAAGATAGACCTACCTAGCTAGCTATGCCATATCACATGTATTCGTACTCAACCTAAGGTAGACTCGCTAAGCGACATTATACGGATGCAAAGCTGAAAGCTTGTCGCTCTGTTCATCTCACGTGTCCACGTGCCAACGCGGCAGCAATGTTGACGTCTCCACTTCACTCTGTCGATGGCGAGGTGAACCTCGTTGCCACCAGAGTTTCTTCGCAACCGCCCTCATCGTCGTCTGTGTAATTCGTGTCAACTTGTCAAGTACCGAAAGAGGTAGCACGTGCCCTGGTGTCATGAGAGTTGGGCACTGACAATCGAGGGATTATTTTGATTAGATCCCAACAAATCGTCGGGCACAATAGTCAAGTCCTAGCCAGTCCATTACTCATTCCATCAAACCAATACTCTGGCCATTTGATGAGGTATTTTGGCGTCCCGAAAAAGGAGGCGTCGTTTCCTCCATCCCTCCCTCCCGCCGGCGCGGCTGAGGCTCTTGTGAGAAAAGCAGACGACATGCGCCATGAGCATACCGGCAGGCTGGGCTGGGCAGCGGGCGACTTCTCAGCTAACCCCTTAGCCTCCTGATGCATCGGACCGAATATCCACGGCGCCGGCACCTGGATTCGCGTGGGGAAGGGGATGTTAGTCTCGGCGTTACCTTTACGTCAGGTGAGGCTAGTCTCGGTCTCTGTTTCTCTATGAGGTCCATCTGTATGGTTGTTTGGTGTGCGCGCGAGTCGAGTCAAGGAATCCAAATCATTTTGGGTTGGGGGGGGGGGTTTTGATGGGGCTCTTTCTTGTTAGTGACACTGGAAGAGAGATAGCTTGGGGTGGATTAAGGGACTGGAACGTCGAGTCTAGGCCACTGAATTACGGTCTACGGTTTTTTTCTACCCCAGTTCCACCACACCTCGCCACTTTTATGGTGTCCCTTTTTTTTTTTTTGTCTTCTGGTTCTCCAGACTCCAGATTCTGCGTCGGCCCTTTCTGCAGCCTGGAGGAGTCTGGAGTACTCCGTATGCGCGTTCTCTGGAGAAACTGGAATACTGGAGTTCCTGGAAACCCCATGATCGGCAGACGTCAGGCGAGGAGAAGAGTGCCCATCGTCCCCGCGTTGTCAAATGTCTCTTTAGCGGGGAGGACCAATTCGAGGCCCATTGTCAATTTGTCACATGATGGATCGCATCACCGAGGATTTTGTGTTTTTTGGTATGCCAACTTGTGAGAACTTGTAGAGTGTTTGGTGGATCGGTCCCCATTGCCAAGAGATGTTTTGATAACGATTCTCACAACTCTCGGTGTTACAGAGAGGCTCTGATGTGATATGCACATAACATCGCACGATTTCGGAGAGATGTCCGGCAGGGCCCTGTTAAAGCCTCATGCCTCGCAACCTCCCTCCAACGAGACCGTATCTTCTAGAATTCGGCCGAGTCTCTGCCATTCCCAACGCTTTCATGACATTTCGTGTGTAACTGTATTACCCTCAAAAATTTTCACTAACGCCATCATCTCACCGCAAGCGAAAAGAAAACACCAAGAAAAAAAGCCTCAACATCCATACATGATACATGATTACACGCCCGTTAACCTCCAACCCACAAAAAAAGAAGCCCACTCGCAGAGCTACCCAATAATTCCAGAACTCCAGTCGTAAAATAGACTAGACCGTCTCTTCTTCCTTTTTTTTCGCGAGAGATGGTACCCGTAGCGCCATGCTAGATCCGGACAGGGCGAGCCAATCGTTCCCCCCGCGTACCTCCCCCAACCCCCAGTCCCCGCGTCAACAGTCGAACCGTCGATATACTCGCTGAAAATCGTCGCCCCGTCCTCGAGTCTTGACCCGCCCCTCCACTCTGGCACTCTCTGACTGCGCGTGGAGAATGTCTCGTCCCCACGCGAGCTTATGGTCTTTTGGGTGTTTCCCCCGCACCCCAGCGCCAGTTTTTTCCCCAAACCCCAAACTTGCTGTGGACTCTGTAGTCCCTCCTTCAACCTCTGCGGGCGAAAAAGCTGGAACCTCTTAACCATGGGGTCAGCTAGCGGCGTGGGCCGCCCACCTCCCGCGACGCTTCTTCTGTCAAGCTTCTGCGGCGTCTCTCGGCCTTTTTATCTTAGTGCCCCCTTGGCCGGTTTCCCATTCTGCGTGCTTGGCTGCCGCTGCCGTTGCCCAGGCCAAGATAAGGCACGTCTGTCTTACTAGCTTTTGTGCTTGTTGGTCCTTGGAATACTTCGCAACTCGACAGAATACCTACCTATTCCCAAGTGCCGGGGGGGGGGGGGGGGGGGGGGGGGGGGGGTGATACCTCAAGCCGTGGGTACGAAGCCCGGAATGAAACGCGAAGCTGATTCTGCTTAGCCATGGGAGAGGGTGGTTGCGGACTCTTCCTCTCCCGCTACCGCTGCGGTATGTCTGCCCCGGGTGATCAACATCGTGGCCTCGCATCTAGAAGGCCGTCAAGAAAACGACTAGAGAGCTTTGCAGGTTGTCAGTTTTGTCTCTAGGGGGGAGGCTGGAGCACTCGAGGGTTCGTGCACTCCGAGTTCCTTTAGTTAAGTTGATGATCACTTGCGTGCTTGCTCTAGCTAGGCCCGTCCGGCCACCAAATCAATGGCAGCGGCTGCGAGCTAGCTACAGAAGCTACAGAGACTACCGAGTTGATCGATGAAGCTTGTTCTGGTGTTTGAGCGAGATCTGTGCCGTGTCAGGGTGGGTGGTGTGGATCTTCCCTCCCTCCCCCCTTCTCGCATGCCGTGAAGGTTGTCAGTACCTAGTGGCAGCCAAAGCCTGGGAAAACGTGCCAACGTTGGGAACATTCCGTAGTCGCAGCCCCAAAGCGCCGAAAATTCGAGGTGAGTCGTATGCGACCAAGGTCTTGTAGTTCGGACCAGGGAAAACTCCACCTTAACCACGACGTCGGATCCAGCCAGGCCTAGTCACCCAGTCTAGGTATGGCCCTTCTCCCCCCCCCCAGCCAGTGTGGTGGCGTGGATGATGGGCACGACGGTTTCGCCGAGTTGGAGATTTCACCCATATTCTCTCTAGCTCCGGCTAGTTCTCCGCATCATCGTGGTCGTCGTCGTCGCAGTAGTCCCCCCCATGGGCATGGAGCCTGGGGTACTCACCACCCCCGGCCGGGGATTTCATGAGTATATATGAACAATGCGGCAGCCGCACCGAAGATGAAGAAGAAGAATTTCTCCATCAGCCAGCAGGGAACATCCTGAGCAGTAAAGCATCTGACTCTTCTCACTCTCACACACATACACACACTCGCCAATCCAGCGGGGGTTTCTGAGTGAATTCTCTCGCCTATATTCTTATACATATATATATATCCTCATCTCATCCCTCCTACTCTCCCCTCCTACTCTACCACCACCACCACCGTCCAACATTCCCGAACTCCGATCACCACAATCGTCACAATGTTCGGCAAGAGGCAGGAACCAGATGTCGCCGAGGTCCTCGAGCAGCGCCGGCCCAGCACCGCCGAGGCGACGGCGCACCAGCACCGCAAGAATGTCTCCAACAAGGGCTTGACCGGCGCGTCAGCCTTGACCGTCAAGCAGTCCATTCTGCCCATCACCTTGGTCACCGTCCTCTTCTTCCTCTGGGGTTTCGCTGTAAGTTCACAACCTTTGATCTCCACTTCCCAGTCCATACTGACATGTAATCCTCCCTCCCCCAGTACGGCCTCCTCGACGTCCTCAACTCAAAGTTCCAAATCGCCCTCAACATCACCGCCGCAAAGGCCGGCGGTCTCCAGGGCGCCTACTTTGGCGCCTACTTCATCGGTCCCCTGACCTACTCGGGCTGGATCGTCCGCAAGTTCGGCTACCGCTGGACCTTCATCACCGGCCTCTGCATCTACGGCGTCGGCGCTCTCATGTTCTGGCCCTCGGCCGTCTACCGCTCCTTCCCCGGCTTCTGCGGCTCCCTCTTCATCGTCGGCTCCGGCCTCTCCACCCTCGAGACCTCGGCCAACCCCTTCATCGCCACCTGCGGCCCGCCCCGCCTCTCCGAGTTCCGCCTCGAGCTCTCCCAGTCCTTCCAGGCCGTCGGCTCCGTCATCGCCCCACTCCTCGCCGCCCGCGTCTTCTTCTCCCACACCGAGCCCAACGACCTGTCGAAAGTGCAGTGGACCTACCTCGGCATCGCCGCCTTCGTCTTCCTCCTCGCCGTCGTCTTCTTCGTCGTCCCCTTGCCCGAGATCACCGACAGCGACATGGCCCTCCAGGCCGAGATGGTCGCCAGCGAAGAGGGCCACGGCCAGGACAAGCCCCTCCGCAAGCAGTACCGCCTCTTCTTCGGTGTCGCCGCGCAGTTCTGCTACGTCGGCGCCCAGGTCGCCGTCGCCTCCCAGTTCATCTCGTACGCCGTCGAGTCCGCCGGCCTGACGCACTCCGAAGCCAGCGACCGCTACGCCATCGGCCAGGGTCTGTTTGCCATTGGTCGTTTCGCCGCCGCCGGCTTGATGATGGTCATCAAGCCCCGTCTCGTCCTCATGGTCTTCATGACGGGCATCATGATCTTCATCGCCTGCGCCATCGCCGTCAAGGGCGAGGCCGGTATCGCCATGCTCTCGCTCGTGCTCTTCTTTGAGTCGTGCATCTTCCCCACCATCTTCACCACCGCCATCCGTGGTCTCGGCAGACACACCAAGCGCGGTAGCTCCTGGATCGTCGCATCCGTTTGTGTAAGTTTTCCCATCATAATCATCATCAAACTTTGGGACGTGTTTGCTAATTCAATCAAATAGGGTGGTGCTCTCTTCCCCTCCCTCACTGGTCTCGTCGCCGACACCAAGGGATACCACATCGCCATGGTCGTGCCCCTCGCCGGCTTCGTCATCTCCCTCGCCTACCCCATCTTCCTCAACACCATCTGGAAGAAGGACCTCGACAGCTTCAGCGAGTCCAAGATTGGAGACACGGACGCGCATGGCGTCATTGGCGACCCGGCGAGAGACGACTCCTACGGCGACAAGGCTGGCTCCAAGCACTTGGAGGCACATGCATAAACGCCTTTTCCTCTCTCTCCTCACTATACCCTGACACTCTAGATCATTATCTCTGGATGAAATGAATGAAACGAACGAATTTGGTGTAGATAATAAACAACACATCGCCACGACGGATAGAAGAGAGAACTTGTATATACCCGTACCTTTAATTAAAGTTTATCCTCTTTCACATTGCTGTTCCCTGATTAGTTTTGGTGGATACTGAGCCTCCTGAGTTGTGACTTGTGTTTCCTAGGTGAGATGTGTGGAAGTTGGATACCGCTATCCATATATCGGTCTGAAGCTGAGAAGAGATAGGAGTGGTCTTCTCGAAGACATTTGCCAGCTGGAACAGAACACTTGCCTTTCATCATGATTACACGCCATGTGGCACGGCTGGGGGAGCAGAGTATCGGCGCTGTCTCTTCTCTGGTCCCTTCCCTTCATAGGTGAATAGTCATGATCCTCATCACAGTTTCCTGATATCACAACCTCAGTCTGGGCACCTTGATAGCTTTGAACTTGAAAATAAAACGGAAAGGAGTCATAGCATCCAAAATCGCCTTTCTCTACCGTTCGCCACATTATGGGTTGGATACCGGAATGAGTATCCTCATCAATGTCGTTTTCCCGAGGTGTTGGGCCTTGTGGTTCAATCCATGGTGTGGTCGGATAATCTTCTTATTGTCCAAAGTGAAAGATATTTTGCACTGCGATCATATCAGTGAACTCACCTGTTTGTTTATTTGTACGTATGTATGTAAGTTGGCTGCTCTGGTCTCTGGTACCGTCTAGATGTCGTGTTGCGTCGTCCTCACGTGCCCCCGGCCCCTTCCTCCAGCAAATGACCCCGGCCAGTCTTCATCGTCAGCTCGAGGATAGGTATACCAGGCATCGAGGTTGATGCCGATAGCATCGGGTTGAACAGGGAATTGGTAAAAGTATCAAGATATAAATGCCCTCATCTTGTGGTGCCGGTGGCTGGCATCTGGTCTGAGCTTCCCGCAGTAGCTGGTAAGAAAGACCTTGGCGCGGGGCGACGCTGTAGTAGTAGTTGCGGATAGCTTCAGCGGCAAGAGGGTTTGGTTTTCGGCGAGCTCAATCCTCGAATTCCGTCGGTCGGTTAGCTATGCGACGGCAAAGTCATGCAGTATCAGCCTTATCGAAAGTTTGGAAAGCGTCGGCGAACGAAGTTGGCACTAAACCGTTCGCCTCCCAAAATACATCAGGCTGATCGACGGCTCAATCTGCCTCGGCTACGGATATAACCCCTTTCCATTCTCGTGTACTGGCCAAGAATTTCTCGCATCGAAAACAACCCAAAGTCTTGGCATGTTTTCTTGCAGCATCATCAACAGCGTTATGTCAACAATACGCACAGTTACTGGCATAGTCCAAGCTCTTCGATCGACCTGAGATAGCCCACGTCTGTTCGTATGAACCTGATAGCACCATCGTCCAAAGTACGATTGAGTTTAAGCCCAGTTCGCGCTGGGCCCTTTTTGGACCCCTTTTCCCGAGAAACACTTCGACCTTGGGATTCAGGTGAGTCTTGAGGTTTGTGTGTGACACGGTTTTGACTATTGAACCATCGTATGGCTGGCTACCAAGGCAAGTAATCGTTTTGAAAAAGGTCCATCTGCTACAACATGTTTTCTCACCACCTTTGTTTCCGCACTCTAAATACGGAGTATGCCACCTAGAAAACGAACGAAATAATCCGATAATTTGGAAACAACGACGAGACGTTGGAGCTTAGCGTCGTTCTACGTCGCGTTAGGCCAGCAACAGAAGTAAAAGGCCGGCCAGCCAAGTTTTGGGTTTGAGCCGGACTCGAGGCCATCCGGCGTCTATCGACCGTGCTAATTCGTGATGTGATGGTGGTGGTGGTGGTGTGTGTGTGTGTGTGTGCGTGTGTGTCTTGTCATCTCCAGATTTGTGCCATGGATCGTGGGCTTGTGGTTCACTGACACCTTAGGTATCCGTTTCTGGACGTCCACGAAATTGGACGTGATGATAATCGGCGGAGCTTTCCCTTAAAGAGAGGCACATAGAGCAAGTCAATGGCAAAGATGGGCGAAAAGGGATTGGGTTGGATTTGGGGGTCCAAGGATGGGGAAACCTGGCAAAAGCAACGTCATGTTGCAATTTCCAGATCCCTAGGTGCATTGAGCCATCTTCTCATTTGCCCATTGGATCCGTGATGCGTATCCGTACATTTCCCAATTACCTACCCTCTTTACCGCCGCTAAGAAGGTACATATGGTTAAACCTGGTGAGGTGGGTGTTGCTCGTTGAGAAAAAAGAGTTGACCTACTAAGCGAACGGGCGAATCAGCATCGGGACGCCACCTGAAACGGCGTCTGATGGTTCGTCAGATGACCGAGCTGGTGGGGGCCGAGAAGGAAGACAGAGAGGTTCGCAGCAGATACCGGTACCTACCTTGAGGTACTGGAATGGAAGCCAGTGCACGTGAGTGAGTGGGCGGTACGTTGCTGATGGTGACTAAGGGAATCTTATCCAGACGATTGGCGGATGATGCACGTCTGGGTTGGCGCTGCAAGGTACCCGATGGTGGCACTAGCTTTTTCGGGACTGGATGAACAGGGGGCCCGGTGGTATCCACCTTGAAAACTTGTGCGACGGTCGACCCGAATCTGATTGGAGAGAGAGAGAGAGCACCCTGAAATCAGAGAAGAGACGTGAGGCTTGAGGCGCACGTTGAAAAATCTCCTGAAAAGAAAAGATTGGCTGGCGCGCGCCGCCGCTTGTCTAGGTACACCTGTCTCATTTCCCGCCTGCAGATTTCCAGCCGTTGGTCTTTCCTCTTTGGTCTCGTCGCGACTCCTGCCGTTTCTCAGTCTCTCTGGAACTGGACTGTCTCTCCCTGCCAGTGTCTGGTCTGCCCCTCCAAATGCCCCCCCCCTCGGACGCGACAAGCCTCCCTGTTGCTTCTCTGCTTCTGGGGGCGGTCACGTTTGCCTGTCTTTCTCAAGGCTCCAGGGCCCCCGGCACCCTCGTTCGGTGGAATCGTGGAGGCATCGGAGAAGGACCGCTGCAAAGTCTGTATTCGTACGAATAGACGGACTTGTTGTTGTTATTGCTATTAACAGTGGCGGTCAGCGAGGCTGGGTTGAGATGATGAAGTTGTTGCTGCACGAGAGAAAGACACAAAAAGTACGAGATACTTTGGACGCATAAACGACCACCAGTTCATCCCCTTTTCTTTTTCATTGCCGTCCACTTGAGACGCCGCACGAAGGCCAGTGCCACCCTCTCCAAACAGTTCCAAACAGGAGCAGGTGTCGGCCATTCCCACTGCTTGAACCTGGTGGGAACAATGGCAAGCTGCCACACCAGTCCACCAGTCCACCACCAACAACCTCGTCCACTCTCATCCAACATGATCCATTGGGGCTGCTGGCATCAACACCCCAGGGACGGTCTGTTCACCGACCAAAGCAAGCGAACGCCGACCACTGGCTGCTCTGCTGTCCTGGAAAGCCTCTGACCCGAAGCGCTCCCCCTCCAAGCCGGGGTCATCGTGGCTGGCCCTGTCGGCCAAGCGACTCCAAGTGGTTGCTGTCCAGGCAAATGAAATTAAAAGGAGGATCCTTCCGAATCGGTGCTGAGCGCACAAGTGAGCATCCTCTAGCCATCATCTCTGTCTCTCTGTCTCTCGCCCAGTCTGTCCATCTGCCCCGGGCCCTTCTTGCTGAGGCGCTCTGTTGGACTGGTAGTGTTACCCGTAGTCTTAGTGTTGGTGTTAGTAACCCTCCCGGTTCCTGCCCCGTGCCACCCTTCGCCTGTCCCGACTCATCCCCATGTCCTCCTCCCCCGTCTCGCGACTCAACTCCCAGTCTCCCACTCTTTCTCTCCACTTCATCTCCAGTCTTTTCGCTGTCCCTCGCTCTGCCTCTTGTCTTTCTCCCGCAACGCCCTTTGCATCGTCGCTCGCTTTTTAGGTCAGGCCCCTCCAGCCCAGTCACTCTTTCACACCTCCTCGTCACGATTTCACGTCCAGAGTACTCGTCTCTCTCTCTCTCTCTCCCTCTCGCTCCGTCGATACTCTCGTTGTTCGTCGTCGATTCACTCATTCGCCGACTTTTCGCGCGCTCTCTCTCTACACACGATCGCTATTGAGTCTCTTGTCGTTCGGAAATTTCGAACAAGACTCTAATCGACCGATTACCCGATCGAACCACTCCAATCGCTAAAACTCCCCCGGGAAATCCGCATTTCGCAATGCATATCCGCTCACTCGCCTCTGTGGCCTTCGTGGCCTTCGCCGCCCAGGCTTTCGCGCAACAACAGACCAAGATCTTCAAGCGCAGCATCACCGCCGGAAGAGACTTGGGTCTTATGCGCCGCGCCGACGACGGTTACCAGCCCGCCGACGAAGTTTGCAACAAGGGTGGTAACACCTGCGCCGAGGCCTGTGGAACCGGCTATGAGCAGTGCAAGTCCACCGACTCGGCTGTCCACTGCTTCAACCCGGCCGCCGGCGAGACTTGCTGCTCAACCACCACCGGAAGTGAGTTGATGCCTCATCTACTGTAGCCTGCACCTTGATGACTAACAAATCCCATTAGACTCCTGCTTGTCATCTTTCTACTGCACCCACGGCAGCAACACCGACACGACCTGCTGCCCTAATGGCATGAACCTCGCTGACTGCGCCGCAAAGCACGGCGTTAGCGGTCTCACCTCCGATCCCCCCGTCGTCGCGAGCACCTCTGTTCCTCCCACCACTAGCAAGAGCAGCACCGTCCCCCCGACCACCAGCTCAACGCCGGCACCACCCACCACCACCTCGTCGTCCGTCGTCGTCGTCACCACTTCCAGCACTCCCGCTCCGTCTTCCACCCTCGCCCCCACCACGTCCGAGGTCCCCAGCACTACCGAGGTGACCACCGAGATCTCAACCACTTTTGCTCCCAGCGCCGGCACCAGCACAGCCTTCGCCTCAGGCAACGGTACTACCCTGGCCACGACATCGACTCGCTCCAGCGCGAGGAGTACCGTCTTCCCTTCGTCGGCGACCACCTCGGCGTCTGCCCCCGATCAAAACGCCGGAAGCAGCAACGGGCCCGCCAGCATGGCCGTCCTCCTCGGCGCTGCCTTTGTCGCTGCGCTGCTCTAATTATGTACGACTGGCTCATTTGGAAGCACTGACCTGGTGTTGACTCTAATCTATTGCTCACGCATTTCATCCGTCAACACCCGGCCAGTGCGCCATGTGTCACGAGTGTAATGAAAACGAAGCAGCGGGCGGCGTTGGGCGGGAAAGATCCACGTGCTCTGTTGGGATGTTGATGTTGGCCGGAATTTTGCTGATGCTTATGATTCCCCTGATCACTTGAAATGTACGGAGCGGCTTGATGAAACTTTTGATGTGTTTTGCTTTTTTGGCGATGGTGTTTCTGGATACGAAGATGACTTTGGAGGAGAAGACGAAGAAAAAGATGGATGGCTTGGAGAGATTTTGATTCAATCAGCGCTTATATCCTGTTTTTTGTATTTTGTTTTTGTGAGCACCACATTTTGTGCTGTTCACCTGTACTTACGATTCCCCCCCTTCCATTTGGGCGAGCTTGGGAGACCTATATACTTTCCCAGCTCGATGAAGCCCAAAAGTATCATAAACCCTAATATCCTTTTGGGACAAACAATAACATCACAACATTGCACGCAGCTGGCTTATTTTCTCAGTTCTTGACCCCGAACGTGTATTCGAGATGTCTCTACGTTGTGACGTTTGAACTCACCCGGTTCTAGGTCTTCTGGGACTAACCGGCATCCTTTACTATGCTCTCCAATCTAGGCTGTCGTTGAAAAAAATCGAATCAGTCTAAGAAGTTCAGTCTTGTAGATGAAGGAGAAGGGCGGGCGGGAGCCAGGCTCAAAAGGCGGGGGAAAGAAACGGTATGGACAAGAAGCAAAAGTTGGCAGGACCATCCGGGATGGAAAGTCATCAGTAAGCTAAGGTAAGGTACTAAGAAGACAAAAAAAAAAAAAAAAAAAAAAGTTGCGGCTCCGAGAAAATTCCATCCCGTTCCGCAAAGATAGAAACGTGCCCCGAGGTCTGCCGGTGCCGATAATTAGCGGGGCCGGGTGAAAAGTGAAAGGCGCGCCCGGAGACGGACTTGATTGACGTGAAATCCTTCCCCCGGTCCGGCCCCCGTGGACTAATGAGACGGGATGTGGAGTTCATTGTTATCTCCCTACCTTCTGGACAGTAATCTTTCCGGATCCGTCCTGCGTGGTCGACGACGCTTGTGTTCAGCCTTCGAGACTAAGATGAGGTACGCATGCGACATGCAACGGCATTCCGCAGCAAGGGGGGGAGGTACTATGGTACCATCCACCGATGTGGCTTTTTGGTCAAATACCGGCAGTTTTGACAACGTTAGGTGATGCTCTTGGCGATGGGGTAGGTGTATTTCGCATCAATACCTCACTCAAAACCTGCCATCAGACAACAAGACCCAAAAAAAGTTCAAGAATATTTGATATTAGCGCCTGCTATCCCAAAATACTATGCGACCGGGTATCATAATTGATGCTCTCTACAATGACAATTCCACCTCTTCTTCCCTGTAGCGCCTGATCTGAGCAAGTCTCATCACAGTCCTTCATTCCATGGCCGCCAGAACTGGTTCCTGAATGTCGGCATACACTTGACCATCGCCGGCGGCTCCTCTTGCCAGTTGATCTTCGGAGGCTCTCCATTGTTCTCTGTGACGGTCCAAGCCGACGCAAAGCCTCTCTCTTCTTTGATTTGTCGTCCGTCTTTCACATTGTATGCCAGGCTGACGCTCGGTATAACGGCGATCTTGCCGTGACCCAACTTCCACAAATCCTTGCACAGCAGTGTCGGCTCGCCGGTATGGCACTCCCCTTGGTATGACCTCCGGAAGTCAATCTGCTTCTTCAGGAAGGGCTCCCCAGTCACCGCAACGCCTCCGTTCCAGCACGCAAACACCTGCAGCGGCTTACGGCTGAGGTATCGATCCTGAGAGTACGGGTGATTCCAAAACATATTCGCCACGTCACTCCACTGTTCTCCCTTGGGGGTTCTATCCGGTATCGGCAAGAACGTGTCGCCATTGATGGCGCGAGAGATCCATGAATCGTAAAACGATGGTTCTCCATTGTGCGGTGCGAATCGGAGGAAGTGGTAGTCCATCGCGCAAGTCATATCGGCTCCCTGCGTCTGCTTCTGGTATGCCAGCTCTAGAATATCCTCGGGGCATGCGGCAACGTCGTTGAGGAAAATAATCGTCGCCTTCGGGTCGTAGGCATCTGCCTCTGCCATCATGGGTTCCAACGCCAGGTTTCTCAGCTTGGCGAGCTTGCCGATACGGTCGCCACTATGGGAGTCGATGCTGCTCGTTTGTAGGTGATAGGAAACTCCCATTTTGTCTAGGTGGGATTTAAGGCGGTAGAGCGTCTCATATGTGCCGTCGGTGGAGATACCCTCGACGATGGAAAGGGCGCAGTTCTCCGGCCCGATGATGTTCATTGCCTCCAGAACAGCTCCTATCAACTGAGGCAGAAGATCTCTGACCTGTCGCAAGTCAAGAGCAAAGAAGTAATGCCTCTTGTCCATGTTCATAGTTGGCCGCAGTACCTCGTAGCGAGTAACGTTTGTCGCTGGGCAGTTGACAATGGGAAAACCGCCATTCTTAGGGTCAAGAATTGCCTGGACATATTGACTTGCTTCGCCAAACTTGTCTGGCCGACCTTCGTAGAGTGCTGGTTGGACCCAGTTGGGCGAAGAGTCGTTCATCCAGCTGCCACCATACTCTGAACCTAAGTTAGCACCCCGCAGTGGCAAAAGGGTTATCAGCGTGACTTACGCTCTGCCGTCCAAGGTATTACAAAGTATTGGACAAGCGGTTGGTGGAAGAGCAAGAAAAACCCGGTAATGAGGATGAAAACGATGATGGCGATGAAGGGCGTCCGAAGCCGCCTCGGATTATGAAAGTTCGCAATCATCGTGTATGTACAGTTCGTGTCTGGCGAAATCGCAACGTACTGGATCAAACGTGACTAGCTGGTGTGTGGCGGTGGCATGCGAGTTTCTTTTGAAGATGGCAGCACCAGTACCTTTGGGGGACGATGCCAAGGGAGTTATGAGCGCACGCCAACGAGACTGGATCGAGCGAATATGCAGGTTGTTAACTCTAACGCAGTGAAAGAGAAGATGCCAAGATCGATAACCTGAAAAAGGATGAAGGTGGGAGGAGGGGGGCTAGAAGTTCATATCAGGTCCTGGTGGGCAGGAGCACTGACGAAAGTTAAAGCAAAGGCGATCTGGAAGGTCGAACTCGAAACCTCCCGACAGTTCGTTCTTTCTGTTTCTTGATCGGAACTCTCGGCGACCCTGCAGGAAGAAGAAAAGGTTATGGCATGAGGACCAAAAAAAAAAACCGGAAAGGACTGGTGTTGGGATTATAGAGTTCTGCGTAGGCGTGTCCCAAGAGCAGGCAAGCTCACATGGCCTGGAATGGCAAAATGCAGCTGAAGCCTGTGAGAGAGAAGCAGCTCCCGCCGAGTTCCGTTATAAAAGGTGTTTAGGAGAAGAGACGGAGCCCGAGCGATGCGAGGCGCAGCGATCCAAGAGTCGAGAGCAACTAGGATCTAGGCTGGGAAAGGAGGAACGCAAAAGACATCGAGCGGTAAGGGGAGAGAGAGGAAGTGAGATGGAGGTCAAAAGTAACATGAATGCCTTGATGCCGACGGGACGGGGAGCACCTGCTTTAGTTTATGTTGGACAGCACGCACTGCCTTACGCACGCACAGAGAGAGAAGGCGGAGTCTGACTCTGGAGACTGAAAAGCCAAGAAGGACTCTAAGGAGAAGAGGCTCCTCTTCGGGCGGGCCAAGTGGTGTTCCTGGCTGTGTCTGGTATGTGTCAACTTGGCAGGATGCGCCTCACACCGCACACGTACCGGTGCGGATACCTGTACCAAGTTTGGCATCTGTAGCCAAAAAGGTACATCCCAAGGCAATAATAGGAAAGTAAGAATGGGCTCGCCCTACCCGGATGCACATCGTACTATGTGACCCTCGAAAGATCTCCACGGACCAGGGGGGTAAAGGAGGGAACGGACCCAGTCCCGTCGTTGCAATTTGATAATAACCTGTCAAGTGTCCACATGCGAATCCTGCCATGCCAGGTACGGCTATGTACTCTGCCCACTTCATCAGCTTTTTTTACTTCTTTTTTCTTTCTTCAATTCTGCTCTTCGTCTCACCGCAACGTACCGAGTAAGGCAATGCCTTTTCTCTCGCTCTGCGACACTCATGCTGCGCTGTGCCTTGCCACGGTCGTTGTTCCGAAGCCGGAGACATGTGCAGGAATGCGTTCTGCTGAGGCACGACGAGTACACACGGTTCCTGAGAGTTCCACGTCTCGTCACGGCATGTTTCACCCTCTGCTTCTCTCTTGCTCGCAGCCTACCTTACAGTTCACCCAAGTACCTCATCAAACAAACAATAAGAACAACCGATGACATTCACGATGGAATGTTCTGATCTGCAAGATTGGTTCTTTAGACAACGCCTTACTGACCAATGTTCCAGAGGTTGGAAGCATCTTTGAGGTGTAAAAAATCCCCAGTGTAACCCCAGATGCTCAAAAGTAGCCAACCAAGAAAGCTAGCTAGCTCATTGTGGCTTACCCTACTTTCTGGAGTCGCCCGGTCTAGCGGCAACATCGCCCGGCCAAGCCCCTGGGGACACGCATCGGCCCCCGGAAAGGTACATGACACTTTGGATAAGTTAACCACGACTGAGTGTATTCGTACGGCTACCGGTGGGAGTACTGGGACTCTGTATCTCTAGGCTGTCTGTTTCGTGCTCTTGACACATCCGCAAACAAGATGCGCGACGAGGTCTCAGACACACTGCGCATACAAACTCAACCCAATCAAACATCGGATCACCAAGAGGCACTAGTCCAGTCAAACACTTTTGTTTCCATCCGTCTGTGCCTCTTCGCATGGGCCAAACCTGGAGTTATGTCTTCGCCAATGCAGCAGTGCGTCGACAATGCACGCTCCTGTTCAATGTTATACATTTGACTTCTTTCCGGGATCGACCACGGCTGAATGGTGCCGATCCTCCCGCCCACAATCTCCCGAGGTTGCAGCTGGAAGTGTTTGCAAGACTGCAAGCAGCTTTTCTCCTTCTTGGGGCCTCCTAGCTAATGATGTTGTCCAGTAAGAAAAAAGCTGCAGCCTGGCACAGGTAGCTGGCAGTGTCACGACATTCCTTGTCTTTCAATGACAACTTCTTCCCTCGATACCACCCAATCCCTGTCCCGTCTGCCGAACAGCCAGGCGGCATTAACCAGCCATCGACGCGACACCGATCGGCTTTCATCCACGCTTTTTCTGACGAACTCGCATTCATGTCGAGTTTCCCAGCAAAGCCCATGGCCGGCTTGGCTTGTCTTGCTGAAACTAGCCGTCCTCGACAGTCGAAGGAGAGAACGTGTCTCACACCCTTTTGACAGCTGGGGCATCGGGAAATTCCCACCTCGATGAAGTTAGTCGAGGGTTGACGTTGAGGCAATGTCCCAATTTCGCCGCGGCCGCTATCCCGACCCGACTGGACGGGCCGGCGCAGCTGCAATCAATCGACTTACACACCCGAAATAGCACTATTCTACTTTAACTCTCCAGCTGCCATAATCAAGCGAGTGAGTAGGTATTGTGTACTTTCCCTGATCTATGCTTTTTACGCTGTGAATACGCAACGGCCTCATCTTTGAACCCTTTTCAAGATCATCATGAAAATACCATTGCGGTCGGACTACTCATTGGACTCGTCGAGTCTTCGGCTTTCAGCATCGCTAGACTGAAAAGCCGAATACTTCATGCAAACGAAGCTAATAAAGAGACATGAGCTGGACGGAGACAGTGGACAACTGTACTCGACGCGCGGATTCCGGAACCCCCACATATACGACAAACTACACGTGTACCGGGCGGATCACGCCTGACTCGCCAGTCCAATCGACTGGTGCAGTACTCGTCTGCCTTGGATACGGGGTTCTAGTGTATTCGTACGGATGCGCCATGTCCCTACGCAATCATATTCCATTGCAATTTCCTCAGAAGCTGGGACTTTGGGCACTGTTCTAGAGTTTAGCCGAGCCATGGTGGGCCTGGGCAGTTTCTACCTTCTACAGACTTAGCAGCTTCGTCACCCTCTTCGCAACGCTCTCCTCGAACTCGGTGACGCCGTTCTCTAGGCGCGTCATGTTTCCTTGTCTCAACTTGTACACAAGCCGTCGTCTGGGTACCCCCTTTTCGTCTTCATCCTCTTCGCTGTCAGAGTCCTCGATAAGACCCTCAACTGCTCCGCGCATGAACCACCGATCGTGACTGACGAGCACCACTGCACCCTCCCAGTCTCTGAGTGCTTCACGCATGGCTGTGACAGTCTCGTAGTCGAGATGAGTAGTCACTTCATCGAGGATTAGGCAGTGTGGTCTCCGCCAGAGAAGACGGGCGAGTTCGCATCGCACCAGCTGCCCTCCCGATAGCTTGCCGAGGGGTATATCGGAAGCAATGCGACCAGGCAGACCGAGACTACCCAGCACGCCACGGACTTGACCTTCATCCAGTTCCCCAGCAACTTCCTCAATGAGCATCGACAACGCCGTCAATGAAGGATCGGCCCGGCCCTGTTCTTGCAGAACATCGACGGCATGCTGCGAATAGTATCCCAGCTTCAGCCGCGGATGCGTCGTCACAGTCCCTGACGTGGGCTTCGTCTCGTCAACTAGAAGCTTAACCAAAGTTGACTTCCCGGCGCCGTTCAATCCGAGAATGCCAATTCGGTGACCCATATGAACAGACAGGTTTATATCTTGCAACACTGTTGGTGCCGCCAGCTTCGTCTTCACCTTTGTTGGATAGCGGAATGTTGCGTTCTCGACCGATATGAGAGGCCCCGGGAATCGGAGATCTAGAGGTTCCGGCAAGACGAAGCTCACGGGTCGCTCGTCCGGCGAAACATCAATTTCCTCACGGGCTGTGAAATGGTAGCCGACGAGGTCGCGGTTCAGCTTGAAGCGGCCGCCTTTGGCGCTGACCGTAAGACCCCATCGCTCGTCGAGCTTTTTCTGGCGGGACTTGGCCTGCCGCAGCTTGTTCTGGTCGTCATTGGCCTTGCCTGCTTTCATGTTGTTGGAAATGCTCTGCTGGATATGGGCTTTTTGCTTGTCTTGCGCATCCTTCATCTTAGTCAACCAGAGTTTTCGCTCCGACTGGGATGCCTCGTATGTTGGGAGATCACCGTGGAAGTACGTCAATCCCTTTTCCTTAAGGATAAGGAGATCACTGCAAATGGTGATGAAGTCTCTGTCGTGGGACACGAGAATGAGCGTCGGGGCTTCGTCCGTGTCTTGAAGAGACCCGAGGTAACGCTGAAGCCAGATGATGCCAAGCAAGTCAAGAAAGTTTGTGGGTTCGTCCAGGATGAGGATATCGGTCTCCTGGAGCAGCGATATGCAGAGTGCGGTCCGCATCCGCCACCCGCCAGATAGGCTGGTGACGGATTTTGACATGTATGCCTCGGAGAATCCCAAGCCTGTCAAGATGCGCTTGGCTTTAGACTCCGTCTCGGCGACTTTGGACGGCTCGACTTGTAACTGGAGATCTGCGAGCATGTCTAGTGCCTCCTGCGTCTCACTCTTGATGGTTTCGGCCAATATCTCATCTTGCGGCTGATTGACCCTGCTTCTAAGTCAGCAGGACCTCGGACTTGAATAGGAATGGAACCCACGTACAGCGATTGAGACTCGGCGACTTTCTTCTCAAAGGCCTTCAAGGCTTTACGTGCTGCCAGGCCGCGGTCTCCGCTACGTAGCCTTGCATTCTTGTCGACTTGGAAGAGGTGCCTTTGGTTTCTCTCATGACGGAGAGCGCGAATCGCGCGTACCGGGCCGACGGAGTCTGTGCTATTGATTCCATCGGACAAAGCTACGGAAATTAGTTCCAAGTCGATGGAAGGATAAAAGACTACGGCGGCAAACCTCTGATTTCTTGCTCGACATCTGACCGCGCAGTCGCCTGTTCAATAACGTGCTCCAACACAGTTCGGCTGCTCTGGGCGGAGCCATCCACCTGAGTAGGAGTAGTAATCGAGTCGTCGTCTTCAGGACGCACATCCGAGCCGGTGTCACTAATACTCGTTTGCTGGAGAAGAGATATCCGCGTCGCCTCGGGTATGCCGGGGATCAGCTTCTCGGCGATGGCTCTGAGAAGTGCTTGACGACCGGTTCGTGTCAATGATATTCGGTAAAGTGCTTTTTTTTCACAAATTGCTTTCGGTGGACTCACTCGATTTGCCTGAACCATTTCTTCCGACGAGGGCGTATCGTTGGCCGGCCTTCAGACGCAGCTTGGCGTCGACCAGAATCTCGGTCCCCTCGCTCCGGGCTTTAGACTTGCCCTTGGCACCACCACTGGGTTTACCAGCCGAGGATGTGACGGTGATGTTGAGGCCGTCAATGTCGAGCTGCAATAAAATACTTTGTCAGCTGGTCACTTGGCGCGCGCTCACTCCTAGCAGAATATTGGAAAATTTACTTCTCGATAATCTGCTGTCTGGATGTTGAAGCGCGTCTGTTTGCTGGTGCAGAGGATCGTGGCCACGGACTCGGACGCCATCGACGTCATTGCTGTGACTTTTTTGATTGGACGGTTGATTGAACTGAAGGAATGGATTCAATCAAAGCGAAAACCGTTGACAAGATGATTGCTTTCGATGCTGTGGCTCAGATCCGAGGTGCTAGGGGCTTTGTTCTCATTATATTTGGTTTTTGTTTCGTTCTCTAACTTTTGCCAAGGCTATCTTATCCGCCCCAGGTGTTTGCGTTTGCTTCTCAGGCACACCCCGAATAGTACGGTACGGGAGGATAAGGTCGTCCTGCCTTCCAGTTTAGTGGCGTTGTACTTTTTCCCCTGCAAAGACACTGCGTGGTACGTACCCTTCTCGCCTTCATCTCGGACTTGGAGTCGCGGACCAGGTGAGGAGGTGGTTTAGCTTGCCAGCTTTTGTTTGGTGTTCTCGGCCTCTTCCGCACAAAGTGACTCACGCCGAACACTGGACGGAGCCCTTTGAGACTCCCGGTCGGATCTACAAAGGCCCACTCCTCCCAAAAGAAGGGGAAGCCACTGCCGTACGGCATCCATATGGATAGCCAAGTCTGCGGAGTAGTCCGCCCTTCTCCCTTCCCTCCCCCGGTTACGGTTTTCGGCCGCGTCACAAACCCGGCCGGGGTGACTCAACCGCGGGACTCGACCGTCCTCGCGAACCCTCTCTTAGGCCGAACTTGACTCGGATCCGAAACATGAGCCGCCAAACATTGATGAAATCTCATAAAACTTTTCCCCCAACTCGTCCATCATAACAACGGAAGCGACGCCAAAAACTCCCTCGTCTCCCTCGCATACTCCGACTCCCCATCAGCAATCTCGTGAATCTTCAACTCCTTCCTCGCCCACTTCCTCGCCGCCCCAAACTTGCCCGACCTCGACGCCGCGTAAGAAGCATACTTATACGCCTTGCCCAAATAATCCACCAACCCAACCTCCTCAACAAGGCCTACAAGCTTCTCCGCATAGGGCAACACATCCCCGCCAAACGCATCGCTCCCGAGTTCCCGCTCGATAAGACCCATCAACCTCTTCATCTCCACCCTCTTGTCGTCGTCGTCCCGCGCCTCGCACGCGGCACAATCACACGTGAACCCCCACTGCGCAAGCCTCGCCCGCCGGGCATCGGTATCCTGCACCAGCGGCGCGTAGGTAATCGTCACCTCCTCGCCGGGGAGGATATCCCGCCCCGCCCAGATAACCCTCCGCCCGCCGACCGAAGCGGACCCGGCGTTGGGACGGCACGCGTGGTTTAGCTTGGCAATGTGTGGGAAGATGCCGATTTCGCCAGAGGACATGGTGAAGCCGTTTGTGCGGAAGACGAGGGCTTCGTTGCTAATGCCGTCGTCTGCGCCTTGGGGGTCGCGGTGAGCCGGGCAGGAGAGGTATGCTGCGCGGGCGGAGGCGTTTAGCGTTGAGAAGGCTTGGTCGACGAGCTCTGCGATGGCGGCAAAGGCGAAGCCGCGTCCTTGGTGGAGGGCGCCTGGGTTTATTGTGAAGAGCGGGGTTTCGTCTATTATTATGGTGCCGTGGGGGATGGTGGTGAGGGCGAAGATGCCGAGGCCTTTTCCTGGGGAGGGGCGGACGTGCCAGAGGCCGGAGGATGATTTGAGACCTGGGGGGTGGGTTAGTGAGTGAGTGTGAGATGGAGTGAGTTTATGAGTGAGATGAGGTTATGAGTGATGTGAGGTTATAAGTGAGGTGAGATGCGATGAAGTGAGATGAGATATCATGAGGTGAGGTAATGTGGCGATGTGAGATGCAAAGGACCTACTCGTTCCATAGCGAATCCGCGCTTCTTCCGAGTCGCCCAGTCCATCAGGTACGGCACCCTCATCAGCAAGAGCTCCATCTTCCGTACCGAGAACGCCGCCGTACTGAGATGTGTCGTTGTCCTTAATGCTACTTTGCAGTGATGCAAAAGCCAGCGTATTCAAGGCGCATATACGATCCCGAAGCTGCGCGTCATCGTTGTCGCCGGTCGCCAAGCCGCGCGCGGCGTCGAGGGCGCTGATGTCGTCGTGACCGCCATCGCATGCGAGCGCGCCGGCTGGGTGGTGTGCCGCGGCTGCGAAGGAGAGTAGCCACACGGCGATATTGGATGATCTCATGATTTGACTCTATGAATTTGGATTCCTGCAGAAATTGGTCTTGTCTCGGTGAGGGAGGGGATGAACACGCGCACGCCACGCCGAACTTCAGACGAAGGATCTTGGATCTGTGTTTGGTGATTGTAGTTTTTGTGGTGTTTTGGCTGTTTTCCAGTGAGGAGTATCCGTACTCACGGCCAATTCGCGCCGTGCCGTGCGTCTGACAGTATTAATCCTCCCAATCAGACTTCAATTGGTGCTGGGGAACGGGTGCATGCAGGTTGGCGTTGACAGGGACAAGAGAGAAAGTCGAAACGGATCTGCCGTCGCAGGATCGTGTCAACGCGGGTTCGTGGCGTTCAAGGGGCCGTTGCTGAAACAAGCAGCCTTGGCTGAATGATTCCGTCAAACCTAACCCCCTCTGGTCCTCTAATTCTTCGTATTGCGATAGCAGAATGAAAGAAAAAATTCGTACACTGGCGAATGCATAATTCTTTCATCGTTGGATACTTTGTTGCTTGATGTTGCAATGAAATCGAATTACTCTTAAAGTAGAGAGAAGAGGAACATGTCTTTGAGGTGGAGGGGAGGTTCAACTAGGGGCAGCTTTTGTTTCATCTCCTCCATAAAACTACTAGGTACTATCTACGGGAGCAATTGTCTTCCAAGCTTTTCTCTTCTCTTTCGCGGCAATACAAAGCCGCCGTATAGAAGGATACGATGACAATCCGTTGTGCCAAAAAATAGTTTCGTCGCGGCTTTCCAGCCAGACGACAGGCGTGAAGTAAGGTACCAACTTGCCTCGTTAGTGAAGACGCTGCGACATCACCATTGAGCCCCCAAAGGTATGCGAATGCTTAGGAGAAAGCTCCTCAGATTGTTGGACTTAGACATGATGTTACGAAAGGTCCATGTTTCGTTTGTCTCTGTAACTGGGATGTTGTCCCCTGTAGGTCGATACGGGGTGTCAGCCGGGCGCCTCCGGTATGTCTTCCGGGGCTGGGTAGACCCACTTCCCCGGTATCCGGAACCGCAATCCTAACCGTAGCTGGAAGCGTGTCCGCCGCAAACCAGGCGTCGGGAAAGAGTCATTTTATTCTGGCTGTTATTTGAGTGAAGTATCCATGGCCTGGGCGGGTGTGACTTCAAGAGACATGAGCAAGTTCAATTTCCTTCATGATGGTTGTTCACTCTGCCGTGTTCCTCCTCGCTAACACCCTTCACCGGACCGTCTTCCTTCACCCGCTACACCCGGCGTCATAATTGCTTGCGAAGATAAAGTGATGGTACTTCAGCAAGATACAGGAAGTAATCGGCCGTTATCAGGGCCTATTGTCTCCTCGTCAACCTTGGTAACAGGTTCTGGCTTCCACAAAATAGCTTGAGAATGACGGCGTGAAGGTCCCGTGCTTGTGGATTTGATTTCTACTTCAGTCAGCTTCTACTCTTACGGCATCGCCATATTAAAACATGGCTTAGCACTACAACAATAAAGTCAATATGGAAACTGCTATGGGCCGCTACTATCAATGTATACCAGGGCTAGGTAGAGCGACTAGGACGACTTGCAGAGGCACCCTTTCCCCGGGCGCCTAGCCTGGCTATTTTATCAGATCACCAGTTGCGTTTGTTGTTTTGAAATTCACGACTGAATATGAGGAAAAAGAGATGATTGTAGGGGAAGCCGCCTCTTAGGCATCATAGATGGAGCTTCTGAGTTGATCCTGCTTGTGATGCCAGCGGTCAAACGTAGAAATCCGAACCTTTAACACTATCAGGCATGGCGGTGAGCCAATGGCTGAACGAACACCTGCAAGATGTATTTCAAGTCGTTTCAACTGCCAGCGTGGTTCCGCTGATGGCCTCTGGTGTTGGAGCGATGACCGAGCTTCTTTCAATTGTGCTTCCTTGTTTAAGCCCACTGCTTTCAAGTATACCATAAAGGAGCCCCGCCAAGTAACAGATGAAGCCCTCGGTTCCCAGAGTCTAGAGGTGCGGTGTATCAATGTACTTGACTACTTGCTATACGTACCTAGTATGTTCTGCACACCGGGGGGGAAATTATTGATGATGGCGTGGTTCATTGCAACCGGCTGCCAAAAGCTTTGTTTACATGAAGATATAGCCAACGTACGCTCTATCGATGTCCATGAGACTGTATTCCCTCAACTACTATGACTTACAATTTTCTGCTGTTCATACCTCTATGCGCAGCCAAGTCTTTTCAGACTAGCCAGCAGCCTGGATCAGACGCCTCTTCAGCCTTGTGGATATCTCCGTTAAGCTTGTACACCTATCTCCGAAAGGACATCCTTTGCACCGCAGGCTCCAGGTTGATATACATACCCGCCGCCATGGTTTCTCAGCCTTTTATCCGTCTAAGTTTCTGATACGTGTCTACTTCAACCCGATTCCATGGTTCTCCAACTTCAATGCCGAAATTTTGGCGCAGTGGCCGCCTACGAACATGCTCACAACGCCCTCCTTGGTATCTATCAATCCAACCGGGTTGAGCACATAAGAGCACGAAGAGTCATCAACCGGATACCGTGACGGAGAAACATCTTTCAGAAATCTACAAGAAATGGTACTTTTCCTCTTCTGAAATTATTGTCTGCTCATCATTCCTCCAACTTACATACCACTTTCTGCATCTTCACAAGAAGTCAACCCAACCACTTACATACCACCCACTTACTACTCCCAACCCACTTACAACCCAAATACGCACAAATAACCTGACTTCAATTGTCAAGATGCAGTTCTCTACTACCCTCATCGCCCTCGCTGCGGCCGTCTTCTTCGGCGCCCAGGCCGCTCCTACTGGCATCATCAACAGAGACACCGGTGTTGTCAACACAGACAAGGCTGTTATCCCAGAGGGTGCCACCGTCGAGATCAACACAGACAAGGCTGTCATCTCGGTGGGTGTCGGTAAGGTCAAAGCGGGCCTCCCCATCTTCACAAAGGGTGAAAGCAACGTCAAGCCAGGTCTCCCCAACCTCAGAAAGGCCGACGACAAGGTCAACACAGACGTCCCCATCATCAGAGAAGGTGGCAGGGTCGACGACACAAGCGTCCCAATCCCCAAAGAGGGTTACGGCAAGGTCGACACAGACATGGGCAACAAAAAGCCCACCCCAACCCCCGAAGTCAACCCCGACCCCAACCAAGTCGACGACTTCACCCAACACTCGGGCGCCATTTGCCAGAGCAAAACCCATCCAGCCCACGTCCTCCACTCCTACGCGCTCAAAGCCAACTCCGGAGTCGATGACGTCCCCAAGGTCTGCGGCGATCTCTGGTACAACCTCCATCGCTTCCCTGGCTGCGCCGCCGCCTCGCAGACCAACTGCTATAAGGGTACCGAAGAGGGCTCTCTGATCTGGCTCTTCACCGCCTCCAACTTCTGCAATCCCGGCATGGTCCAGTCAACCTGGTACGAGGCGACTCACAACGACTATGGTGCCGCCGTGTGCGTTAATGTCAAGGAGTTGACCATCCGTTAAGGGAAACACACACACACACACACACACACACACACACACACACCTCAAGCTGACAATGGAGCTCGTGACTCTTGCTGCTTTGAAGGACTTGGGATATGGGAAGGGCATTGGGGCGTTAGAACCTTGGAAGTCAGGATACCCGGAATGATGGCTTAGGTTTTCCAGCTCTATGGAATTATGTATGGATAGCGTCTCTGCTCTCAGGGCACAGATCACAGAAGCGAATGGTTTGAGGCTTTGGGACCTTGAAGGTTGATACCACACAGATTGGTTTGGTTCCGGCGTTATGAGATCGTGTATGGATAGCTTCTTTGTTTCTGGGGCAGGCAAATAAAAGTCCTGCAGCGTTGATAAAAAAGGCTCGATGCGAGACATGGGAAACACCATACTGGAGTAGCGTAGAATAACCACATAACTACTATTACACTACATCCAAACCAAAGACTTGAATTAAAAGTGATCATCATTTGTGTGACATGAGTAGTTTCTAATATTAATGAACCGAGAGCTCAGCCTGATAGATCAGTCAAGTCATGGGATCTCATATCGTTCTTACGTAGTCTCAATCACAGGGCAATTGCTGAAGATATTTCGTCCCTGTCATATGTCTTACAAGGCACCGTGGAAGTATCTTTCGGACTGGTGTCGGTTGAAAGTGGGTATATTCGTGTATCATATTCATGTGGAATACTCATGTAAAATACTCACATAGAAGGCCTCATATACCCCCTCAACCCCGAATCCGTCACCAGCACAGCAGGCGCCCTCTAGGTCGGGGGTCAGGTCAAACTGTGGCGTGGTGGTGGAATGGTTTATGGTCAACAATCAATTCACGCCAACCAGCCTACTCGACGACAGGCTTAGCGCATACGAAGAACCCGAGTTCGAATCCCAGCATGAGCACGAGAGATGTAGCCCCCAGTTCACCATCGGGAGGGTGAACTCTTTTGCCTGGGCTGTTGATGAATTGTGCGACTCGACTTTTATTTCTCACTTATTCTACTGCCGCAGTGTCAATGATCTACCTTCACGCCGGCAAACAATACACGACTCTATACCTCTCTCCCCAAAGCACAAGAGTCAGATATCGTCCCCTTTTAAGGGGGAAGACACCTGGCATTCCAATTGGCCCGAGAAATTCTGACTTTACATCACAGCGTTCTCTCGGGCTCCAAGATCCTTCGTATCGATCGTCTCTAATGAGGCAGGGCCATTCATCCTGTCTAGCTACTGAGACGGTAGATCTCTAGGCTTGTGTAAGCGATCTTGTAATGCTACAAATCATTCATAATGATTTGAATGCTGTAATTGCCACTAATTCGAGCAGAGACCTCCCACTACCCGACGGCCTTGCTCATTATGTGAAATATTCAGTGTGTATCAGCCTCTCCAGGCACCGATCAGGAACCTCCTATTGTTTGCCCGTCAACGGATAACGTGATGAAATCTACCACCCTGCTCGGGATCTTGGTCTAGCTGCTGGGACAACTTGCCTTGCATCGGATGGGGCTTTCCCTTCATTTCGGACAAAAGCACTCGTTTCCGATCTCAGGTTGACATTGCCCAAGTTGGATCAAGGATAGCGTTATGGTCCCTCATGTTTCGTATAGCGAGTGACTAATTCAACGACATACATGCGGTCAACAGCCGAGATACCCACTACTGAGCATAGAATTTTCTTCAAACGCGACAGCCATTTTCGCTTTTTTACCCACTCACCTTACCCAACATGCCAATTTCGAGGCATGACGGCAATTGAATCGACTTTGCTTTGAACCCACGTTAAGATGGCAGATGAGATGGCGGACTTATTTTGAGTTTTTTGACGAAGCCCAGCTCAATGGTCTAAACCACCAATTCCAGATGATAAATTTACCCACGAACACAGACGGCATAATGGTAACGTTGACCAACGTTTGTTAGCTGGCGAGATTCGTGAATATGAGAATGGTCAAAGCCGTGCTGGATAAAATGGAGTATGGCACATACATCAAGATGTGGTATATATGCTAAGACGAATCCGCTGAAGAAGCTGCCTCTCTCTGTAGTTCATTCAATCCAAACAAACTCCTGGTTTAGCATCTTGACCGTTCCAACATTGACGTCTCATCGTCCAAAATGGCTCCCCAAGTGACTAATGTTGGCTTTATCGGCCTCTCATCCCGACCGTAAGTGCCACCCCCACTCTCTGTTCTTCAACTTCACGACAACTAACAAAACTTGCAGTGAATGGTCCTGGGCCGTCGCCGCTCACCTCCCCTACTTCACCCACTCCAAAACCTACAACCTCGCCGCCCTCCAAAACAGCTCCAAAGAAACAGCCCAGAAAGCAATCCATTTCCACAGCCTCTCCCAAAACACCAAAGCCTACGGCGAAATCGACGCCCTCGTCGCAGACCCGGACGTCGAACTCGTCGCCGTGACGATCAAAGTCCACCTCCACGCCACGGCCGTCGAAGCCGCCATCCGCGCCGGCAAACGCGCCGTCTTTTGCGAGTCGCCTCTCGCCCGGAACAGCGCCGAGGCAGAGCATCTGACATCCCTAGCTAAAGAACGAAACGTCAGGACTTTGGTAGGCTTGCAAGGGCGTCAGAACCCTGCTACCCTCAAGGCCAGGGAGCTCGTTGAGCAAAGGGGCGCTGGGGGACATTCTGCAAACGACGATATTGTTTACGAGCCCTTGGTTCGGGGCTACGTTCCCCGAGACGGCGGTATACGGCGCCGATATCTCGAATGGTGCGAATCTGGTGTCCATCTCGGCTGGCCACGCTCTGGACGCGCTGTGTTTTGTTCTAGGCGAGTTGAGGGGAATACAGGCTACCTTGGCGAATAACCGGCCTCGGGTGGTCGTCACCGACGTCGAGGGGAAGCCAAAGGGGAGACTGAGAAGACGGCGCATGATCACCTCTCTGTGGTGGGAGGCTTCCCGGAGGTGGGGTGGCGACGGCGATTTGCGTGGGTGCTATGAGCCAGGTTGACAAGAATTTCTTTTGGGAGATTACGGGCACCAAGGGGACGATTCTGACTGAGGGTCCCATGGGGAATATTCAGGGGTTTCCGCCGACGATCACGCTTGTCAAGGCTGCGCCGGGCGCTGTGTTGGAGGTTGTGGAGGTGGATGAGGTCAAGGGGTTTTCGGATAATACTGGTAAGGCTTGGGAGACGTTTGCGGGGGGACCTGAGGAGGCACCGGATTCTGAGGTTGCGCTGACTAGGCATCACATCATATGTTGGATGCTATCTGTAAGAGTAATGAGCTTGGAACGAGGGAGGAGTACCGGTAATCCATCAGCCAGACTGTGAAGGCGTATACGCAAATCCTCAGAGCCCAATTAGGTAGTGGGCGGTTGTCGGTCGTTGCTGCTACGATGTGCGGAATAGTCCAAGAGATATTCATAGCATTTCTTGGATATTGTCTGTAAACCAAGAGAGTTTGTTTGCACAATGCTCAGCTGGAGCAAAAGCCCGAAGACCTTGGGATCATAAAACCAAAGCTTTTTGTTGCCATCTTATCATACAGAAAGTCTATATCCATCGCTAATTCCCAGTTGTTGTACACGTTCTATTTATTATTCTTCTAGTGCCCCAAGGTCGCTCAATGTCTGTAGATGGCATCCGCCATCTTGACAATCTGGCACATCTCAACGGCATCGTGAACTCTGACAATGTCCGCGCCGCCCTGAACAGCCGAGACGACCGTGGCCGCCGTGCCCCAAATCCGCTCCTGAGGCTTAGACACACCAGTGACCATGCCGACGAAGCTCTTCCGGCTGGACCCAATCAGCCAAGGGAACCCCTCCAGGCCCGGCCAGGAACGCAGCTCGTCCATGTGGCGCAGGATCTCGAGGTTCTGGGCCCCCGTCTTGGCGAAGCCCAGCCCGGGGTCGAGAATGATGCGCCACCGTCGCACGCCAGCGGCCTCGGCCTCAGCGACGCGCTCGAACAGCTCGCGGGCGATTGTGGGAATCAGGCCGTCCGGGTAGTCCGTCAGCGAGTTCATGGTCGCAGGCGTGCCGCGCATGTGCATGAGGCAGACGGTGCGGTTGCTGCGCGCCATGTAGGGGATCATGGCCTCGTCGAGCTGGCCCGCCGAGACGTCGTTGATAATGTCCGCGCCCGCGGCGACGGCGGCCTCGGCGACGGAGGCGCGGTAGGTGTCGATGCTGACGGCGAGGTGGGCGAGGTCCGGGAGGGCGCGGATGAGCTTGATGACGGGGAGGACGCGGGCGAGTTCCTCTTCGGCGGGGACCTCGGGGCGTCCTGGGGCGGTGGAGCAGCCGCCCACGTCGACGATGGTGACGCCGGCGGCGGCGAAGGATTTGAGGGTCGAGACGAGGTTTTGGGGGTTGTGGACGCCGCCGTCGGAGAAGGAGTCGGGGGTGGCGTTGACGATGGCCATGACGTGGGTTTGGCGGCTGGATGTGAGGGCGGCGAGGGGGGAGTGAGAGGCGGAGATGGGGGTGAGTGGTGAGAGGGGCGCTGGTGAGGGGGGAAGCTCGTTGAGGTAGTCCAGGGTGAGTTTCCAGGGGTTGGATGCGTAAAGAGGCTTTTCAGGAATGAGTCTGGGATGGGCGTGTTAGTTGCTGTTAATGAGAGAGATGTTGAGAGGACGGACTCAGCCAGGGGTCGCAGGACGAATTCTCTTTCGGGAATGCCAATGTGAGGCACATTGAGACGAGGATGCTCAATCTTCTCATCACCGTACATGAGAATATCAAGGTCAATGTTGCGGGGGCCCTTTTCAATGAGCTTCTTACGACCTAGAGTGCACTCAATGTCCTGGAGTTCGTCAAGAAGAGCCAAAGGCTCGAGTTCAGTCTCGACCTATATGTCATCTGATCAGTCAAAAGTCAATTGGCATGTATACACTTCCAAGAAGTGCATGAATATCACAGATGAAACCCTGAGCCCATGGTTGGAGCCAGAGCCAGAAAGAGAGTTTGAGAAATGAGTGTCACTAACCTCACAGACTCCATTGACGAACCTATCCTGATCTAACACATACATGGGCTCCGTCTCCCACAAGCTGCTGGTACGCTTCACCTTGATGCCGCGACGATCCATCTCGGCGCAGGCCTGTTCGATCCAGGCAACGCGGTCACCGAGGTTGCTGCCGAGCGCGATGTAGGCCGTGCTCGGACCTGTGGGTTTGGCGGCGCCACTGCCGCATCCACCGCCGCCGCTGCAGGCGCATCCACAGGCCGACCGGGTCTGGGCGGCGCCGGCGGACATGACCGGCGACGGGGTCCGGCGGGAGGGCATGGTGGTTGCTGACCGGGGCCGGGAGCAGGTGAGTAGTGCGGTGGCGGGGTTGGTGGAGGAGGGGCTACCTCGTGACGAAGAAGTGCAGAACATGCGCGAGGAGGAGGAGGAGGCTATGCAGGATGTTGCTGCTGCTGGTGATACCGTCGTGGCGTGGGACCGGACAAGTCGCGGCGTTAGGGGCTGGCGGCACGCATCGTTGCTCCGTGCTAGGGCGCAAGCTCGTGAAAAGAGGGAAGGTTGGTGACGGAGGGGGATTGGGGGTTTCATCACGACGGAAGGGAGAGAAAGGAGGTCGACGGCAAAAAGCCCACAGTCCAGTAAGGTAATATCCAATGGGTTTGTGTGTCTCTTGTGTGTTGAGGGTCACTTAGAATGAGAGAATCTTTTCTTGCAGCCAATGAGGATTGGGTGTGCACCGTGGTGGTCCCTTGCGATCCAGTGATTAGGTAAGACGTGGAAAACCGCGTGAAGTGGCTTTGGAGGGGTTGGAATGGGAACCAGTATCTTCGTACTCCGTAGAATGGGCTGACATAAGAGAAGGTAAGCTATTCTGGGTAAGGAGGACGGGGGGTTGTCGTCTAGGATACCAGATTGATAAAGAGGTGCAGACACTCGTCCGTCTTTTCAAGAGGAACAAAGTCCGAAGTGCCGCTTGTGGTTGCAACGAGGTTGGAAGATGGTTAGATCATGACATGATTCGAGCAGAGAGTTTGCGGGCTCATTTCCAAACGTTCTGGAACGGATAACAGCGCATGGTTGACTCGGTGCTAAGACCCGCTGTCAGACTGCGTGCGTACTACTAAATGCTCAGGACAACTGTCCAGGTCGTCCGTCGCATTCGCTGTGCGATGTCAAGATGGGAAGAAACGACCGTGTCCGAAAGTCGAAGTGGGAGAACATATGCAAAACTCAAACGCGTTTCTACCTTAGTCCCCACAAGGCCTTCCAAAAACGACTCCATTTTCAAAGTAATCGTGAACATGGAGATGCTCAGACCGAGGTCAGGTCACCACCGGTCCGAGTCCGATCGATGAATCAATCACTTTGGCGGGGGAGGGATGCATAAACGAGTTATGCTTTTCTCTGCTACTGCAGTTGGCCAGTTGCTTGCTGTCCATTGTGCAGCGTGCAGCGTGCGGCGTGCGGCGTGCGGCGTGCCCTTGTGAAATTGTCCCGCTTCTGGAGGCTGGCACGGCTGGCAGTGGCCCTCGGCATCTCTTCCCCAGATCCACCCCGCTGGACTGATCCGTCTTTCCCAAACAGGCCTAGTTGCTGAGGTCACAGGCGACGCTGCGAACCTCGGTCCAGGACTCCCAGCAGGGGCGCATGGCAACACTACTCCGCCCCTTCTTCCCCAGAAACCAAAGTGCCTTTGATGCCGAGCGCTGCTACCACCGGAGCCCTTTAAACCGCCGATTGCCAGATCTCACCTCCCGCTCCCACAAGATCTACCTGCTTTCTCCTTCATCTACTACTCCTCCTCCCAGGCCAAATTTCCTCATCTATACAGCTTCACGACCCGATATACCCAGATCCTTTTAGCATTCATCATACCCAGTAACACAGACACAATGGCGTCACCTCGTAAGTAACTATCGTGCTATCCGGACCTTACCTGTCACATGCGACAGACGAGTCGCTCCAGAGCCGCTGCTGACACGTTTTCCGCGATCACAGAGCAAATCCGCACTCCCATTACCGATCTTTTCAAGATCAAGCACCCGATCCTGCTTGCCGGCATGAACGTCGCTGCCGGCCCCAAGCTGGCTGCCGCTGTCACCAACGCTGGTGGTCTCGGTGTCATTGGTGGTGTCGGCTACACTCCGGACATGCTGAAGGAGCAGATCGCAGAGCTTAAGGAGTACTTGGTCGACAAGAACGCGCCCTTCGGTGTTGATTTGCTTCTTCCCCAGGTCGGTGGCAGCGCCAGAAAGACCAAGTAAGTGCCCAAGTCTGCAAACTCGCGTCTCTCCAAGAGAAGCGGGCGCGCGCATGTCTCGCATCTACAAGCTTTAACCGAGGCTAACATCTCGTGCCTCAGCTACGACTACACCAAGGGCAAGCTCGACCAGCTCGTTGACATCATCATCGAGTCGGGCGCCAAGCTCTTCGTCTCTGCTGTCGGTGTTCCCCCCAAGCACGTCGTTGACAGACTCCACGCTGCCGGCATCGTCTACATGAACATGATCGGACACCCCAAGCACGTCCAGAAGTGCCTCGACCTCGGTGTCGACATCATCTGCGCCCAGGGTGGTGAGGGTGGTGGCCACACCGGTGACGTCCCCACCACTGTCCTCATCCCCGCCGTTGTCGACCTTTGCAAGAACACTAAGAGCCCTCTCCTTAAGGGCCCCGTTCAGGTCATCGCCGCTGGTGGTATTCACAATGGCCAGCTTCTGGCCGCTGCCCTGATGATGGGTGCCGGCGCCGTCTGGGTTGGTACCCGTTTCATTCTCACTGATGAGGCTGGTGCCCCCGAGGCGCACAAGGAGGCGGTCCGCACTGCCGGCCACGACGACAACATCAAGACTCTCATCTTCACAGGTCGTCCCCTCCGTGTACGCAAGAACCCGTACATTGAGAACTGGGAGACGGAGCGCCAGCAGGAGATTAAGGAGCTCACCGCAAAGGGCGTCATTCCTTACGAGGCAGACCTCGAGAAGCTCATGAACTCTGGCGATGGTGAGGGCAGCGGCGAGAGCGGCAGCGATGACAACGCTGCCGAGGTCGACATCGACGACGCTCTCGATCAGTTCCGTCCCTTCCTCATGGGCAAGGCGGCGGCTGTGTGTAACGAGAAGAAGCCCGCCAAGGCAGTCATGGACGAGTTTGTCAACGACGCCGTTGCATGGCTCCAGAAGGGCAACAAGATGATTGCCAAGTTGTAAATTGTAAAAGCGTAGTTTCTTTTTTTAAGTTGGTCGCATTTTTGGGTGGGCGCCAAGGGAAGCTTATGCCTGGCACCTCCCAGGGCCTGGAGTTAATGAGGCTCTTGTTTTGTATATTTGAGACGACCTGAGATGGATGATTGCTAGCATATCATGAAATGATCATTTTACTTCCACACAGCTTCTCTATTGACGCTTTCACCGGTGATGACACCCTTTCAGGAAAAGAGGAGATAAGCAAGATTCCCAAAATTCCCAAAGACAAAGAGAGAGAACCGGTTTCCGTCTGTGCTCGACATCGGACTGATATTTTTCCTTGACAAGTGGCCAGTCAGAAAATGGGACGTTAGTGAACGGCTGTGTCAAAAGTCGCAACGTGTTCTCGCATTCTCTTGCGCTCAAGTCCTGTATCCGTAGAGTTTGCCGCCCTGTTCCTAATCATCGCTCTCTCGCATAACATGATGGACCCTGGAAGGCTAAAGACTAGGTGCGGCGGAGTGGATACTTCACATGCTTTCTAACCTTGCTAGCAACCTCTCTCCACACAAGTCCTAAGCCGCAGGCAGACAGGACGATGATCACTTCGATACCCAGCGCCAAGACTAGAGGGCAACATAACTCTAGTGATGAAGTTCAATTCTATTCATTCATACTTATGTATTAGACCCAAACCAACCAAGCAAGTGTCAATCACTCCCCGTCGCCGGCTTTCTGTCTGTACGCCCTCATATGCCGGGATGCAACTCAAATAAAAATAAAAAAAAGTCCTCAGCATGCGTCGTCTTTTCCCCCGATCCCAACCTCGAGACCCCGCCACAACCCCCAGGCTCTCTGCAAAGCACATAAGGTATCCTTTTTTCGCGTCCGCTTGGCGTTGTCCAACGTTCTGCTTTCGTACCTTCCTCCTCCCTCTGGCGTATAGCATTCGTCCCTCTAAACCATTGAGGGGGGCCTTGGGATATGGCCGCTTTTCTATATCTCGGTGGCAAAGTGAAATTCCAATTTTCTTTCTGTCGTCCTCAGTGACGTTGCTGCTACTGTGTCATGCCGAGTCGCTCAGCTTCCGAGGTAAGCGCGGATAGCACCCTGCAGCTTCTGGCTGGCTTCGCCCGCCAGTTGGCCAAGGTTCTCCAAGTCGTCGCCAGCGGTAATACCGAATCTACGAATGAAGTCCTTGGCGGCGCCCTCAAGGTCGCCGTATTCCTCTTGCGGCTCATCCTCGGGACGACCAAAGTACGCGTTGGACGAGATGGAGGTCGCGCCCTCGAAACCTTGCAGACGGTTCTTCGCCTCGGCCTGTTGGTTGGGGTCGAAAGAGCCCTTGCCGAAGAACTCGTCAGAGGAGATACCCTTCTGGGCGCCGAACTTGCTGCGTGCGTAGTTCTCGCTCTCATCTGCATTGCTGTTAGTTTGACATCCGAATTGGTTGAAGCGGTTTCCTTACCCTCAGTCTTGGCCTTGATGGGGCCAACGGAACCGAAACCACCAGTTCCAGCCTTCTTGGGCGCTGCGGTAGCACCCTTGGCACCACCAACCATGCCAAAGCCCAACTTGCGAACACCCATGCCCAAGCGCTCCATCTCGGCGTCAGACTTTTGACGGGTATGGCTAGATGACCCATATCCACCCGAGGGGGCGGCGGGAGTTGGAGCCGCGACAACATCCACCTTTGCAGCCTTCTTCTCCTCTTCAGCCTCGGGGTCGTAGCCCAGCTTCTCGATGCGCTCCGCCTCTTCCTTGGCCTTCTTCTCAGCCTCGTCGAAGTCGATGAGATCAGCCGTGACCTTCTTGACTCCAAGCTTGGGCGCCTTCTTGGCTCCCAAGATGTTGGCCTTACGGGGTCCGGTAGAAGTCGTAGTCTTACGCAGCGCAGCAGAAGTGGTTACGCGGCCGGCCGTGGGCTTGTTATCGCCTTCGGCCTTGGACAGAGGCGAGGAGGATCGTGCAATGCCGGCTCCGTTGTTGGCGTTGAGGAAGGGTGAGGCAGTTCGGCCGACGGTCGGGGGAGTCGAAGTGCGAGAAATGGGGGGCGTGGGCTTCTTGATAGAGGGCTTATCCCAGGAGGAGAAGAAGTCGTCGTCAGGCTCGCCGGCGGGTGTGGATGTGTCGGCATCGGTGGCTTCGGCAATGACAACCTCGTCAGGGTATCTGTCTTGTCAGCTTGTACGGCAGCTATGAACAACGGTGGGTATACACACTCTTGAGCATCTCTTGCGGCGCGGCGCTTCAGCTCGTCCTTGTACTTGGTAGCAGCGTTGGACTGGTACTTGGTCTTGGGGTCCTTGCTGTTAAGAGCCGCGGTACCTCCATTCTGCTGGAAGAACTTGGTGGCCGACTCATTGCCGCCAACCTTCATCACGCGCAGCTGATCCCACTGCCATTCTATCGTAGGGGTCAGTCAAGGGGGGGGAAATGAAAGGCGATCGTCGAGTACACATACGGTCGAGGTTGGTGGATCGGACGAAGGAGATATGGACACCGAGGTTTCGGTGATTAGACGAGCAGTCGAGGCAGAGGTAGATGCCAAAGGGGACTGAGGTCCAGGTCGGGTATTTGGCGCCACAATCGAAGCAGATCTGGAGATGCGCAAATCAATCAGCACTGCACAACGAACTTTGGGCATAAAGGGGTGCATGGTGTTGGGCATACCTTGTTCGCAGGCTTAGTCTTCAATTTCTCAAAGATCTTGAGCGACTGCTGCTTGGAAGCGAGTGCAGCCATCGTGACGAGATTTGGCAACAATTCAGTTATGTGCTTCTGGTCCTGGAGGTGAAAGCGCAACCTGTTGCGGAGGCCGAATTATCAAAGGGAGCGGAAAGAGGGTGCAGGTTGCGGGTACAGAAATGATGCGCAAGCGAGAGCGAAGCAGGGAGCGGAGTTATCTGAATTTCGTGTCCAAAAGTTCAGGAGGCAGTCGCCGCCCTTGGGTGAAGTGGCATGTAGCCAGAGCGCTAGACCTAACGTGGCTAGATCGATTCCCCCACAGTGGGTTGGCAATTGAGATTCTGCCAAGGGCGGTCAAGAGGCTTTTTGCAGAGCTCGCCCAGACCAGCTACGGATACATGGGGAGCTCCAACTTTCGACTGCCGAGCTCTCTTTCCACCACTACCGTACCCTGCTTGCTGCGGTTGTACGATGGCTGACGTCGAACCACCATGATGAAGACGACGACTACCTGTTCGAATGCGATCCGCGCAACCACGAGACTGGGTCTTGCGCCCCGACTACAACCTCTGCTACTCCAGCGAAGCTATGCGACGCAGTATGGTCTCGGAACGACAGCGTCGACAACTAGCTCGAAACGGAAGAAAGTCACGCCTTTCAACGACAATGGTTCGGTACCTTGGTCGCAACTGTCTGGGGGAGAAAAGGCAGCCAGGGCGACACAGCAGACCTTCAACTTTGGGTTGATTCTGGCCGGTATCGCAGTGACGGCAAGTCAGATGACTTCTACCCCGCGGCAACTAGTAGCTAATGATGGCGGTGGTCTATTAGGGCGGAGTTGCATATGTCCTGTGGACAGACGTCTTCTCTCCGGACAGCAAAACCGCTGTCTTCAACCGAGTCGTCGACAAGATCAAGGCCGATCAGAAATGCATCGAAATGCTGGGAGACTCGAAGAAGATTGTTTGCCATGGCGAGGAAACGTATAACAAGTGGCGACGAGCTCGTCCAATTGCGTATGTCGCTCTCGCCATGACTAGAAATGTGCAAGTCTAACTTGGATAGCTCTACTATCAACACGGATGCGAGAGGTCATGAGCATATGCTGATGCACTTCCATGTCGAGGGACCACTCAACAGGGGCGTGGTTTACCTGCACATGATCAAGACGCCCGTCTCTGGCGAGTTTGAGTACAAATACCTATACGTTGATGTCAGAGGGCACCAGCGACACTACCTTGAAAACGCAGACACGGCGACCGGTTCTGGGAAGAAAGGCGTCAGATTCCTCGGCATCAACTGGGGCTGATCCCGGCACACAAAAGGGCAGTGCGTTGAAATAAGAGCATGTACGAGAAGCATTTCCTTGTAGTGTAAGATATCAGCATCCTTGCCAAGGCTTGGAGGGCATGTAGCACATGTATTCATTTAGTCGAATCACTTCAACTTGTCATCCTCGTAGTTCATGATGATGCTCCAAGAATCTCGCTCCCGCCACTCCAGACAACACAATTAGATACAAAGCGAATGGGTCTAAGAATGCATCTTTGTCCTTCTCACTCATCCCCATCCCGATTTGACACAAGGGATCATATCATCTACTGCTGCCAAGACCATGGCTAAACGGCACCAAAGATGCTTCCTTGCCACGATAGTTCAGGGACGGGTAACACGAACTTCCCACCTGCCTATTCTCTCATTCCTATGCCACGACCCCTTCTCATTTCTCCTCGATGGCCTGTGCCTCACTTGTCTTTGGTGACGCCACTGAAAGTCTGGTTGCAATGACGCCGCTAGCTGTGTTGGGTGTCGTGGGACCTGTGGCACTGGATTTCTGCGGCTCACCAACCTGCTGACCAGCTCCGAGAACCGAGCTCGGGGTGTAAGTTGCCGGAATGTTGGCCGCTACGGTCTTCTTAGCCTCGTGGTAGAGACTGAAGCAATGGATGAGAGCCTGGTCAACAGACATGCTCTCCGGGACAATGCCCGTGTCAAGGATCTGTTTGAGGTGGTCTTCGACCTCATCGAACTCCGCCTGGTCGGAGCGGTAACGGTCGGGCAGTCCGCTGTTGTGCAAAAGTGCGAGTATTCCAGCATTGATAGTGTTCGTAGCCGCAATTATAGTGATGGGAGTGCCGTTCTTGAAGGACATGGAACCGATTGCGGTGAGAATCGCGCCGAGAATGATCTGAAGAATATAGGCAACCCATCGAATGGAGCTCATGCCGTGGTACATGTAGAAGTACTTGGTCCGGTGCCAAATTACATCTCGGTACAGTCCGTTGGGAATACCTTTGGGTGGGTAATACCAGCAGGAAGGATGAAGGGCAATGTGTCCTTCAGTATCATTGACACCGCCGATGCCATGAGCAACGATAGCCCATTCGGAGGGAGTGAGAAAGCGATATCTAACCCGATGTTGCTTCTGATTCTTCGAGCGAGGCCGGAACGAAGACGGGTTAGGCTCGTCCGAGCTCTTCGAAGTATCAGGCCGTGTGTTGTCATTATCCATCTCGGCTTCGATGCCGTCGAGCTGCAGAGGAGGGAGTTCTCGCATGGCTATTGTCTAGGTTAGGTGGAGTGAAGGAGAGGTGGGCACGGAATATGAAAGGATTGGAAGCAGCCGCAAATCTCTCAAAGAATCAAGTCAGCGCTGCTACAGGCTATAGTGGGCATAGAGACTTACAGGTGACCCTCTGATAGAAAGCCTCGTTGCGAGACAACGCTCTGGAGGAACAGCCGCGTCTCGAGAAGGGCGCCCCACGGTTGGTGAAGGAGGACAAGTTGGGAGACACGTATAGAATGTCCTCAACATGGTAACGCCAAGAATCCCAGGAACTCATAGTGGTAAGCAATAAGTTCCATGATGGAAGGTGTTGGCCGACGTTGATTTCCAATTTCCGTCGTCTGCCGACGTTCATCGTCAAGAGCAAGCCGCCATCGACTTCCCTCAACCGACTAAGCCTATACTAAAGCAAGATTCCGTTACAGTCCGTCCGCAGAAACGATTGTAGAAGGTTTTATAACGGGAAAGCACCTCGATCCCATTTTTATGACACCTGCTTATCGAGGGAGGCGTTCTTGACAGAAGGAAATGGCCGTCTGTGTGGAACACCTTCTCCTTCCAACATTGCCGAGGTACCTGGTAGCTTACTGTTTTGGAAGGCGGCTGAGAAATTCAAGTTCTCGTCAAGGACCTTACGACTCCACTTCGTCCCTGAGGAGTCGTGAGTTCAGGTGCGGTCGTTCCACGCTCGCTCCTGCCGGATGACTCAATACACCGCCCGCACCAAGCCTTCGCATCACGTATTCGACCTCATCCCAACCACAAACCATTCCATCCTTATTCCAATTTCGATTGAATTGATTCCAACAAGAAGACATCAACCGTCAGGCCGATTGGTCAAGTGGTAAGATCCTTGCTTTGGGTTCACTGAATTATCTGCAAGAGTCCCGCGTTCGAACCGCGGATCGGTCCCTTTTTGACGGTGATAACACCTTGCCGACTTCTCAAATCGTTCTTCAAGACACGGCTAACACATTGAAACAACTCAGGGAGCCCTCTTCCTCTTTATACCTGATAATTTGTTACAGGCCTGACTGATACCTGGTAGTGTCAATTCTTTTCATCTGCATCTGCGTAAGCCTCAGAATTGTAAATTCAAATGCTCATGTAGGATAGCTTACAAGTGAAAAGCCCGGAAGTTTGGTGAGCATTTGAGAGGACTTGTGTGAGCAAAGTAAAAGATCTGAAGTGAGAGGACTTTCTGGCATTACTGAATCAAGTAGGCACAAAACAGACGGCTAGGCAAAACATCGTCATCGACATTTAAAAAGTAATCGCCGGAATTTGAAAGTGTCGATGTTGACTTAGTAGCTGATTGTGTCAGGAACTGTCCTTCACTGACGGGGCATGCCTCGGGGACCCTGTGTAAGAGCATAGAAAGCGTATCTGGACAGGTCAGGTGTAAAGTACTCAGGGGGCGAACGAGCATATGCTTCCACATGACCTTGGAAGAAGTCAGTTGAAGATTCTTCTTCCAGCAGCTGGCCATGCATAAGTTAACCAATGCACTGAAGGTATATTCAAGGCATGTAGTAGACATCGGCGCATCTGCTTTGTCGGCTATCAAGCCTTATCTCATCTGATACAACTCCCTCTGGCCAACCAACCCATCAGCCAGTCAAACCTCTAGGCCACCACACTATTCAGTAAGTAAGCTATACCGGCTTCCGTCTTCGAAAGGGTGTCTTGATGGTAACATGGTCAGTCTCGTCCCAAGCCACCAGCTAACCGTTTACGTCGAAAGGAGTATACTTCGGTGACGAGGTTTCCCACACTCGGTGAAGCCAAACTCCTCCCCGACGGGCGTCTTAGCCGGTATCAAGATCAACGCTTTCCCCGGGCCGTAATCCCATGCGTGCACTGCACGACATAACATTTGGAGATGTGAGAGGCGCAGACTAGCCCCCGCACGGAAAGAGTGATCGGGTTCCGGACCGGCATCCGGAAAGGACAGATCCTAAGATCGTGGAGAAGGTCGATGATACTCTATGTAGCGCGGCAGATGAGGCTCCTTGACCGGAGTTGTAGTTGGTCGGTTCTTGGGTAACTCGGGATGAAGGGGCCGGTGATAGAACACGGGGAACCGGCGGGGAAAGCTGGAGAATGCGCAGATGGGATGAACTTGGTTGATGATGTGCCGGACTTGTATGATATTCTCGGCTCAGATGCAGCGAAAGGCGCTTGGCCTGCGGGGAAGACCACAACGGCAATGCAGGCGATTGATGATAGGAATACAGAGCTTTTTGGGCACTGTAATCACACGATACTGTATACATAATCTGGCCATGACATCTATCAACGATATCTGACAAACAACCTAGGTTTACTGATACAGGCAAGCCAAATTGATGTCTTCGTAAAGTGGTGCATATTGCGTACATACGCAAGGTACCATCGTATGATCTCGACAGTTTGTAAAGCAGGAGCAACGCTTATTGAGTGCCCCATATGAATCCTTATGCGGAATATCGAGGTCCTGAGAGCAAACGAACTTCTAGAGCGCGAGATGCGAACCAAATTGGGCAGGGTGACATGCCATGCACTTTGCATTGGCCCTCGCATCGAGGGCATGGTACCCACGCATCTTGGCTCGTATCGACGCAGGTTAGGGTCCCGGATGGAACGGTGAGTAGTAGCGGCTGAAGGCACACCGAGGCGCCGGTGAGGGGCAGAAGTTCTGATTGAGGCGGCAAAGGTGTCAATAAAGGCATTGAGGCCAGGGGAAGGAGTTTCAACCGCCATCCAGGGCCCAGGCACCTGGCCATTGTTTTACCCCGATAAGCATGGGGGCTGCTGTTCCATTGGCGCGCTCTCCATCTGGGGAATGAGAGGCCTTTTCCGGCTGAATCCATTCGACTATCGTACCAACAAGAATACAGAGTTTTTAGTGTATCATGTATTTGCGATAGCCAAGCCGTTCGGCGATGGCGACAGCGATTTCCAGGGTCTATTGCGGGCTTTCTGTAGTGCTACGGGGCTCTTGGACCGAATGCAATGTCAAATTCTCAAGTAAGGCCGAGAAGAGTGAGAGAATCTAGGTCGGATTAGGCAAGAGGAAGCACCGAGAGGAAGAATAGGAAGTGGAGTGAATCGGCGGGTATTCCCATCAACACTCCCCTACCGGTTTCGCCATCTTGGATACCCATGCCGCAAGCCGAAGATCATTGACAGAAAGCTGGGGCGCGGGAGATAGGCCTGGGAGGGGGGTTGGCCGATTGCTCGGAAGGGGATCGAAGGGTGTGAATCGTGGGATTTGGAAAAAAAAACACAACAAGGGCGACTGAAGAGGGAACCTTGGGAGTGCCCTACTACCTCAGTTGAGGTGAAGAGATGTCCCGGAGGTCAAAGAGGACCCGGAGCCGGGATTCGGTTCCAAATCCAAACCGGGCAGGAATGGAAAATGGAAGGAAAGAAGCCACTTGCCTCCCTCAGGGCAGCTTGGCAGCACATCAATGATCAGGGCAGTCACCACCGGCACCACCTCACCCTCAGGCCAGGACCCGCCTGCCCCGCTTGGGGAACATCTTTCGATGTTTCCCCACAGATAAGGTCAGACCGTCCAGCGTCAGAAGGAGGCTCCCAGATCCTGACGCGCCTGCTATCCCAACAGCTGCACCACCCGCTATCCTTCCCCATCCTCCACACGCCCCCCTCCCCTTGTCAATCCCGTCGTGCCCTCCTCCCCCCTTCCCTCTGCTCCCTGCCTTCCCCAGCCCTTTCCCCCAGAACGGACCGGGGCTGCCGTAAAAAGACGGTACCACAGGCCTGGCGCCTTTCGCCGTTGCTGATTGACGGAATTTACCCTCCGTTTCTCCTGATTCGGCTTCCACCGACCACCGCGGCACCACCAGTCTCCAGACCGAGGGGATATTCGGGAGCTGCTTGCCTATCTCTGGTGTTTGGAGCCCCGGAGCCTCCTTCATCAAGGGCTCATGGAAGGCTCCCCCCACTTCGTTCGGATTACCCAAAGGAGGAACAGCCCATGGTGTTTCTTTGGGGACCCGGACTGGACATTGCATCGTCTTCTTCTCGACTCCATTATGATTCAGGGTCTCAGCATCCTCGCCAGCAATATCCGTCGCCGGAATCATGCACGCACGGGAAGCAAGCAAACCGCCCCTGAGCACAATGAAACACAAACTGCTTGTGCATCTCGATAGCCTTGACGGTCTGCAAGGGGTTGAATCTGAGAACGCCAGAAATCGACTATTCGGATACCGTTCCGATGCTCCCCCCGTGTTTCGCCAGTTTGTCTATTCCTGGCCTCTCGTCTGTGTCCTTCCTAGCTTTGTTCTCGATCAATCGTCAGTCCCCCTTCTCCGTTCGGATACTATAGCACGCTTTCTCAATCCTTTTCAGCCGGTATCGAACCAAATCTTCGTCCCGCTTCTCCGGTCGCTGCAAACTTACCCGCCATCCACGCCTAGTTGAGAGAACTAGCTCAAAATTACACGACCAGCACTTCATCGCATGAGGCTTGTCAATGGTATCGCCGGGGTAGAACCTGGCTCGCGCGACTGGGCATGATGCGGGGGTTTTCTTTGGCCTGGAACGGTCGATTCGCCATTTGGATTACCAAAGTTTAGATACAGCAGCCGCCAATCCGAGGGCCGAACCACGCAACGCGCCATCTGTCACTACTCGTGGCCAGACTGGCGCTCCAATCACAGCGTCTGCTACCAGCTTCCCATATCGACAGGTTGAGCTGCTTGGTGTCTGATGTCAGCAACTTTTCGAGACATGGCCAATTGTTGCGTCGTGACAACTCCATATTGTACAACTCTTATCTCGAGGGGCTTGAAATGATTGATGACGAGAATGGGAAGGCCTCTGGCGTCAACTTCAACGGCGGAAGATTACGTACCTAGGCCCAAAGGCGCTCGAACAGCTGATATACGCAGACCGCACATCCTCTACTTGTCTCAATGGATGTCTTGAGTCTTCGGACCTGTGGTCCGCTTCGGAGGTTCAAACCCCCGCTACGTACCCGTTGGGAAGACCATTCCGTGGCCTACAACGCTTATTACACTATGGTACTCGGCTGTCGCTGGCCGTCGTTATTTGCAATCGCCTTGGCCGACGGTGAAATATTCGCCAAAGTCATTGTCGCTAGGCGTCAAAGCTAGAATTTCCAAAAGACTATGCATTGCGCCAAATTGGCAGCATCGGGGACTTCAGAAGGTTGTCAAATACCCGTTTCCCCAGACGAACGAATGCTCCTTGGGCAATCAACATCAAACAAACCATGACTCTCCCCCACACTCGACTAAGCAATTTGCACCTCGCCCGTAGGGTTGCAGTGATGGGTAGGTCGGAATCCACAATGGGGTACGTTGGTCTATCAATCTTGCATCGGCTGTACCATGGGCTACGGGCCGTATGGCGTTGGATGATATTCGCAGTACTTCGTATGCGAGCCACAACTAGACATGCCTGCGGATAACCGGTACACTCTAGAGCACAGGAGCGCCAGTTCATCCTGTCGATCCGTCGCACCATGACTTCAGCCGGAGCATGCGTCCACCTCGAGCTCCCAAGCAACAGCGGATGAATGGCGCCCGAGAGAGATGCCGAGATACAACCCGGTCTTGCGTTGTCGGTGGTCACGGCGTGCTGCGAGACTCATAACTACGCCAACGGCGGGAAAAAGCCATTATGCTAACCAGTCACGGCTTGCCGGACAGGGAAACAGGTCCGACATATTACTAGATCAAGCGGGAGTTGCGGGCGAAACCTTCACCAAGGCACCGTGGCACCTAGGGCCCCAAGTCCCGAAGACTACGCTTGTTTGGTGCGAGAAAATCAATTCCTGTGTAGGTACTCTGTATCCGTATGTTGGTTTCCAATCCCGCGGATTGACGGCACGAATAATGATCGGATGGGACGGGACAGGCCTCAGCTTCGCCTCAATCCAGGGATGGTCCTAATTTTACCGTCAGCCTGTCATCGGCATACCGAGGCCCTGGCTCGCTGACACACAGCGGAAAAGACTGATTGACACGGGGCAGGCTGACCTGTCAGCAATAGTGGCCAAGGCCACGGTACGAACCAACGGCTTAGCCTGTGGGAGAGGCCAAGAGGACAAGAGCTGGGCGTACGGATACAGATGGTGTTTTTTTTTTTTTTTTGAGAGGTCTTGAATCCGTGTCATCATCTGGGATAACTTGGATGGAGTCGCTGCGTCATTGAAGAGATCCATGGATGGATCTGGTTGCTTATCGCCCATTCTGGCGCAAGATTCCGGCTGTCCCAACAAGGTTGCATGAGAGAGCACGCCCTCTCCCCCACAACTCCATAAAACGACGTCGAAAACGCGCTATAGATACCGGGGTAAATTTCGTGGGGCAGCTCGTGGGGGCTCACACAATGCCGACACACCAGCCTGCCCGCGCCGCTTGAACTTTGAAGAGGGTGTGGTGTGCACAACGATGATGGCCTATGCCGAAGAAAGCGAGATGGGACCAGCCACATCTTTTCGGAGTCACGATAAGAGCAGCTTCGGGCGCAATCGGGATGTAGTCTTCAGCAGCCCCCGGATACCGGATAGAGCACGGCATTGCTTGTGGTGAAAGGCATGAGCTGCGCGCACATCATCAGCGATGACATATCGGAGTGAACTGAGAACCAAGTCATGCGCCGGAGGTCATCGGACAGGCGCGGCCTCTCCTATGTTCTATGCTTCGCTTACATGCCTCATCGACAAGATTCTAGCTAGATCCCCCCACACTTTGGTCAGCCTGGCTTGCGTCTCCCTGCAACCGCGACAAATTGCGACACCCTCTTCTCACAACCCGGGAGGCTTTGCCAAGTCAAGAGAAAGACAGCTCCCCATCTCAGCTGGCCTTCTCATCCAGAAAGTTAGCGCATGTGGTCTGTTGGAAGCGCAGATTAGCGCCATCACACCATGACCCCCGTCCTCGGGTCAGCGTCAGGCGCAATGATCAAGAGAAAGAGTGTCACTGTCCTTTTGTCTAAGCGCCCGCGAGGGTGTCTCAACTCTGAGATCATGTTTCGACAAGCTCATCGAGCAAAAGGACCTGACTCCTGGAGTCAAACAGACAGGTGTACCGCTGAGCAGTGCTCACTGTCTTTGACTTTTCCGTCCTTCTCGGGGGCGCAATATGGGCGTCAGGGCGTCACTTAAAAAGCAAACCATCCAGCCAGCGATGTCACAAGCCAAGCAACCCAGGTTTCTTCCCGAGATTTGGATACATTTCGTTGACCCGGTTGTTTAAATCTAAGCACTCACTTGGATATCCGCGTCATGTCTCGTCTCTTCTCTCCCGCACCCGCCAATCTTCCGCCCTTCCCCGGGAGCATTGGCCGCTTGGACTTACACGGCAGGCGACAGTGCACAACCCTTTGAAGGGCGGCCTCGCCCGCATGCGCTGTCTCGAAAAGCAATTCCATCTCAGGGCTCTTCGAATCGGAACGCCTTCCCAGTAGGCCAAAAACGCCATGCCGCTCTCCCCCAGACTCCCCCGGTCTCCACTCCTCCTGCAACTTGCTCCGTGGCTTTGGCGATCGATTTTCACATTCACCACGCCCATCCTCAAGGGTTGTACGTACTCACCCTCTGTGGGAGAGGTCTGCATCTACTACACCATCTCGTGTGGCAGTGTGTGTCCAATTCGACCTATCGCTTCAAAATATTCTGGCGGTGAGGAATTAGGCAGGCAAACCACGCATGCGTGGCCTTGATTTTCTGTCTAGAGAGACAGGCGCAGACGAGAGTCGTGCGCATCGAGGCAGCCATCTGGAGGCGCGCAGAAGAGACACAACAGACACGCGTTGCCTTGGATAGGGTTCCATTAGCCGACACGGAAGATAACACCATCGAGCAGCAGCGGACGGACTCCCGCTATTGCGGACCTCGTCGCCATGCCGCCCTGCGCTCGGTGTACGCCTCCTGGAGGCCGCTCAACAGGACACATTGCGAAGGCCAAACGCCAACGTTGCACCGCGTCCGAAACCATACAGGTCTGCTCTATTGCGTCGGAAGTGGTGATGTGCTAGTACTTGTGAGAAGGGCTGGTATGCCAATACCCGACGGACAAGCCATGGCTTGCGCTCTCACATGTGACGAGTCTTCTCGTAAATGCGACCTACACCGGACCTGGCTCAAAGACTATAGCTGGCGAGGTGGTTCGCGCGCCGCCTCAGCTGCGACAGGGAGGAAAAGACTGGCAGTTTACATGTGCCTTGACTCACTGGTGAATCCGACAACAAGTGGGCGGTATTCAACGACTCAGCCCAAAACCTTGGGACATGATTAGGCCGGAGTTGTCGTCGTCCGAGGAAAGGGACGGAAAGGAACCGCAACGCAATCTGGCAGTCCGAGTTGTGCAGAAACACTTTTTGGTGGCTGCTGCTGCTGCTCGCTCGGCGCACAAACCAAAGAAGCTGATTTTTGATGAGTCGGAGGAGTTTACGAGTTGCGTTCCTGGCCCAACAGTATCTCGCCACCCAACTACCGAGCCCACCACCCCTTGGTGGCCGAAAATGGGATACGGCAAGGGCAAAAAGCAACCATCCCCAGAAAGCTAACCCACACCATCCCCCCGCCATAGTACGGGGAAAATGACAGTGACATTTTCTGAGTCATCATTCACCGACCTCCGTTTGAAACTGGGGACACTCAGGGAATACTTGAATGTCACTGTCTTGGCCGCGCCCCCTTTAGCCCCTCCGTTGCACAGAACAGCATCCGCAGGCTCCGGATCATGCTATTCTGGGCCGACAACATTTGCTTGTGTCGTCGCAATGATCTGCTATACACAGGGCGCCAGTGGGGGAAAGGGGGGAGGACGAAAAAAAAAATGCATCCTTCCGGCTACGAAGATCCTATGGAGTTGTCAAACAAAAACTTTTCTGTTCTTTTCTTCTTCTTACCCCACGGAAACCAGGCAAAGTGTCAGAATCGATGCCAACGCAACGCCTTCATGCCAGGGACAGTGGGGCAGGGTGTGATATCATCCCCCAGAGAAATACGTAATGCCGTCCGTTCCAGACCTTTTTTTTGGCATCCTGAATCCTGGAGACGGGAGGGACAAGGACGGATATGGTAGGGAAGAGAGCTCGAGAGCCGGAGGGGTGGGCATGAAAAAGGGTTGTTGACTTGCTGGAGGGGTCCTTGGGACCCAGGGGAACTGACTCTTGCACCTGCACCGAAACTCCACACCAGCGCATCATTCCATCAGGTTTATCGAAATGTGTCGTTCAGGTTGGCATGGGGCATTGGGGGATTTGGCCGAGATATGGCACGACACAAGCAAAGTGGTTCTTGTTTCCTACCCTTTCCTTTCCTCCCTCCACCCCATCTTGACGTAGTTGACAGGCAACATGGGGTCTCGCGGACCCCGTTCTGAATGCTCTCACAAAAATGTCGAGATTTGAAGATGCCCTATCTTTCTCCACGGGTCTCGGTCGATCGGGATCTACTAGCGCTCATGAGTCGGGGAAGGGGGCTATTGTCGCTATTGATGACGATGTCGAGCAATGAGCAGTACAATCCTGGGGTTCTTTTTGCAAATATTCCGGGGAAAGGCGCTTGGAGTGATTCTGGCAGGCAAGAGATGAAATGCTGGATGCAGCCTGCAGGTGCTCCTCTGTAACAAGTGCAGATTGCGGATCCGTTGATCAAATGTATCCGTATCTATCCGCGCAGTGACAAGACGACGATCCAACGGGGGTAGGTAGGTAGGTATAGGAAGTTGAGTACGGATAGTGACTTTTAGACATGGGGGCGTGTATGCGTGTGTGTCAGTTAACCGCCCAAGAGCCCACCCAACCAACCCCCAGCCATGGTCCGACCATGGGGCCAAAGAAGATGGATGAAAGACAGGGCCTAGATGGGACAAATAACACCACCTAAAACAAAAAAAATTCATTTTCTCTTGTTTTCCCCCCTTGCGAACGGACTTGGGAGTTGGAACTGGGGCTGGAAGATCTCTGCCTTGGTTTTTTACGAAGAGTTATACATGTGAAGGGTTTGGGCCTCACAGGGCTTAATGTTGGCTGGGCAAAAGGGGAGTCAAGTCGCATTGGCGTTATCCAGAAGTTGTACCTTACCTTACGCAATCTATACTCACTCTCCCGCGTAATGAACGATGCAGGTAACAGTTGCAGACGTAATGACAACTTTTTCAAAGTCGTTGCGTTGTCCCTTTCGATGACACACACACACACACACACACACACACACACACACACACACACACACACACACAGCCCCCGGGAAACAATACAGCCCTGCGGAATAGGCGGATCAAGATTAAATGTCCAAAGCCTTATGAAAGGGGTGTGTCTGTACACACAACTTATACATTGAGCGAAACCTGAGTTTCCTTGTCTCCTGTTGTTTCTTTGCAAGTCTGGTCATGTTAGTAGTTTAGTCGACAAATTCCATAAATAAATAAAAACGTTCCACAGATTTGTACGGATCTGGGCGCAATGGTTGAGAGACGTTTGAGGGAGGAGGAGGAGGAGGAGGAGGAGGAGAAGGAGGAGGAAAATCCCTTATCCCAAATTTGGCCTCTCATTCCCCAGAGCTATTGCGCCCTGGTCAGAAGCAGAGAGCCCTTTTTCCCCAGAAATAATTCCCCAGTCCGCCACCCCGAACCCCGGAAAAGTTTGGATTCCCGAAGGTGGGTGTTGGAACTGACTCTTGTTGTGTTACCTGAGTCTGTTTTTTTATTTTCAAGATCCCTTACGGATATGCAGATATGTGGCAGATGTTTGTGGGGATAAAAGCGCATGTCGAGAGTTGGGTTATTTCACTACGTATCCCTACCTACCTCGTCCGTCTGCAAGTTCGTTTGCAAACGTTGCGCAGATTACGTACGGCGTCATACCGACCTCTACACAGTCGAAAAGTGTGTGGGGTGGGGGGAGAGGCCCCAGGAAAGAGAGGGATGGTGGAGGGAAACGCCCGCGCAGCGCCCGCGAACCCCGGACACCACCAAACCGTCCACCACACCCTCCCCTTCCCCTTTCCAACCCATCCCTTCTCTACACCCATGGTTATTAAGGAAGAGGGAGAGAGAGGGAAACAAACGGCCGCCTGGGCACGGGTCCGATCATCGGTGGTGTGGGTTGGTGGTTTTCTTGGTCACACCCCAAATGCACCTCGCACACATCACATTTGCAAACACGAGGGGGGGGACAAATCAGTCCACTGGTTGAGACACGCACACATACATACACTAGGTAGATTCATCAAACGGCGAGGAGTGAACGATGGTAAAATGTGCGGTGAAGATCTGTTTGGATTTCTCCTTCTCGAGTTTGTCGAGGGTTTCTCGAGTAAAACTCTTGTCTAAGAACAGTTGTAAAGAAAACAAGCTTTCGTCCAGCCAGCCTAGGCGGCGACGTTCATCGTAGAGAAAAAGCCAGACATAAAAAAAAAGGACCAGTAGACCAGTTGTCGGCGCCGTCTCTGCGCTTCAGAAAACATAAAAACCGCTCGAGAGAGAAGACAATTCTCTCATGTACACCGCCCAAAGTTGTTCCCGCCGTCTATAGATTGATATCTTGGTTTATCTCCGTCCCATCGCCAATACAAGCAAATCCGTGACACTATGAGAAAGGACGGGGTATGTAACGACCCGTCGACGTTCTCATGCACACACACACACACACACACACGCACTCACTCACTCACTCCCAAAATCCCTATATCCAACACACACACAAGAAAGAGAGGAGAAAAAAAAGGACACAGGAAAAATGTTTTGCTTTTCGTGGTTGTTGAGGGGTGAGGGAGTCGTACGTCCAATCTCTGGTTCTTCGTCCATCGAGATAGGAGTGAGTCTATAAGATTGAGTGTAGCCGCCGCTGTAAAAGAGGAGCCCATCGATTCTTTGGTTGGTTCGTTGTTTTGTGATTAGATAAAGAAGTCGTGGTCGGCCAACTCTGCCAATTCGAAAATACCCGGAAACGCCATTGTTCTTCTATCCCGTCTATTGCCCAGGTCGTCAGGTCATGCCACTTTAAGGTTGTCGTTCCCGTTACATCCGATCCATGAGGTCGCCACCGGCGACGCTGCCAGTGGTGGAACTCCTGCCGCTCTGGAAGCCGTCGTTTCCGTCCAAAAGCTGGTGAACACCGATCTTGGGGACTGGCAGTTTCCTGCCAGCGTCAGGCCGGCTGATGATGTCTGCCAAAGAAGCGCCGTTGCGGGTGGGCGTTCCGGCGCTGGTAGGCGCGGGAGGAGGAGGCAGGTAAGGAGTCTCCAGGTGAGGCTCGAGAGGAGCCAAAGCAGGAGGCGCTGCGTGCTGCAGGGAAAGGTTGCGGAGAGAAGGCAACTCATATCCCATGGGGCGAAGTCTCGGGGAGTGAGCGGGTGTAGCGATGGGGGTGTGGTCCGGAGTAGGCGACAAGGAGTCGTGGGAGAAGGTAGGAGAGGAAGGTGCCGTGGAGTTGGGCGAGTTGGGGCGAGATCGCTTTGCGTGGCGAGAACCAGCGTAGTGGTCATCGTTGTGCTCGTCGTTGGAGTGCGATCTCGACATGTGATAAGCTGAGAGGGAGGGAAGGTGGCCGCGCGAGTTGTGCAGGCTGTGGGAATAGTAGGGGTGATGTCTGGCAGAAGAGCCGTGGAAAGGCGGTGCGGTGAGCGTCTCACGCTCTACCTGGTTGGCCGCCTTTGCCAGAATGGAGATGTCCATGTTGGACTGGCCCTGCATCTGGCGGCCAAAGGGGCTGCCGTGTCCCGGGTGAGCGGGCAAGACGTACTGAGAGAAGGAATGCGGCGGCGAGACGTTGGGCGAGGACAAGCTCGAAGTAGGCGCAGAACGAATCGTCTTGGGTGCGGGAGGAGGAGCCATCATGCCATCCTGGGGCATATGTGACTGAGGGCCAGAGTTGTACTGGTTCTTGCCTCTCCTTGAGTTAGGGTTGCTGTGTATTCTCGAATGACGGGTAAGCTCGTCTGAGCGAGAGAACTTCTTGCTGCAGCCAGGGTACTGGCACGCATGAGGCTTCTCTCCGGTGTGAGTGCGGATGTGTCTCGTCTGGTGCTCAAGGCGGTGGAAGGCCTTATCGCACAAGGGGCACTTGTAGGGGCGAGGAAGCTCGTTGGGGTTCTCGGCGGTCTGGCCGGGAAGAGGACCCTTGGGCTTCAGCTCGTTGAGAGGACCAAGCCTCGTAGTTTCCATGGCATCGCCGGACATCATTGTGTCGTTCTTATCGGGGTTGAGTAAACTTGAGAAGTTGAAAGGAGACGGTTGTGTCTGCTGCATGTGATCGCCCATTTGCCCTGATAATCCAGAGCTGGGCCGCTTTGCGGAGGTGGTCGAACCCTTTCTCTTGTTTTGTCCTTTCCAATAGTAGTCGACGAGTGTAGTCGTCGATGTGTATAACCGGACTCAAGTATCGTGAGTACGGATTCGAGTTGCTGTATGTTGCTTATGGTGTGGTGAGTGGGCGTGGATGAGAGAGTCGAGAGAGTACGGGTGTGGTGGGTGTGGGAGGTCGGCTGGATATATAAGTTATGCGAGGTCGAGTGGCAGCGGTGGGTGGGTGTGGGAAAAAAAAGCTTTGGCGGCTTTTTGGGGGGGACTGAGGGGTGGCCCGGGGTAAGTTGGCTGGTCCTGGGAGGGATGACAATGACAGTAGGTTGGCGTAACAATTTTCTTCCAAAAGAAGGAGCAGAGCAAAGTTGGGGAAGGAGGGAAGGACGGGGTGATAGGTTTAAAAGAGACAGGAGAGGAAGATGCGTAGACAGGGTGCAGCGGTATTCCTGAGGTAGAGAGGAAAGCAGGTCCAGAAGGAAGAGAGAGAAGAAAAAAAAGACGACGTGGGGAGTGAGGTGTGTGTGCAAGTCGAGTTACAAGGTGGGAGAAAGACGGCGAGGAGGGTGTGGATTGTGTGGACGGTGTGGATGGCAGGATGGGGGGGTGTGGGCGGTCCTAATCGCAATCCCAATCCCAGACCAGACAGATGGGGGGGGGGAGGAACCTGGACACTTGGATGGGAAGAAGGGCAAGGGAAGGAACCCCAGGGCAGGGCGTGGGCAGTTTCTCGGACGCTCTCTCTCTCTCTCTCCCTCGGCCTGGTTGGGTCGGTCCCGTCGTCCCTGTACGAATACTTCCTAGACCTTGTCCTGACCCTGACTGGCTTTCTTACGGTACAGTAATAGTGCTTGGCTCCTTAACAACCTGTGCTGAATCTGTAGATACGCTCTGCGATTCGCCATGTGCGAGACTCGGCCTCAGCCAGCCAAGGTTTGCTAAGGAAGTATACTGTATTCGCACCATTGTCTTTTTTGGTATCTCTCCCCGGCCTTCTTTGCTTGTGCTCGTGCTGGGCCGTACTTGTAACCGTGTTTCTATGCCTTCTGGGGCTCGCCGAATGAGAGAAGAAACTGGGGCTCTTGATGCAAATCTGTCTCCCCCAGTTACCTAACGAATAGTCAGAGAAGGGCACCAGAAGAAGCCCGGGAGCCACCAACTACGACGCAAATACGGATACCAGCCAGAGTGAGGTACTTCGTCCACCGAAAAGTGGGCGATACTTGGCCAAAGACAATGGGGGTCGATTTGAGTGCGGGTGCGAATGCGGGCCCCCATGGCTTCCTCTTCCCCCCATAATCCCATTTCAGCGTCAAAGCCGCCAGCATCAGAGAGCAAGCGCATTTGCGCGGGGGGGCCTAGCTATACCTTGTGGGCGCATCGGCGGCAGTACGGTACTTCTCTACGGTATCCGTACCTACCGCTGGCTGATTATGCGTTAGTATGTAGTCGGCCCAGATTGCCAGATTCACACCCGGCCGCGGCAGCCGTGGAGTAAGGTAATCGGACAGGGCTGGAAGAGGCTCGGTATGTAAGGTACGGGTACGGAGGACGTAGTACTGGCTGCTTCACAGACGGACGAGCGTAAAAGACGGGGGACAGGCTTGGCCCGTGATTGACTGAATGAGATACGTCGTAGACGGAAGATATCCGTGATGGAGTGACAACGGGGGGAGGAACAGGCCAGTCATGACTGCCAGGTAGGGATAGATGTTTTACCGTGGTAAGAGGCGGCAGCGCCTGTGAAAGAAAATAGACCGGGTGCGAGACTTGTGGGTGAGGGCCACAGACAGGAGCCAAGAGAGAGGCAGAGAAAGATACCGCGAGAGCGCGCGCTGGGGTATGTGTGTGTGTGTGTGTGTATCGTCAACCACAAGCCACGCCGCTACACCTCAGCAAGAAGAAGTTAACGACGGTGTCCAGCAGGGAACCCAGCATGTGGGATAAGGAGGGGCGTGAGGCAAAACGAGACTGACTCTCTCTCTATTCGTAGTGTACGCGGGTGAAAGGGGAAGAGACTGGGAGAGAGGGCGGTAGACGGAACAAGGGGCGTGTGCTTTGAGAGAAAGGGCGTGTCACAGCTGGGGGTTTGGACCCCACTGCCCACAATTTCAACCCCACTCTGAGAAAAGCCAAGAGCGACGTGCTCTGCTCTCCCGGAGAGATCGGTACGTATCGGCCCTGCTCGAGGTGCTCTCTTTTTTTCCTTCCTCGGACGACAAAGTACCGCGGTACCCAGATACTCCTGACTCTAGTCTCAGGACCTGAGGCACCACACAGAGAGGTAAGGTACGGTACGCGCACCATCAGATACCGACGTGGTTTTGCGACAAGTCGGGGGAAACTGGGGATCGGTACGTACCCTCCCTCTCTTCAGTTTTTTCCCTCTCAGGTCTCTCTTTTTTCCTCCGCCTCATCGTAGGTATCCCGGTCCATAATTTTCACCTCCCAGTCTGTACGGATTGTATTCAGTACAGATGTGCTAATCATTAGCTTTTTGGCTTGTGCTATGCCCGGGCTCTGCTGGCACCATCCGACAAGCAAGCATATCTGCTGTAATACCCAAAGGCAAATCGTGGCATCATCACCGCCATCATCGTCAACACCACCATCAGCTCCGTAGTCAGCACTGGCAAAGAAAAAGAAGAAGAAGGGTACGGAACCAGACCGCCGTGTCGGTCAGCAAAGTGCGGCAACCAGGCAGGCAGACAGAATTTTTGTGCCCATCGTGTCTTCCGGCTCTTCACACCCTCATCCTTCACCGTTCCAGCCTAAGCCCCAAGTCGTGGTGCACTATTACACTATCGTTCCATGCCAGGAGGCATAGGGATCCTTATCCTCAAGAGAGAGTGCTCCGTAGTCGTAGGACGAGAGAAAAGAGAAAAACACTCTTCTCTTCCTTTTTGTCATGCCGGGTCTGCGTAGTCCGTCTTGGTAAGGCGGCCGTGGTGGGAATGCTCAAACGGTGCCCTGCGGCCTGCCTGACTTGCTAGCTTGGCCGTGGTGAATCCTCGGCCTCATTCGCAATATTGCCTATCCACCCAACGTATCCGTCCCCCCTTCGTAGTTCAGTCGTGTTCCCCCGTATTGCATCGCCGCCGCTATTCCCGCTGCTCTCGAACCCCACAACACTTTGACCTCCAGGATCCAACATCAATCTTCCAAAAAATGAAAAATAAAAAATCGTGAACCACATCTCGGTCTATTGCCGACACGTGCCTTACCTCCCGCGGTCAATATCTGCTCAGCACGGAGTATCGATGGGGCGAGCATCGTAAATAACACGACAAGGCCCTTGTGCAACGTGGGCAGCACACTCGTCAGTAACCTTGAAAGTCATGTTCTCTCCACGCCTCGCCCATCTCATCCCATGGCCCTTGGCCATCCCGCTTTCCTTTCCCCAGGCCACCGAGATTAGCACCCCCAGCCTGGTCCCGGCTTGTCCTCCCAAACGACCCTGACTTGTAATTTGTATGTGGGCGGACGCGGGGGGGCGGTGAGGCAACGGAAGTGAGTGGTGGCTTGGTTCTTGATAAACCCCAAGCTTGTGCCACCGTCCTCGTGTCTGATTGGCCCGCCACGCCCTTGGGAAGCTATTCAGGGAAGTAAAGAAAAACCAGAGACGACGGAGGCAGACGAAGCAAAAGAAAATGCAGGGGGGAAAGGGACCCCTCGTCACGCAATGCGCCGCCCAAGTCACCTCGTCCATGGCACAATCTTGTCCCGGCTCTCCGCTCATCGCCAGTTTTTACCCCGTGGGAATGAAGGCACAACCTTGATCCGCGGGCGCCTGCATTTATCGGCAAGAAGGAAACCTGGGGGAAGGCGCCGGCCCAAACAAAGACAGCATTTCGTTTCTTGCTCCACGGGGAATCCCCAATCATGCCCTCATCTCACGAGTATCAGCTGAGGAGAGAGGATACCGGCATGTAATTCGCCTCAATCCCGACCGGGGGATCGTCAATACCCCTTGCCGCGGTGCCAATCCAGGCCGCATCGTAGCATGGCCGCCATTGTCAGTCTGGCCTGGGCAAGGCGAAGCGCATACAGCGTAGAGACAGAGCCCAATAAGCTTGTTCGATGCTGTCCTTCCTCGCCCAAGCCGCAATATGTGTGTATCGTTGTCCGGAGCCTGCGGCAGCTTCTCAGGCGTCTATAGGTAGACCTATCTTTGTGCACGCCGTATCACAGGGCGCAGGACAGCCTGTCCGAGCTGGCACGGCGCCGCGATCCGAATTCCTCAGCTCACCATGAGATGAGGTCGGGACTGTAACCCCGCGGTGTGGGGGGCTCCTCGCTTCATTGCGCTTGCACTGGGTGACTGGTAAGGCAAGGAGACCTGTTGGCGAGCAGATGAGAGGCAACCAGCGAATGGTGGTTGTTTTATCAAACCAAAAGCGCCGGGTCGAGTTGTCAGTTTGCGGCCCAAGTCGAGATACGTCCTTTCCTGCCCATCGCCTTGTCGCCCTACTTGACTCTTGCCTTGTCAGTCAGAGGACCAAGCAAGACCCAGCGTGAGCGGCTCGTTTGAACCCCGATGTGCTGGCCCGTCTTTACGAGCGTCCTTGGATCGCAGTTCCGAGCCCTCCTCTCAACGCCCGGGTCCCGGCGGGGGTGTGGGGGCCGCCGCTGTGTTAAGGTGCTTCCTAGCTTCCCTCCTTCGAGATAAGAGTGTCTGGAGCGGTACCGGATCCCGAGCAACAGTTGCGCACATTGTCTCTCTTCTTGATCACGAAAACCGCCAGGCGTCCACATCACCAGACACCCTTCAAGAGAGTAACCTCCACACAAGTTGACAAACTCCGCCTTTGCTTCACCGCAACACGACAATAGGCCCTTGGTCATCTGGGCCGCCCAAGATTAGTCTCAAATATCAACCCTCTCAGCAGACCCAGCCCAAGAATGAGGTCGACAAGAGGAACAGCATTTGTTGGTGCGATTCTCGACCTTGCTACCTTGTGTGTCTCGGCTGTCTCCTGTCACGACTCCACAGCGCGTTAAGCGCGAGAAAAGAGCCTTGTCGCAGATGAGTCAAATTTCCGCATCGTGACTTCTTCAGCGCTCGTCAGCGCGAGGGCCAGACGACGTGATCCTCAATAGATAAGACGCTTGGTATCCGTAATTGCTGGGGCTCTCTTCGGCTTGGTCGTTGTTCCTCCACCCTGTGTATACGTTCCCCCAACACGGGGCTTGACACAGGGTTGGCGCTTCTGCGGTTCGGCAGCCCTCGGTAGTCAGTGGCCGAGGGCAATAGGCTCCGCTGACCCTCGGCTCGTCTCTCGGTCTGCGAAAACAAAATGGCGTATGAAATTCCGCAATCCATTGGTTTTTGCGTCGTGAAGTCGCACTCACCGAGTTACCGGCAGCCTCCGCCGAACTTCGGACCCTCGTCGGAATCTGATTCTTTTTCTCCGTCTCTCAGGAATAGTAGGACTTAGAAAGACTCTGATCCGCCTCTCTTGTAACATTGTTCCAAGGCCATCATGTAGGTAGCAACCGTTATGTTCCCACTCTCGGGTTTCCGTTTTTGTCGTCAACGGATAAGCGGGAATGCATCCTCTTTAGCGACAGAAGAGGCATCGTTCCTCCAGGATCCAGCATCGGAGAGGGTGCCCTCGTTGCGGTAATTGCAAGACCAAGGACCCCTCATTTAGCCAGAAAAGAGCCTCCCCCATGATCCAAATGGGAGAGAACGTGGGGGCGTTGTGTCACCACAACCATCCGGAGCTCTTGTCCTAGGATATCGCCATCAAGCCATGCTTCCATCCAAGTCTCTCATTGGCGTCGCAAGACCTGTGATCTTCAAGCGGCGCCACATCCTCTATTGCCTTCCTAGCGCCAGGTCCGCAATTGCCAATGGCATACGATAACCCCAGGTGCCTCGCTGGCCAGATTGTCGGTCGATCGTTGAACTGCCCTTTCCAGCTCAAATTTCCTTCCATCCAGGTGCTTACGGTCCCATAGCCTGCGAGGCGCGCTAGGCTCAAATCGGGAATTCCGGGGAGACCCTAATGACCCTGTTCCCAAGATTTGGGGTACCCGGTGCCGTGAGATCTCATCCCCAGATTCTTCTCCTCACGGCTGGATTGCTTGATTTTCGTCGGACGAGAGGCTCCGAGCCCGCGAGCTTTGGCGTTGAGCACGCTCCGGTACGCCAAACATGGCATTGCTATCGCGACATACCTGTGTGTAAACCGAGTCAGGCTGTTGGAACCTGGCACTCGGGGCGCCTGGGCCTTCTGTGATGGCATGGGCCGACAGAATGAGGTGATTCGTTTGATGGAAACATGTGTCTGGCGATGGCAAACTGCCATGGTGTCGACGCCGCCAATATTCAATTTGTCAAACAGTGCCAACGCCCCCCATCACTCCAGAGTCTAGAGTCCCGAGTCCAGAAATCTGTCGAACTTCTTCTCCCGCTACACACACCTCAATCCCGCCCCCGGACTTCTCCACGTCTCGATCTGGCTGGACGGTACGTCTGATTGCTGCGCTACTCATAATTTCAGGGATGGCAAGATATCTAGTCGCAGACAGGTTCCGGACGCCAAACCAAGCCATCTCTGGTTAATTGGCTAATGGTCCAGAACCCCGAACATCGTGTATTGTTCCGTTCATTTTGACGAGCAATGATAACAAACTAGCGAATGGAAGCTGTCCAAACTCCAGGCTAGGGTGCAGTGTCGAGTCGTGACTTTCTCAGGGGTATCGTCAAAGCAGGCAGGCGCCAATCTCAAGTCGTGTATCAGCTAGGTTACCATGAAAAGGCTGAAGCTCGAATTTGCCTGCGGCTCTTTACTTCCTTCCCTTCTTCAGCATACCCAGCAAAGAGATAAAGCTTGTGCATGTGGACAGATAGCTTTCGCAGCATCCTTGTCGACGTCTAGACCACAATTGGATTGACATAGTTTGCTCGTGAGTTTTCGCTCGACATGTCGCCGAGGCTCGCCCGCAACTCAACATGGACTCCCGTCTTCGTCCTGGGTAAGTTTCCCGCATCTCGACTCCGATCGAAAAATTGGCCCTTTCGATTTGCACATGTATCTGCATACTTTGTGCTGCCCTCTGACCCCCGGCCAGGTTGGGACGCAATCGTGAAATGCGGAGAATCATACGCTCATCGCACGATTGTGGAGGCTTTCACCAAGTATGCTCGAAATTTCCGATGGATTTCGCGGGGCTGCAACGACGAACTTGCATACCACACATGTACCGTATGCGCGGCGGTTGCCAGACCTCTACATTCTCAACAGCGGCAACAATGGCAATAATGCATGGTCTTCGGGCTTAGAGTTGTCTCTTGCTTTGTATCGTCTTGTTGTATGAGACAGGCCTGTTGTTGTTCGCGCGGGGAGAACCCCGCTGGCTGGTTCGCTGTTTCCACCGCGGGCGGACGCCCTCACTTGGGCGTTTCTGCTGTTGCTTCACAAACCTGTGTCTCGCTTGGACCGGGTTCCTGACGGCTGAAAGATGAGACCTGGTAATCCAGACTCCGCGGCTATAAACTCAAAGAGTGCACTGCTTGACACTCTTGACAAGCGTCGGAATGACTGGCTCTTGCAAGACTTCGCAATGCCGCCAGCGGGCGCATTATCGCTCAATTTTCTCGGGGGAACTGTGGGCTCTCGTAGTTGACCTCAGAGTCGATTGCGAGACTTGCCCGGCATGAGTCAGTTGTTGCTTCCTGCGTTCAACGGTCGACGGTCGAGCGGAAATGAACCGAGCTCTTCAAAGACAGAATGGATCTGCCCATGCTTCCCCAGACTCCCCTTCACTTCGAGTATCCCCGCAATGTACTTTGAGAGGCCAAGGCGGTAGCTCTTGAAGCTAGAAGCCAAGGGTCGTACCGGTATCATGTGCTTTCTGCCTTGGGTGAAGATTGACCCGAGTTTCCTTGCCGGGACACGCCTGTGTTTGAAACCAGCTTCCTGAAAAGGGCAATCTGAGGGCGTGGGAATGAGCCGGGGATGGGCTTCGCTAGGGGGCTGATTTACAGGGGATGCAGATAAGTGTGGGGAGAGTCGAGAGCACGCCTGGAGGTGTGAATGTCGAACGCGGTGTGTTGATATGGCTCCGAGTTCCAATTTTCTGAGGGAGATCAGGATCCCGAGATTCCCCGAAAGCACAAGCAAACAATCAAGCCTTTTGCTTACACCTAAGAGCAGAGGATTGGTTTGGCCATATGCAGCATGTGAGTGGCGCCTGTGAAATCTCTGTTGTGTCCTAGATGCCTCAGGTGAGACGCAAACAGATGAATTGGCGGCGCTGAGAGTCATCCCTCAACGGAACATCGCCCAAGTGATTGTAAGCCCTGGATGTTTGGAACGCTTGCCCCTCATTGCTGTCACATGTGAAAGATAAGCAGATAAAGGGAGGACACCCCAAAAGGAACCTATCCCCTTTGGCTAGAGAACAAACCTTAGCATGATGTCAGCGGGAAAGCTTGGGACCGCATTCAGCAAGTTGGAGAAACGGTAACATTCTTCCACATGTAAAATCCTGGAGAAGCGCGTACCTTGCATCGCACATGCGGAGGTGAAAGGGTCTGGCCAGAGATGCCGTCCAAAATCGAGAGTTTGTTGATGGCTGTTAGCCGCACCTGTGAGCGGGCGACTCCAGGCAATGTGAAGCGCCGCAGACTTCTGGCCCGAACCCCGATATCGTCTCTCCACAAAACCTGTGGAACGAAAACCGCGGATGAGAGAAACTCCGCTTGCCCTCCACGTTATCAACCCCAGGTCTTTTCAGTCCAGCCGCCACTAAGGGACCTCATTAGCAATTTACCCCGGCCTGAGAGATGAACGACATGTCCGGCGAAGGAATCGGGATTCGTTGCCTCTGGGCGCCGATAGATAACGTGATCCGTCGACCCGAGCTCGGATATCGGGATAGAGGTAAAAGCGTGGTGTGGCTAACGCTTCCACCTATGGTCCGTAGGCTGTGGGCATCGCTGTCAGGGAAGACGGCATGCTCACTTGGTACCGTCATGCTTGACAGTTGGCAGTACCGGTATCAGGGAGACCCTTGAAATCTTTTGCATTGAGATGGTGAGGCTCATGCCCTACCTCTAGGGCAATATTTAGCCGTGAGTGTACGGCTGCATGTAAGGTACTTCGGGCCTTCGCTGTCGGGTATGTAGAACACGTCTTTGATCTCCGCAAGGATCTTGCTGTGCATTCATGTGAAAGGCTGCCCGGCTTTTCTGTGGATAGCTCTTCCGATTTCCGACCCGATCAACGCCTATTCAACCAGTCAGTACGGAGTCAGGGTACGAAGCAGGTACGGGTATCCGTACAGATACGAACACTAGCTTTCCACTCCGCCGCCCGAGTTGCAGGTCGTTGTATCCTGGTAAATTGGATTCTTGGGGATGACTCCAAGGTCAAATTTCTTTCACTCTGGACATGTCAGACCCCGCAGACCCCGCGCGGGATCATGCCGTGATGGCTGAAGGCTAATCCGCGTTGTTGAGCTGGAGCATGATTGCGCCAGAGCGATCGGGGGTTCGGCGCAATCGGTCCGTACGAGTTCCAACCATCCGCAGCCTGCCCATCATCCCATTTCAACCCCAGATGCAGTGCCTGCCGACAATGGTAGGTGTCGAGACCAGGATCGTATATGGCCCGGTAGGTGAAACTACGATTGAGGAGAATGGAGCGCTAGGGTTACAAGTATCAACAGGTCTGAGGGAATACCAGATCAGTAAAGCCCGAAGCTCACTGGACTATAGGTATGTAAAGATGTGAAACCGGAGGGGTCCTAGAATGTTCCGAGTCATTGTGAAAATAGACTCGCGAGGCCTACAGTGAGGAATCGAGGGAACCGCATACGCAAAACGGCAAGCTCGAGCAATGGTCCCTGGCGGCCACGTTCCACCCGTTTGGCCCGAAAACACTGCCGTCAGTGCTGGCGATTCTTGTCGTCCGAAACTTGGCCAAGGCTCCGGAAAGGTCCTGAACGTTCCGGGTGGTCGGTACCAGAAGGCTTCAAAAGCTGAGGCGGCTCGAATTAGCCGTCTTGTCTGACTGGGTAGCATCGACGGAATGATGTGGCCATGCAGGATCTGAATGGAAGACATCTTGCGCCAATCGTCCTCTTTGTTAGTACATGTTTCAAAACACGGATATGCAAAACCCCCCAACAGTTCTTTAAATGCAAGTGCTTGCTTGGGGGCGCTGGTTTTGGAGTCAACAGCCGCTTGGTGTCCAAGTTAGGTTGGTACCGCTCAGTGCGCCCACTTGACTGTGGTTTGGGGATCGCAACGCAGCTCTGCATTGCAATGACTGAGGTTGGTATTTTGTTCTTTAGGATTGAGATTGAGTTGAAGTTGGAAAATACGAAAAGGATGATGTAAGGTATCTTGCCGCCATGAGACAGGCAACGCGGTGGGCGTACAGTGAGAAGGTGCGCAGTTGCCTCTCAGCCACACTCCTGCCTGCTACGCGTGTGGCTGATGACCTCATCAGGGGCACGTGTGAGATTGACTGACTCATACTGTGCAGCCTTTGCAACTTCACGTCGACAATCGGGACATGCCAAATCTAGGATTAGTCGACGAGACCACTCGAGCAAGATTTGGGGTCCTAGCAATGGAGAAGTACCACTCCGTTCATGAGGAAGACATCTCTAGCTTCGATCTCCCTTCCACACGCATGTATGACCCAATCTTACAATCATGACAGCTCCTGACAGAGTGCAGATCGATTACCTACAGTGTCCGCCGCTGACGCACTGGAAGAACTAGACGGTGGTTTCGCCAGACACATTTCTACCGGCATTGGACGACTAGATGAGGCTCTGACATCGTCTTCGTTCCTTCGGGAACCGACGCCGACACGTGGGGGAGGTCTCCAGAGAGGACAGGTCACGGAGATATGGGGACCACCAGGCTCAGGCAAGACAGCTGTAGGGTGAGTTGCCATTATGTTTTCCTGGAGGCAACGCAATGTACTCACGACTGACACATCAATGAAGTATTCAGCTGGTCGCCAATGCGCTATGCGAGGGGCATGGTGCTGTCTGGGTAGGTCGGTTCATCGAAGACTACCATGCGCGGGAAGACGACAATGAGACTAACGCTAAGCTTCAAAGATTGCGCGTATTCAGTTTGCGGCCATCGGCTAAACGCAGTGGTCGAGGCAGTAGAAGCAACTCAGCCATCTAAGGACTACAAAGAGGCAACATCGGCCACGGATCACTTTGCACATTATGGCTGCCCCAGCCTACCGCATCTGATAGCACTCCTATGCCGTCCCACGGCGGCAACAGTGCCAGCAAACTCGGCTGTGGTTGTGATAGACTCCTTATCAGCTTTGGTAAACCATGCCTTCCCCAAAGCCCCCGACGGTAGAAAAGATCCGCCGCGCGGCAAAGGTCAGTTTATTCTGGACCAAGTTGAGGTTCACCTACTCATATTATGCAGGTCCAGGTCTATCTCTATCAGCAAAGCGGCTGCAGGCTTTACAGTACATCACCAGTGCCCTGCAGAAACTAGCAGCAACACGCGACTGCGCAGTGGTGGTCCTGTCGCAATGTGCAACCAAGATGCAGTTGGAGCGGAGCGCGACATTGATCCCATCCATTAATGCTGGGGTATGGGAACAGGGCATGTCGACGCGGATCGTGCTGTTCAGAGACTGGGTATGGAAGGAAGAGCAACCATGGTCTGTATGCTTCGCCGGCGTGCAGAAGCTGGACGGCAAGGCTGGGCCGAACATGATGCAGAGCGCAGCGGCGTTTAGAGTTGAGGCGGTCAGTATTCTCGTTGGGCAGTCACAATTCCGGCATAATTTCGCAAAAGCGGAGTTTCCAAGGCGAGAGGATATGTGGTTTGCTGACATGGCTCGTTATCGTGACAGACGGGCGTGGTTGGTGTGCAGTACGACACTAGCCAACCATCTATGTTCCTACCAACGGCTCCACGAGCGAAACGCAAGTTGGCAGAAGCTGGCCTCGAGGTGCCCGATAGCGAGGAAGATGACGAGGAGTACGGATGGGCACGAGAAGACGAATCGGCGCTTCCCGGCCCGCCGCCGCAGTGGCAAGGCAGCGAAGACATTCTGCTGGGGACCCAGGCGGCCGAGAGCGAGGATGACGGCAGTAGCGACGGAGACGGGCACGGCGATGGCGGCGACGGTGATGACGAGGACGACAAGGCAGAAGGTGTGGATGAGGCAGCGACTAGCGGCCGAGATAACCAGGATTTGGCCGAGTAGCAAGAGGGATGGCGGAGAAAGGGCCACGGTGGAAATTTTCCGGGTGAAGGACCGGAGCTTGGCCGACAGATAGGACGAGCATGAATCGATAATGCGGTACGGAAAGTGGTTCTCCTTCACGGCCTTGCCCTTGGCAGCCCTGGCAAAAATCTCAGCCTAGGCTGCCGAGCCCCAGACTTTGACGAGATTTGGAGACTGGTCAGAAAAAATTCCTCACCAGGAGCCAATTCCGAGACTGACGGAGTGTGTCATGTTACGGATACTCAAGCATCAAAGTTCAGGGTGAGGCGAGAGGAAAGACAGAGTAAGGAAAAACTAGTCCAACTCCACCAAATATGACGGACGACCCGCCACAGGTAAAGATTCAGCGGTTAAGGACCGATAAGAAGCTGTGATCGGTCAAGACCCGGGTCCACCGAGAGCATGAAAAGCCCATCGTCACCATCGGCCAAATGTCGGCTTGACGCGGACCGCTTGGAAGCACCAGCTCAGAGACACTGTCAGGGCTCAGGGGCCAGAGATGGGGATAATAGGCCGTGGCTCGTCCGGGGCCCCGACCCCGACCTGGGCATCGTGGGGTCCACATGTTTGGTGAGCCGCAGTGGCTGTGGTGGCACTCTTTGTGAGGACGTAAGGAGATCCAGAATGAGTTTGAGAGTGAGGAATTGAGAATGAGCTGGCCGACTGCGGAGTAGAGTGTGAGATTCCAGTGGGTGAGTGAGTGAGAGAGAGAATGAGTCTAGATGAGCGTGTGTTGTCATTGTGCTCCGGGCAAGTCCGGATGCGGCTGGAGGCTGACCTAGGGGGAAAAGAGGACCATGATGGCTGAGGTGAGAAGGTGGAGGGAGCCATTGGCTTACTCATCGGGGAGCGCGACTTTTCCCTCTACTCATTTTTTTTGCTGGGGAGGATGTGACGGGTTTTCGTGGGGGAATCTTTTTTTCCCGCCCCTTGAGCCCCGTTTCTTCTCGAAGGAAAAAATGGCGTCAGATCGAGGGACCCCACATGCTCTGCAGCGCCGGGCTCTGCAGTCCGCGGACACACTGCTCCTCGAGCTCGTGAAGGATTCTTTTACCCTGTGTACATTAGTCACAGAGGAGGGTGCCGAGGTGTGCGCGCTGTTTGCTTGCCTTGGCTGGGCATTTTTGCAAGGCTCAGCGGTGCGCCAAGCGCTGCTGGGTTCCCCATGAGCCTCGACGTTCAGGGGGGGGTTACGGTGCCTATCCGCGATATCATTGATATCCAGGGTGTTTGAAGATGCATACAGGCTTCTGTGATGGATTTCTACAGGACCTTTATCGGCCCTTACAAGTAGACTCGGTGCTAATGGAAAGGTAAAAGTATCGTACCAGCGGCATCACACAGGGTGGATTCCACATTGCTCGCTTTTGTCCCTGCCTGTGGTGCGCGGTATTGACGAGATGCCAAGCAAAACGGCCCTGAGCGGGCATGGCGGGAAGGGGGAGGGCCAGGCACAGAGCCTACCCAAGACGGACAAGTATTTCTGGAGAAGAAGTGACTTCAAGATTTGAAGGTATCCGTATCCATACGCTCGAGTAAGGGCTTTTTTCCCCGGTCGCATTCCGCTTTCGCGATCATCTCGCGCTCCGTCAGAGACTCAAAGCCTCTGGAGTAGGTAAGGTCCCAGTATCTGAGGCGCCCCAGATCTTCCGAGCACGTTTTGCTAAGCTCACGCCCCCTTTTGGCCCTCTTCCCGTCCAGGGCAGTACGTACCTCGCCTCCCCTGCTTCCCGGTCCCTACAATGAACAAGTCGCAGCCCTGCGACGGGCGGTCCCCTGTCTTCACCTCTTTTTTTCCTCTCTCTTTTGCGCTGGCAGGTGAAAATTCCCTCTCTGGAGTCTGGAGTCTGGAGTCAGAGGTACCTTTTTTTCCCTCTGTTTTTCAGCCTCTTCGTTTTTTTTAATGCCGCTGCGGATCCGCACCTAGTGTACGGAGTACCTTGCTTATCGACTCCAGACTGAAGTGGCCTCCTCCTCCTCCTCCTCCACCCAATTAGGGTGACATAAGCCAGTGGATCTCTCCCCCGTCCCGGAACCACTGGCATCAAGCATTGGCACTGGTCCTAGCTTTTGTGAAGTTATTCCCACATGGCCGGGCTGCAACTCACGTATATTGTACGTACATCTTTCATATATTATTCTCCGGCGGGCTCAAGCAGGGTTTACGTTCACTCTCAAGCCCGCACCGAAAGTTCGTCCTGGCTTGTCAGTCAAGCATGCTTGTTATGGACCGAGCTCTGTTTGTTTTTTAATACCGTTCAAATGATGATGCCATTTCACCCTTGGCTTTCGCGCAATTACTCACGGGCAATTCGCTCTTCAGGCTAAACGCGTCAAACCGCAGCTTGCAAGGAAGCGAGCGAGTGAGCAAATAATTCTGGAGGGTAGGTATACGTTGCGTTGCGTATAGACTTGCCTCGAATTATGTACCGCGCTCGTACCATAGCATTGCTCCAGTTCAAGGTAGCATACACACCTCGGGTCCTCTGCGGTTGCATTACTGCTGGATTCAAGTCCCAAAACTTGAACCGAAGCAAATCCTAGACATCAATGGGACGTCGAAGTTTGAACAGACGTTCAAATTACACCTCGCGAGCCGCAAGTAATTCCCGCGTTCCCCGCCCTTTTTGTTCCAGCCAGTTTTTTTCCTTCTCCGCTTGTTTTCTTTACTCGTATGGAAACAGCTTGAGAACAAACCTAAGGCCATTTTTCCATCTTACGATCGTAAACACCATCGGCCAGGTAGGTAACCCGCTCAGATCCTAGGCCACACCCACAGCCCCCAATGCAACAGGTTCCAGCTTCAGTGTCAAATAGTAGGTGAGACTATTCGTACAGAAGAGTAAAATCCCAACCAAACTACTGCACAATGCCGTCCGTCCCTCCCTCCCCTTCCGCCGCCGCAGCACCCCCCGTCGGCTGAGCCAAGCCGAGGTCCTATCGGCTGACGCCGGAGAGAAGGAAACAGGAAAGAAATCTCAGCTGCGGTCCGCCTGAAACTATGTTTCTACCCATCATCAGCCGATGTTCCTTATCTGCGTGATGTATCTCCTAACCGCGCCAGACAGCGGAACCGCTCTATAGTATGTCACAGACAAGCCAAGCGGCATTATCTAAGAAAAGAAAGAGAGGTCTAGATTGAGCGATCTGGTCCGGGAGAGCAGATCGAAAGTGCCACTGGTGCCATCCAACCCGCCCTCTCTCCGCATTGAGGAAGTCACATATTCGATATGACATCGTCGATGGCAACCACTACCATCATAACCACCATCTGCAACCGATCACGGCCGATTCCCATTTTCCCTTCCCCATTTGCTACCATAAGCTCCTGCCGTCACAGTTAGTGAACAAATACAGAGCTGCAACTCCGGAGAAAACCGGAGCCACAGGACTCTGGCGCGTACAAAGTGCAATGCAAAGCAGGGGCTTGCGCCTCTTCAAACAAGGAGAATGCGTATCTCAGCCTCTCTGAGCCTTAAAACACTGCGGGAACAACTGGGCAGCAACCTTCAGCCAGAGAGACTACTGCACAGATCGCCCATTCGCCGCGGGTCGCATATAGCCGTACCGATGCAACTGCGGGGATGGTGGCAAAAGTCTTTGCATAGCACACATAGCTATTCGTACCTATCAGTGCCTCTGAACGGGAACGGGTTGTATGCCGGTCCCAGATATTCGTGTCCTGCAGAAACGGCCTCTTTTGCCAGCCCACTTGCGAGATGTATGTGACTCCGTACAGCGCGCAGCAATAGGGACTCAAGAAGTGGAGGGAGGGTGACATCAGGGACTTGAGACGATTTTTGCTGCAGGACTGTAGGCGCCTCCCGCTCCTCGGTCAGCCCACAATGCCGCTTAATCGTGCGGACGTCGTCTAACACTGGCTCCATGTTTCCCGGGTTTCCGCGGCGGCGGCGGCGAAGACGAACAACTACCACCGACCACAACCAATAGTACCGGTAGCCCAAAGAGCGAGAGCCGCGAGGTTGAGACTCAGAGACAATGACATAGCAAAGGCAAGACTAAGTGATGCGTCTACTACGCATACCCTGACTACCAGCCTTCATTGGCGGGAGCCGCAATGTGACGGTGCCCGCAACTCTGCAACAGGAACTCATTCTAGGCTCTCCTCTGTTGCTTTGCATCGACGAGCAGCATTGCTTGTCTTATCCTATGTGGTTGGCTCGTTCCCTGTTTTCCCATCTCACGATATAGGCTGTTTGGGTACCGTTATATGCGTTGCGCCTTTACCTGATGCCCCCAAAAGTCTCGAGTCTTGTCAACATTGCTTCTCGTTCGTTGTTGTCTCCGCAGTTGTCTCTCCGCAGTTGAATCTGCGGCACACACCCGTTTCTTCTCCCCCGCCTGAAGTCGTTCGATGGCCCCAGTGCACACCTCCCCCACACCGCCGCTCCCGCTGGCCCGCGTTGCCGCGACCACTGCCGAGATCTTCATGTGCAAGTTTCGTTTCTAGACTCTGGCGCGTGTTTGTTTTTTTAGAGTGCTCTTTATGACTCGGCAGGAGTTTGATTCCAAAGAAAGGTAGAGTTCAAGCGATGCTTGGACCTATGAGAGTATGGTTTGAGAATATGAATATATCACAGGCACAACAAGAAGAGGCAACAGAAACGGAAGGTCGTACCTACTTGGATAAAATGAGGTAGGCTTGCGTAACAATAGGATGAGTAGAGTTGCGAACCTTGCAGCGGATGACTTGCAGCGATCATGCACACATCCCGCTTCCCCGCCCGCCCGTCAACACACCCTCAGGTTACTCTGCCCTTCTCCCTTGAGTCCCCTTCCCCCAGCGCCGCCGGAACCGCTTGCTAAGTGCTCGGCGACGCGGAGGGAGAGAGACGTCTTCTCTTGCCGGAATTGGCTTCCAAAGCTGCGTATCTTTGCACATCTTGGCTGCTTGTGGCTTGAATGATGGACCCCCCCCTCCATCTCTTCCATTCTCGTCCTGCATATGCGGGGGACAAGGAGAATCTAGACCGCTGTTTCCCATGATACTGAAAGGAGGCAAATACAGATACAATAGCAATTACTACAGATGAAGTCGCAACTACACATTCTTTCCGGCCCGAGAGGCATAGGTGTAGTTGCAGGTGTAACCGTAGACTGCTCTCACAACGGGATCAACACAACGTCGGAATAGGATGATGGTCGACCGTTTTCTTTTCCATTTAGGTTTCTCGGAAGCTTTCGCACAGAGTTACAATTTTTTTTCCCTTATCTAATTACGAACAGGGCTCAATCGGTCTTTCACACATATCGCTCAGAACAGAATCCGTCGATGCTCAAACGTAAAAGAAACCGAGGGTATACACATTCACACTGAGCCTGTTTTTGAACGGCCACGGCTGCACGGCAGGTATGCTCGGCTTCTCCATCCCTCCTCTGACGACTCATGAAGGGAAATGGAAGAGGAGGGGGGGGGGGTGGGGGGTGCACATATTGAAACCATTGGATTTTTCTTCTTCCCTTATGCTTTTTCTCAGTTTGGATCGAAAACTTTGAGAGAGTTCATCGGGACACAGTTTGTCATGTTTCGCCTCGGGAAGTCTACGGCAAGTCGGGAAGAAGGGGCTGGTTGGCTTCGGCGGTGATGGTGGTGGTGGTTGCGGCTCTCTATTCCTCCGCACTTCCAACGGAAACCTTACGTCAGTGCCCTTTTTTGCTGGGTTGAACGTTCTATCAACATCATCACATGTCAACTCATCTACGTTTCTCTTTGCTGATGGCTGTCTCTCCCTTCCCCTCCACCCCTCCGTTTGCCCCGCAATATTAGAGCTGGCTCATGCTCATGCTCATGCTGACTGGAAGTGTGCTCATGCCGCATGAAGGACAAAATAACAGACTTCCCGACAAAAGAAGAGGTGGAGACCCTCGTTCCGGAATCCCTCGTGGAACTCGATTCTCGGCATGTTAATTGCATGATTGATGGCTTTGCCGACAATTGGAATGATTGCCATGTGTTGAGGAGAAGCTTTCTTGCTTGGGGTATGACGGCATTTCTTCGTTATGGCCTCGGCGTTAGCATTGGAATTTGGAGAGCATTCATGTGAGGAAGTTACGGAATACGTAAATGGGCTTATATCAAAAGTCAATGGTACTCGTTCCGTTGTTTCTCAAGCACATGTCGACGCCATGTGGTGACCAGAATGACATGGGTTCTTATCCATCAGAGTCGAGACTGTGGGCTGATTATATTCCAGTCCCTTCCCGGTTGTGAGGGTAAGATATGATTCTGTTAGTGGGATGACCCAAGCATCACGGCTTCACATTGGCCCCGGAAGCACATTCCGGGCTGCTCAGACCGACATAGGGCCGTATCGGAAAGGCAGTCAGGAAGTTCCTCTCAATGCAAGACGGAAGTAACACGTGCTTTCAACCAAGATACCGGGGAGGAGCCCCGAGTTTTACACCAGAATCGAACGTTGACGTGAGAAGCTTATCAGTCGACACTGTGTTCTGCATGTGAAATGTTTCTCGAGACACATTTGTTTGGTAGATGTGATGTATCCAAAACAGGACGACTGCGATTGGCCGAACCCTCCCATAAACCCAAATCGCTTCCAATGCTTGCCAAGGGAGAAGAAAACAGGCCAGATAACCAAAAGACGCCGGTAAAACGCAGTAAGAAGTAAACGCCATTACACCGATTGCAGTCTCATTCAACGATTTGTACAAACACCACACTACCCGACCCGCACTAATGCAAGAGGCAGAGACCAGAAATTCCCAACAAGATGATGAACCATGGCTTGAAACCCGGGGACGTCATGCCGAGTAACTCGGCGGGTTCGGGTCTGCGTACACCATGGTCGCCTTGAGGAAGATGAGCACCTCATACGCCGCCTTGGCAATGTCAAGCCCCTTCTTCTTCCACTCGGACTCGTACCACAGGTTCTGCAGCATATTGTCCGCGACGAGCGTGACGATGAAGCGCACGTGGTGGTCCTCGGCCGTCCACGCGCTCTTGTCCGGGCGGTAGACGACGAACTTGACCTTGCGGGCGTTGAGCGCCTCCCGCGCCGCCTGGGCCGTGCGGACTTTCTCCGGCTCCGGCACGGCGCTGGGACCGGCCGGGAGGCCGGTGGGACCCACTACGCCCGCCGCGGCGGCGTCGGCGATGGCGCGGGAGAGGAAGTCTGCGTTGAATTCGTTCCAGGGCCCGCGGACAAAGTTGCTGTCGAGCCAGTCGTGGAACTTGGTGGTGTCTTTGAAGGGGAGGAGCTCGAGAAGGAGGCGCTCGTGTTGGGAGGATGGGAGGAGGCTGGCGGGACGGAGGCCGGTGTCCGGGCCGGCGATGTGGGCATGGCGGCGACAGTCCCGACGGGGGTGGGCTTGGGGACCATACGGGGCGTTGGGGGAGGAGAGTCGAGGCGGTGGTAGGGGAGTTTTGTGATGGGTGAGGAGGATTGTGTTGTGTGCCTGCGTGGACGTGGGATGCACATTGGAAGAAGACGAGTGCGACTGACAGCACCAAGGGAAACGAAGTTAAAGAGACAGGCAGAGTGACAAAGGACCTAGGGTTGGGAAAGCTGCAGGTGACTTAATTGTAGACTGCGGCTGTACAGAGAATCTGCCTGACCACGTTCGGGTTGGACCCGTTACATATACGTCCGTCTTTCAGCCCTACCATTTTGGGGTCGCTATCCACCGGATATGCCTCACTTTTTGGGTCCTTTTGTTTTGACGTCAATGTAGCATGTCCCCCTCGTTTCGTCTTGTTCTAAGTCGCTGCCTGAGGGGCTTTTCTTTGCTATGAATGAACGCTGCGTCGGAGAAGTGTTGGATGGGGACTTGGACTTTTGGGGGGGCTTACTTCTAGGCAACAGAGCTGAGATGCAGCGCCGGCGAATCAGGAGTGCCTGTGTCAGCCGCGCTGCTCACGGCGCTTACGCGGCCGTGAGGGAGCCAAGCAGTGAGATGCGCAGCATTCGTCTGACCATTTGCATCAAGCCTGGACTGGGAGAAATGGTGCTGAGCGCCAGGTTTGCAGTAGATCATGCGCGCCGGGCCTCGATGCAAGTGGATGGGAGTTGGAGACGTTATTTCAGGCTCCAAAAATTCTTCGGCCCCCGGCCCCGTGCCTTGGCACTGAAACACTTTGATAGACCACATAACTTGTAAGGAAAATAGAGGAACACCAATCAGTGTACTCGTGTTAGAAAACGTCGGACGGCTGTATCTTTTTCCAATATCTGCTGTGGTGAGATCTGTTGTGATAAGCACATGCGACATTGGCTGTTGAGCATTAGCGAAACTGATTTCAGTCTTCCCAGTCTAATCAAATACGAAGCCCTGTGGATGTAAAGGCTCGAATGCTATTGCAAGCGTTTCTCAAAAGACAGTTATCATGCCCACAGTCAGTAAGACGGTCAACTGAGGAGAGGCTTCACTGACTTTCAGACTCACGGAATAGGAACCATGCTGTAATAGCTTGATCTTAGATGAAGTCTTATACGCGAGGTATTTTCTTGTAAACCCTTCTTTCTTGAATACGACGAGATCTTTTAGATATTTCCCGCAGTGTTCTCTCACTTAGGACTCGGCTGCCTCCAGTGGGCAAGTCACAACGTGACTGCAAGTGCCGTAGACCCTTCGCTCAACAAAGGTTTCTCTGACTAGGTCGTTCCTGCTTGTTGACTGTAGTTTTAAGGCATCTGGTGGTCGACTAGAAAGGGCCATGGGCAGATCTCGCAGACGCAGCAACATCGATGAGGGTCCTAACGGCTTCATTCTAGTACCCAGGTAATCGTCCTCTAGTGGCCATCCCGACTGCATCCAACAAGACTGTAACATACATGTCAATGAAAGGCAGGTCAGCCAGTGAATAGGAATGATTTAAGTTCAAAGAAGTTCGTAATACAGCATCATAGAGGTTCCGAGTCACGATTTAATTTCAGAATGAACGCTTCAAGCCAGAGGGGTTATTACGGACGCTGGAGGGTGGATTAACGAATATGACTCGAGTGTGAATGCTAAAGGAGCCCAATGGTAACTACAAGTATTGAAGTGCCTATCAATCTTATTCATTGTGAAGAATTCGGTGCGTCGAGCCACCTTCGTCAGTTGCCTCAGCGGGACTGATTCGCATCCTAGTGGAGCTCGACATAGAAGAACCGAGCACAAGGTATTGCACAACTTCAAAAGCTACATCATGCAGATCATAGCAAATCATTCTAAAATTTTACAATTGCAAAGAAGTCATTCACATTCTAGTTTTGATAAAGTGCGGAATTTAGAGCCTCAACATTTCGATTCTTCAAGACAAGAATTATGGGGCACACCTGGAAGGTAGCAAGGTTGAGGTTGTCACCGACGACTCACCGCCTTTGGCAGAATCAATGGACCCACTGAAATTTCTCTCGCCGACCAGCGACGACGTGCGATTCGAACGAGCCAAATCGACAACGAGTAGCCAAAATTTGTGTATCATCACACATGACTGTATGTTGAAGCCATACCTTCAAGGAGCTATACGCCAAGGCACACGCGCTGCGAGTCGCCAATTCTGTACACAGTCCTTGTCTTTACGCCTCCAATCACTCCGATTGAAAGACCCTTCATCCATCTCTCTCACTCACACAGCCTACAGAGGCAGCATAAACACGTCGCAACTCATCAGATTCTGCAGCAGCTGTTCAACCACCGATAGTGATATTACAGTCACCATGACCGGGAAGGAGCAGATCTTCACCTACGATGGCAAGGACTACAAGGGCGTGACCGAGGGCAAGGCCACGATCTTAGTCCCCGCGGAAGTCAACGACAAGGGCCAGCAGGTGTTCTACAACCCCATCCAGCAATTCAACCGTGATCTATCCGCGCTAGCCATTAGAGTGTACGGTGAGGAGGTCGTCGAGAGGAAGGCTGCGCAGGCTGCGAAGGCGGCCGAGGCCGCTGCCAAGCGCAAGGACAAGAAGAGACGGCGCGCGGCTGCGGATGAGGGCGGCAACCGGCCGGTCAAGGTCCAGGTTACAGACGACGGCAAGGCCGCTGAGGCTACCAACGGCAGTGAGACGCAACCCGAGAATGGCGTCAATGGCACTAGCACCGAGGCCCAGGAACCGCAGGCGACTTCAACAGTCGCCGAGGTGCCTGCAAAAGCCACGGAAGCCAAGGAGGGCCAGACCGAGGGTGAAGACGCAAAGGCTGTGCCGGAGAAGGAGACGGCCCCTCCTCGCTTTACCATCCTGGACGCCTTGTCAGCCTCTGGTCTTCGGGCGCTGCGCTACTCCCACGAGCTGCCTTTTGTGACCTCGGTAACCGCCAACGACCTGACTAAGAGTGCGATTGAGTCAATGAAGTTGAATATCAAGCACAACGGACTGGAGGACAAGGTTGTGACGAGCCACGACGATGCGATTGCGCATATGTACCGGCGCATCGCAGACGACTTGTCGAACAGAGATCGATTCGGTAACCCCAGCAAGGAAAACAGGTATGATGCGATCGATCTGGATCCCTACGGAACGGCCGCGCCCTTCCTGGATGCCGCTATTCAGGCCGTTAGAGACGACGGTGGCTTGCTTGCCGTCACCTGCACCGATGGCAGTCACTGGGCAGGTCACTGCTACGCCGAGAAGTGCTTCTCCTTGTACGGCGGTGCCCCCGTCAAGGGTCTTCACTCGCACGAAGTTGGCATTCGCCTGATCCTCCACGCCTTGGCAAGCGCTGGATCAAAGTATGGTCTGACCATTGAGCCGCAGCTGTCCCTCTCCATCGACTTTTACTGCCGAGTCTTTGTCAAGGTCCGCAAGTCCAAGGACGCGGTCAACTACCAGGGCGGCAAGACGATGATCATGTACAACTGCCCCGGGTGCTCGGCTTGGGAGACGCAGCCCATGGTCCGGACGCGCGCTGCGCCCAAGAAGAAGGAGGGATACTTTTACAAGCACGGGTTGTCCCAGGGACCCCCTACCGACTCGCACTGCAGACACTGCGGTTCATCGATGCACATTGCGGGACCCATGTACAGCGGTCCTTTGCACGATCCCGAGTTTATCCAGCGTATTCTCGACGTCTTGCCGACGGTCGACAAGAGCGTGTACCAGACGACGTCTAGAATCGAGGGCATGCTCCAGACGGCTCTCGAAGAATATCTCCCGGGCCCGGAACCAGCGGAGGACCTCGACCCCAAGGACAAGGAGCTCGCGAGGGTGGACCACTACCCCTTCTTCGTCATGCCTTCGAGGTTGGCCGGTACGTTGAGCACGCAGCAGCCGCCGGACGACATGTTTAGGGGTGCGCTGAAGCACCTAGGCTACCGCGTCACCCGTAGCCATTGCCGGCCCGGAAGCGTCAAGACGGACGCGCCGTGGGATACGATTTGGTTCGTTATGCAGGAATGGGTTCGCCAGAAGGCGCCGGTACGCACAGAGAAGATCAACTCGCAGATGCCGGCGTACAAGCTCCTGGGTCTGGACAAGACGGACAACTTGGATACCAACGGAAATGCCACAGAAGTCAAGAAGGCCGATGCGACAGTGGAGGTGGCGGCGGAAGTGGAGGAGGAGGCTGCCAAGGAGGAGGAGGAGGAGGAGGAGGAAAAGACTACGGACGTCGAGATGAAGGACGGGTCGGAAGACAAGGTCGAACAGAAGCTGTCCGAGGAGGCGCTGCGTAAGACGCTCGTGTTCGACGAGAATCTCGCCAAGCTCGGCAAGCGTAGGGAGCAGAGAAAGTTGGTCAGATACCAGATGAACCCGCGGGAGAACTGGGGCCCCATGACGAGGGCGAAGGGCGCGTGATCGCACGGGACACGGGAAGAAGAAAAACACAGTCGACTTTAGCCGAGATGAAGCATTATCAGATTGATCAACACTTGAAGCCGTGCAATGCGAGGTAAACAGTCCTATCCATCTGTTCGAGAATTGGAGACTGACGCAAAGTCGTCACAGGTGCGTATGTCTCCAATACACCTCGACCCTCTTCAAATTTGGCAGGTAGGTGCCCCCATTCGCATCTACCTGGACAATTGAAGCATCGACGCCAGCCCATGGCTCTTCCAGCCTGCCCGTCGTCCCTTCTTGAACGCGCACTCCCGCGGCCTAGTGGAGGTCGCGAAAACCGAAACTTCGCAACAAAGTATAGACCCCAATTCGTCCTTCCTTTATCCCAAGTTGCAATCCATACGGTGGGATGGCCGAGTGGTCTAAGGCGACAGATTTAAGCTTAGTAAGCACCTCTGTTACTCGTGAGAGTGCGCGGGTTCGAACCCCGCTCCCATCATTTTGACTTTTTGCGCATGCGTGAGTGATTTGTGGGGTGTCGGGGGTCGTTTTTGTGCATTTATTGCGTGCGCAACTGGGCGACTCGAGTGGAATTGCTATATGGTAAGTAAGGTCTGGCCAGGAAAGGTAAATAGCCGGGCCTGTGCAACATGGTTCGGGCGGCGTTTCGGGGGTCGATTGGTCGGTGTTCCGGGCGGTGGCAGCGGAAGGGTGGCCACCCGGCCCCGGCTGGCTTGGCTGTTGGGCCTCGCTACAGGCGCTGTTTTCTGGGGGGGCTTTTGGTGCCCCGCCGCCCTTCCTTATGCCGGGATGACTCCGATCCCGTTAGCTTGGTGCGCTTGATGCCTGTGAAATAACGCAATCGCTGAGTCTATGGCATACTCTCACCAACTCATCCACAGCACCAGCCACATGTAATTTGTTCAAGAGACGATTTGTAAGTGAAGTGTGTGCCAACTCCAGGAAGGAGGGCCTCACGCTTACCTAGTACAATTCATCGCTCACCGGGAACTTGGGACAGGGTTGCCAGCGCCTGCGCTTCCAGTGCATCCGGGCTTACTCCCAAGGCACTAAGTGAGATTTCACCGCGTTGTAGAGGAGGAGGTACCTGTCGGCCACCTGCCTGAAGAGGCTTCGTCTTGTTTCTGGTCCATCAGTGCCTTCCTCCTTGCTAGCCGGTTGCCTGGTTGCACCTTGAAGTCTTGATAAACCTCGCATCAACGTCACTTGTGTATCGCCATACTGAAACACCGGTGGCAAAGGGGATTGGAGGCGACAGATTTGCACCCCGTTTTCTGGCCTGAGACTTTTCGATCAACTGCTTTCTCTCGAGATCAAGGACCAAGATGAGCAACGTGGACGTCGCCGAACCTTTGGGTGAGCCCCGCGCTGATGGCCTCGTACCCCGCCACGCCCGCGATGCCGCCTTCACCGACGGTAAACTCACCTTCACCACTCAAAACGGTAGTGAGTCAGCTCGCCCAGAAGAGATAATCTTTGTCATCCCCGCGGACAGCAATGCGGCCTCGCGTCCCATCATCTGCGTCCTCAAAGAAGACCCCGAGGCCAAGGAATCCCCTTATCAGCTCGACATTATCCTGCTCGAGGAGGGCGACCTGCCTGCCGAACTCACTAGCGGCGACCTCCTGCTCCCACACTTCCCGGAGCATCTCACGCCCAGACCGGAAACTCATGACGTGCACTTTGTCGTCTCTACCAAGTCCGGGCTGGGTCACGCGCCAAAGTTTTGGGACGGCGTCGTTCAGCCTCTGGTTCTGCTCGCGGGGCAAAAGACGACATCTGAGGATCTCGCGTCCACTTTTGCTTCAGAGGAGTCATTAGCCCAAGGCACAACTCGCCTACCACCCAGCTTCAATGTCCTGATAACAGAAGACGCCGACAGCGTCCGCAAATTCGCACAGGAGAGGTGGACCGCCAGGCAAGCAGTCTCGAGCTCCGCCTCCTCACCCCGGACAGAAACCATCGTTCTCCTAAGCGGCGACGGCGGCGTCGTCGACCTCCTAAACGGGTGCGAGGAACAGGAGAAGGAAACTTCATCCTCCGTCGCCGGGACCCTGCCGACGCTTGTTCTTCTGCCCCTCGGCACGGGCAACGCTTGCTTCCACTCGCTCCACAAACCCCTCTACACCGAGACGGGGCCCTCACACATGGTGCTCGGCCTCCGCACCCTCTTCTTCGGCACCTCGCGCCCGCTCCCCAGCTTCCGCGCCTCCTTCTCTCCCGGTGCCCGGCTCATCTCCTACACGGCCGACCCGGGCCCCCACGCACCGCCGGCCGAGGGAGAGGATGATGAGACGACGCTCTCCCGCCACGACACGAGCGTTGACCACCTCTTTGGCGCCATCGTCGCCAGCTACGGCTTCCACGCACAACTAGTGTGGGAGAGCGACACGCCCGAGTACCGCAAGCACGGTGACAAGCGCTTCGGCATGGTGGCGCAGGAGCTGCTCAAGGAAAGCCACGCGTACATCGCCACAGTCGAGTTGCGGGCCCCCGGAACCGTGGAACGGAGGCGTGTAGAGCGCGAGAGGTTCGGGTACGCTCTCGCAGCCATGGTGTCGAACCTTGAAAAGACGTTCACGATCGCGCCGGACAGCGCACCGTTGCAGGGCAGGCTGAAGCTGGTGCATTTCGGGGCTGTGGGCGGGGAGAAGACGATGAAGATCATGATGGCTGCGTATAAAGACGGGGCGCACGTCGGTATGAAGTGGGCGGATGCGGAGGGAAGGGAGGACTATCTTGGGTACGAGGATGCGGAGGAGATCAGGGTGACGACTGGGGAGACGGATCCGCGGTGGCGGAAGGTGTGTGTTGACGGGACGATTGTTGAGATTCCTGAGGGCGGGTGGATGGCTGTTGAGACGCTGGAGAGGCCGCTTTTTGGGATACTTGCTGATCGGTCAGTGGTATAGGCTGGCAGATGAGGGAGGGAAGAGAATGTCTGAAGATGTTGGATTCGTGATGAAGGAGTGACGGGCAAGAGGTGTCCATGGTAATGACTCTACGTTTTCTTACGGACAACACAAGATGATAGATTGGCTTTTAGTATTGTTCAAGCCATCGGAATATTGATTCCTGGCAGCGTTATTATAACCAAGAGGTGAGAATCGTCCAAGTCTTGTTCTCATATCGCAAAGACCTCCCAGATATGCAAAAGAAAACTGTCTGATGTCACTTCACAGTGTGGCATGTCGCTGATCGCCCCCCAACAACGACCATTACGATCTGCAAGACGTGGTGTATAGTACATGAAACCTCGCCGCGGAGACGGAGACTATACACAGGTACGGGGGTGTTGCTGGTTACAGCTTTGGGATACATCCACGATAAGTCCAGCAAATGTCCGAGAAAACCATCATTGGGAAAGCCTGGGCTTTGTACATATCACGTGGCACACCACTTCTTCCAAACTGAATGCTCTGAGGAAGAAGGGGGTTTCCGCCTCGCAGTCGTTTGCACACACATGAACGACAAACATTGGAACAATATTCGGCAGCAACATTTGCGAATTTCCTGTGACCTTCTTTGATGAGAATAAACTGTGAGACTTCGATAACGATGTGTTCTCGTGTGGTTCTCAACAGGTACAAGTGTCAGTGTTCTGGATCCTCGAGGAAAGTTTGGAGCACTCGCCGATTCTCAAATCCCGAGGTATGAGGTTCGGTCGAGTTCCGTTTGGAAGGGTAGAAACTACAAAAGATCAGTTCTTGAGTGATGGAGAACGCCCCAATGTACCAATACTATGGCATCTCGATCTTTGCTCGCTCAGTATGGTTCGAAGTTCCCAAAACGAAGACTGACAACACCACCCATCACGGCCGAACGTGACAGAATATCGATTCATTTCCTAAGCCTCGACGCTGAAAACACGCATAGAGAACTAGACAGTGATATAAATTGCGAGGAGCTGCGGCTACTACAGAAGCCACGGCAAGACTCATATTCCAGGACTTAGTTACGCAAGTCGGAAGAGTAGTCTCAAGATAATTCCATACAACCGCTCCCACAACATCTACTCAAAGTTCTTGGTAGGTACATATCTCTCAGCAGGTCAATATGCCCAGGCTATTGCATTTATCCAATCCACTCTGACCTTTGACTGACGCAGGAACATACGAACCTGCACCAGCTCCCCGCAACGACGGATTGGGTCTATGTATGCGAGTGGTAAGACTGCCGAAACCGAATCTCCATTAGGGAGAGGGCCGAAACAAGAAGGTTGCAAGCAACGACATTGGCTTTGAGAATTCTTCAAGAGAAAAAAACATAGAGCTTCATTCCATCTTCAGATTGCAGGCCATTCAAATTCCAAGAAAATCTAACAAAGATTCGGGCTGGATCTATCTTTGTGGCCAAACTTTAATAAGCCGTATGGATGGAATCATACCTCACGATACTCCAAATCTCTCTGCTTGTAGCACCCTTCCGTGGTTTTCTGTCATGAGATCGATCTGAGAGACCAGAAAAACTCATTGGCTTCTCACTTTCGTGAAAGTTGCCTGTTTAGGCTCCGACGGCAGATGTCGGGTCCACTGGAGGACTGGCAGCGGGTTCTAGACCAGCTATTCGTCTAGGAGACGCTCGTCTTTACCCTCTGGGTTCCAGAGATACACAACATCCAAGAGAGACGCAATACTTGACTGGCTTGGGTTGGAGCTATCCTAGATATACGGCGAAAAAGAACGGGTCGTCATCTAGCCGTATGGACATTGGCCGTGGCCAGTGTATGTTAAATCTCCTCGTCTTCTCGGATTGATAATGTACTTGAACAGTTCCGTACCTTCGCGTCCGAAAAGCGTCGTCAGATTTCATGACGCCTACCTCTCTTCGGCAAAGCCTGATAGATGCTGCGCTTCATCAAGGCCCAAATTCCGAGCTTGATTGAGGAACATGAGACCTTAGAGATAGCTGGTGTGTTATAGGTAGTTTTGGCTCCTCAACAACGACGCTGATGACGAGGATATTTTTGTGTGATATACGACATGCTCCACGCAGAAGTCTCTCATTTCTCACGAGTAGTTTCGAGATAGTTCTTCAGTCACTGAAAGTCAGAACAGTGAGATGGTGGCTTGAAGGAGTAGGGAGGCTCGGATCAGTCTCCTGGATGCACGATCCGTGAGAAGAGGCTATCAAGAATGGCGGATTGAAGTTGCCTCATCTCACCGCTAGGTTGACTGGCCTCGAAGAAACAAGCATATAAGAGTAACACGTGGTTGTCGAGCCTCTTGGCCAGATCAGACGGGATTTATCCTGCGAAAACAAAACTCGGAGGTGGATATTAAGATACCTGTATATCTACAGGCTACCCTGAACATATCAGAACGCAAGGTGGCTTCATCGGAGACTTCGTGTACACTTGCAGCTCTTGATCTATCTCCGAGCTTTGATTGTGTATTTCGAAGACGTGTTACTGTCCATTCTGGTTGAGCCATGTTGTTCTTCAAGTACTCCATCACTGAGCAAGAAAGGAAATATACAACATCGTGACAGCGGGGCACGTCAACGCTCTTCTTAACCTAGATACCCCGTCGCTTGAACGGCCCCTGCATATAGGCTTGAGCTGTATCTTTGGGGCCTAGCGTCATGAGTTGTCGCCCGTGATACCATGTCCTCATAGCCAATCCAAGAACCTAGTTACCGTGGTTTCAAGTCTTGCAGAATCTAGTATCAGAGCAAAATGCCCAAGTGAAGCTCAACCTCTCCTCGAGCAAGCGGGCTATACCACAGACGAACTTGAAAGAAGCTTCCGCCACCAGAAGCCCCATAAAAGCCTCAGCGAAGCCTCAACAGCACGTCAATACTAAACTGATGCTCGCGGAGTTGAGAAAAGCCTACTATGATAGTATTGAAAGGCTATAATCAGGGCCTGGAACCCCCAAGAAGCATCACGTCTCCCCGTAGGTGCTGTTACGGCGGCAATGAATGGGCGATTTGAGCCCGATGCCTAGTCTTGACGCTTAACATCGTAGCTCCTCGTCAGTTAACAACACGCCGATATTATCCATCCCGCGGAAGTATAACAGCCGAAGTTCGGGTGGCTCGAGGTATATGACAACATTCCTACCATGGACTTAAAAGGTAGTTGACAAACCAACCCCTCTTGGATCCCCTGATTTCCCCCTGAGACACAAGAACAGGAGATTGAGTCTTGTCTTCTTCCCTATTGCCAGGGACAAAGGATAAGGACTGAGACACAGCGCTTGGAGACCCACAGGCGCGCAGATGACAGTGAGACCGTCACGAAATCTCATGATGGGGAAATATACCGACTCACATACAAGCTTGACCCAAAACCCTTAAAAACAGGGAGCCGACAACCCGCAAGCCACATGGCGCTGTTTTCCTTCGTCACCGCTCCACCCGTGACCCAGCCACAGAAACGTTGCATTCTTCGGCAAGAGGGATGGGAATGGGAACGAGAACGAGTGGGAAGACGTTTTCCGTCCTCGGGCCTAGGTAAGCCCGGGATAGGGCAAGGAAAAAGAAAAGAGGAATGGGGCTATTGCCAGTAGGGCAACAAATTCGAGTGAGTATTTCATGACGCAGGCCGTAAATCCCCGCTGCTGTGCACCCCTCGGCCCGACGAGATCACAATCAGCCACCACCCCTGCCGGCCCCATTGGAGCATGCCTGGATCGTAAGAGTGGCTGCCCCCTAGAATGGTCGTATTTTACTCGCAAAGCCACTCGGATACAAAGATGCATAGCAACGCTCGATCGTAGAAAAATGTCACGAGGTGGTTCGTATCGTTGGTGGCTTCTAGGAGGAACAGCATATCGTGGGGTGATGAAATAGATTAAGCAGATGACCGGAAGAGGCACCCAGTAGGAAGGTTCTGTGGTAACGTGTTGCCCAGAGAGCAACATCATCCGCAGATTCGGTGCAACTGCGCGATGCAGGGATCTGGCTCTGAGTTTCTCAGGGATTTTACGGCAAATACCTAAAGCTGAAGCTATAGCTCTTGCCAAGAATGATCGTGGCATTCAAGGAACGATAGGTGCCTGGGAAGCGCCGGAACTCGGATTACCACCACGAGCTAACGACAATCAAGGAACGGAACGGGAGGTAGCTTGACAAGGGAATCCGCCCTAGACACAGTGTGGCGGCAGTTCAGGTGCTGCCAAGCTCGTTTGCGGAAGCTTTACCGCAGGCCGGAAGACGCGTGGCCGGACTTCGTCGATTTCGTGAAAGACAAGGACAAGAGGGTGGCACGGTGGGCAATGCCAGCTGAAAAGAAGGAATGGTTCCATCGTGCCGTTGGCACCATGTCACCATGTCAGCAGATGACGGTGCGGTGAAGGAATCTAAAAGTTGTGATCTGCATGCACTTCATAGTAAGACGTAGGGGGAATGGCATCCCATTCCTTCTAGGAGCCGTGAAGCGCGAAGGTGCCAGGTTGTAGGGGTCAGACGGGAGGATCTCTGAGGATATCCATAAGGCTGAGGAGGATTGAAAGTTTGTACAACCACAGCCCTGGCTTTAGTTACAGGTGGAGAGGGGCGAATCAAGCTGCTTACTAGACACTGACGAGAGACGGGCTGTACGAGTACTCCTGGAGCTGGAATGCCCTCGTGAAGTGCAATTCCAACGATGTATTCAGCGGTGAAATTACGGTGGGCAGAAAATAGGATCCGGCCCTGAGACCGTTAGCCGGGAGCGGACGAATAATGTAAAAGCAGGATGACATTGCCGAGACAAGGGCAAGGCTGGAAGTAAGACTCAGGGAAAGGGAGATGACTTAACATGGAGCAAGGGTATAGAATCTATGACGCTTTGGGTCTGAGATCGAAGCCGACATTCCTTCCACGACCGGACGTTCAGGTCCGACTCTGGATGCGAAAGTGTGATATGGTGGCTGACATCGAGAAGATGGCTTGTGGTCAGGGAAGAAAGAGATTGGAAGCCTGGTATAGTGTGGATCGATCAGGCGAGGTAGCTGGCATGGCTGGCTGGGTAGTCAGAGTCCGAGAGAGAGAGAGTCTGGGCCCAAGGCAGCAAGTAACATGAGGTCCAGTGCAATCTTTGTCATTAGATCATCCCTTCGGTGCTCGGTGAAGGTGTACCCCGCACCCGGGCCGACCATACCTTCCCGTTCGACGCCCCGGAACGCGCACTGTGCATCCTGCACCCTAGCGCGCCGTTCGTCCCATCCACGTTCCCGTCCAGAGTTCACCGATGCTCGACGACGTGTCTCTCCTGGAATCTTTGCAAGCCAAGGCAGGTTGTTAGTTAAGTTACCTTGTCTGAACGTAGCGCATGAACGGAATAAGCCGTACCATTTCCGACCAAAAACTAGTTTGGCCGAAAGCAGCCGCACTTACAAGATATGCCGGGCTGTCAAAGATTCCCGCCACGGGGCGGGCGCCGTCACTGGAGCCAGGGCGCGCGTAGGGTCTGGACCCAGGTACCTACCTTACCTCAAGCTACCTAGTCCCCCATGCTCGGGAACGGAGCAGAACACTGAATGACATGCTGACTTAAGCTGTCTCTTGTGCACCCTTATTCCCGATTGTCACCATCTGTTCTTGCATAACAAAATCTCTGACTCGTCCACATAGACTCGTCCAGGGGGAACTGTGAGACAAAATCGAAAGAGAGACAGACAAAAAAAATTTGGCACGCGGGGATTGAAAGCCCGCAATGACATCTCAGACATTTTTCTGCCTCTCAAATCTCCAAGCGGAGACATCTCTGGACCCCTCCGGCCGCCCACCTCTAGGCTCTCCCTCCCATCTCTTTCTTAGGTAGCTCTCCCGGTCTCCCCCCCACAGTCAGGCCCAGGGTGCTAAGTCAAACAGGGACAAGGCTATCACGCATAAGCCCAGTGGTCTCAGGGATCCAAGACTAAGTAGGTAAGCCAAGCCCATTTCGCCTTTCCATTCCGTTCCCCCTCTGCCACTTGCACGCGGCGCGCCTTAATCCTTTCTTCTTTTTCTGCCCGCCCGCGGAAGCTGCCTTTCCCATCCCCCCTAGACTAAAACCAAAAAGTAACTCCAAGTTTCCTAGCTAAGCTCCTGCCTCCCCTCTCTCCACAGGATGTCACTCAAAAACCTTAATTGGACATCAATTGGAAAAAAATTGTGGAGTTGTTCCCCAAGCCATCTATGCGCATCACACCAACCACCAAACGTGCCTACCTTGCCTGCACCCATGATCTGATCGTAAGGTGGCTGACTTTGGGAAGCAACGATGAGCTTATGGGAGGAAATAGCGGGGGAGCGTTGGTAAGCAAGTATGAAGGTAAGCACCGGCGAGAAGCAGGCACCGGAGACCTGAGAAGAGTTGTAGGTGACGAATAAGACGAGTAAAGCATTTTCGGACATGACCTCCGTGTTCGAGCACATCCTTTCGTTTTGTCGCCTGTCAAAAGCAGCACCTACCTTCAATCGTCCCTAATGACGACGGACTCTGTACACCCCCCCCCCCCCTCTCCGAGTGGCAGAGGGTACAGAACGTCGAAGCTCAACCTTCCTCTCCAGCCTTCATCTTACCGTTTTGCATCCGCTTCTATTTGCCCATTTATCGAACAACGGAGAAGGCCAAATCTCATCACAACAATTCGAACTTGGCAACAAGAGGCATCAGCCGAGATCGCCACTTTCCGGCGCTTCGGGTCGTGCATACCGCCATCTCTGTCCTTTCAGACCTTTCCATTCCCACAACTGTCAGCCACGGGCCATTCCGACCGTTTCTTTCCTTACCTAAGCCCGTGTCCCCTGCCTGTCCATCTCTCAGGCACTCCACTCTTCCTTCCCCGAACTTAAGGTACTTTGTACTTTGTACCGTCCGGACTTGTGTCACTTAATCCGGGCTCCATTATGAACATGGGCTTGCTTTTCCTTCCATCACACTTTATCAATTTCATCACATCACACCGAAGACGATTGTAATCACGATTAAATCCAAAGTTGGCATCTACACCCATATGACTGGGAATTTGAGGCCCTCACCCGATCACATAAAAGATGATCACAGGGTACACGCCCAAGAACGCAGCTGACGCCGTGCAACGAATCCACCCAACCAACCATTTGATGGAAACAAGCCCCTATTCATCACCTAGATGCACTCACATACATATCTCCCAGCATCAAACGGGTTGCTGCGTCTTTTGCATAGCCCAATGAACCCAAACAACCAATTGAGCGGAACGGGGACTAACAGAGCCAAGAAAAGAAAACACCACCTCCTGCTCACTCCTCCCCGAAAACGAAGTGTTTCCAACGCCTTGAAAGTACGGTAATCAAACAACTCGATCCGCATGCACCCGTCGGTGTCTCCCGCCCACGCGCATGAACCAACGGCTTCATCGTCCCCTATCCCTCCCAAGCTCCCCCTCCCCCTTCTCATTTGCAGCTCACAAGCATGAAAAGTTCGCGATCCCGTCTACCCTCCCTCTCCACCACAGCAAAGCACCTGAGCGACTCTCTCCTGACCCTCTTCCCGTCGTTCATGTTGTGTTCCGACAAGGTTCGTATAGAACCATACCAGCGGGAATTCAACTTCTTTTCTTTTCTCAGCGACTAATTCTCCTTTCTTACTTCTTGCACAACGACGACAATCTTTCTGCACTTCTACCCCCCCTTCTCATCGACGTTATCCTTCCCTTTTCCTCCCCCTATTTCCTCGTCCACTTCTGACTGGTCCGCATGAGGTATGTGACAGAAGACCCAATGGAACCATCCCCTCCCCCTCTTGAACGAGAGAAAAGAGACAATTCTGCAATCTGCGGGACCTCACACCAGACTTCACCCCAAACAAGGCCCTTTCATCCTCCCCCCCCCCCGCCTTCCCAATCACTCCCTGCCCTGCCCCCCTCGTGAACCCCACCACACCACCCACGAACCCGTGAATGTGCCAAACTACACACTGCCACACCCCCCTAGACCAGACCTGCCTGCCAGCCATCGGGTAGGTGAAAGACTCATATTGGGTGGAAATTAGCAAGGGCTGGCTATGATTTCCGGGCCAAGCCGACAAAAGCAGCCGTGCAGCTTGTGCAGCTCGTACAGGGGTAGGGGTACCGGTAGAGGGAAAGGGAAAGGGAAGGCAAGTCGCAAAGATTCCAAGTTTGCTTGCCTTTACCTTGCATTTTCCTAATCCTCTCTGGCACTTTGCTCCTAGCTAAGAAGGGGGAGGGGAGAAGGAAACGGGATGCTCCTCTCCCCCACCCTCCCACACACACACTATCATCCCCTCGGACTGTGCCCAGCCCAGCCTTCCTTCCTTTCTGCGCGGCTGCGCGTCCTGTCGCATTTCAGCCATACCCGTCGTCGGATTTTTCAAAAGACGAACAAAGAGGTTCGCATTTTGTCCATTCGAGGCCTTTCTCTCGTGGGTAATGGAGCAGACAATAGGTCCACATCTGATGGATATACGGCACAGTTTCATAGAGGTATAGAGCACTTTGAGGGATCATGTCGTCAGGAAGCAATGTCTGGGGTGGATGACAATGTCAGAATTTCGTCGCAAAGGACAAGAATATGTGGAAGGGCTAGGAGCTAAGTTTAAGTTGCCGCATTGATCCCAAAAATAATAAACAAGCCAAGTACCTGGCATTGGCACCTGCCGTTGCTTCCCCAGTACCTGGCCCTCCAAAAACACAAGTCCTTTCCGCCTTGAACTTCCGTGTTCCATCCTCCCTCCCCCGTGTCTCTCTTGCCCTCTTATCCCGTCTCATGTGGTATCTGCGTTCCAACTCGATAGGAAAAAAACCTTGTCTTTGTTGAAACGAATGTTCCATATCCTCACAGTATTACAGCACCGCATGGCCTTTCGAGAACAGAAAAGGAGCCGTGAACGAAGGAAATTCCCAAACATGAAGGGGAAACGAAATAGAAAACAAAATCAGAAAACAATGCGTGGCGGGTATCCCTAACAATATCTGTCGTTCACCGTAGTACCCCCTGACCCCTGGCCGACAATGTCTTTTGTTTTCCCAAACTTTTCCTTCCCAAGATGTTTCAATATCGGGGTGTGCTGGGGGCAAATTTCCCCAAATCCAATTTCAAACCAACAATTATCTTTCTCTTTTCCGCGCGCCAATTCGCCGTGATTCCTTTATTGTGTTTCCCCTCGCCCATATTGTGCTTACTCAATGTCAACGATGTCTTCAGTCTCGTTCGGGTATCGAGTGGTGCTCCTGATGCCTGTGTTGCTCCCATACGCCAGAGTCTCGCCTTCATATTTATGCCAAATTTTCATTATTTCTTCAGGAAACGAAAACAGAAAAAGAGTATCCGAGAGAAGAACAGCTGTTTGCTGATAAACAGTTTGCTCCCTTTCTGCTGGTGGACCCTACCGCCGCGGGGTTCCTCGTTGTACAGACCGTGGTCCACCATGACGGCCTTGGTTTTCGCCAAAGTTGCCCGTTCATGTTCATGTCATATTGGAGGCGTTGACACCGGACGGAGGCACCATGGTTGGGTAGTATCCACCTGACGTCGGCTTGCCCTCGAAAGGACCGCACCTTTGGTTCGACACGAATGCCCCAGGTTGGAAAATGCTTGGCAGCATGGCCCCCTCGGGATCCCGCTTAACTCTTTCGTGAAGTGGGTCGTAGGTTGGTGTCATGTGCGGTACCAAGTTGTCCTGCGCATGTCGACTGTGGGTGAACATTTCCACGCCGCCCCTCGAATCGCTCGTGTCGTAGATGTGGCCTGGATAGTATTGGTACTCCTTCGTCGTTTCAATGGCTTTGGCGTCTTCCGGTGGCAACATGGTTTCGAGCTCGGGGTGGTGTCGAGTCGACCCGTAATGACCGCTTCCCCGAGAGTCAAAGCCTCCCCCATATCCGCTTCCCACCATCGTACCTGCGGGCCCAAAGTCGGAACCCATGATCGGGTTGTTGGAGTAGCCGGTGAAGCTCCCGCCAGAGCCTCCTGGACCGCTGCTTGTGCTGGCGCGCCTCTCGCTCTGGTAGTGCCCTGGTGACCGGCCACGCACAATCATCTTGGCCGACTTTCGATAGGCGACCCGCACATAGTTGTCCGGGCCTTGCGTTCCTACATCGGCCCACAACTCAATCAGAAGGTGATAGTATTGTTGGGCAGCTCGCCTCTTTCCGTTGTTTGCTGTAGCCTGCTTGAACTGGATGCGCTCAAACGTGTGTTCCGTCTGGTACGAGTCACCACCACCTTGCTGGCCACCAAATCCTCCCGGGGCGTCATAGATTCTTGACGGACCTCCCATGTTATCGTGGGAGTAGAGACCGTTGATGGGATGTGACATTTGAGGATGTTTCGGGTGGAGGCGCACTTTGCCTGGCTTCTCGACGGGGCCTTTATCTCTCTTGGGCGTATGCTGTACGAGGTCGATAACGTGGGTATCATTTTCAGCGACAACGGCCGAGATGGACATGGCAAAACCGAGAACCGAGTATGGCTGTGTTGAGCCTTGCGGTGTGAATTGTAGAGCCTGGCCGGGGAAGTGCGGGGTCAGGCCGAAGGAGCAGATGCAAGAAAAGTAGTTCCTCCTGTAGCAGGTCCAGTCTCCTTCAGACTGGAAGAAGCCCTTGTCGATGTTGCCTTGTATGTCAATCTTGACTTGCCCCATGCTTCCGTCAGTGTATTGGAGGATTCCGAGGGGGGTGATGCTGCCCAGCGGAGGCACACTCGCCTGTGCCCTCGAGGACGACGAAGGGTAGTGACCGGCGTCCATCCTCAGAGCCGCGGGCGCCGTGAAACCGGTAATGGGGCTGGAAGTTGGCGAGATGGGGTGACGGCGTAGAGCAGTTGGGTATGATGGAGATCTAGGTTGGTGCTCCGATACCCTCCTGAAGGATGGCGTTGCTGAAGAATACTGGTCTCGAGTGCTGATGTGTGTGCCGGGATGGGGTAATGCTGTGGAGCGGTGGGCATGTGCCATGCCCGTTGAAGAGGTGCTACTGTCAAGTAAGTCTGTGAGTTTGGCCATGTTCTATCTTGACAGGATAGGATCGATTTCATCCGGTAGCGTGTCGGAGGGGGGCAACAGTGTGCGACCTACTTTGATCCCAGGCGAGGCCTGACGTCTAGGCTGGGGTAGACGTGGTGAGAGGCGGCAGGATGGTAGAAGCCGCCGTCAGCGGTGTACGGAGTGGTGGTGGTTATAGGTGGATTGAACAGGTTTAAGAGTGTCGGCTGTTGTGGCGGGCCTTCGATCGTCGACAGAGAAGCATTGGCGTTGTGTTCGTAACTGATGTTCTCGTCAGCCCAAGTGGCTCCCCGAAAGAAGAGGCTTGTACAAAGCAAAAAGGTTGGAGCCTGGCACGACAACTGCTGTGTCCGCGTCCGCATGCGAGACACAGTGTCAGTGCTACCTGCTCGTCGTACTGCCAGCAGCGTGTTGCACAACGGCCAGCGGATACAGGATCGGGTCATGCGAGGACACACAACCATCTCGCGGCGATAGGCGGGAGCGCCTGCGGATTTCTAGTCGCACGTTGGTTGCCAGAAGGCAGCTACCCACGCCTGTCCATCCTTCGCCGCTGCAAAGATCAAATCCCCTTGCCTCTGCATACGTCTTGTTCCGCGTCCAAGGCACGCCAGACCAAGAGGCTGAGCCGAGATCCGATCAGAAAAGAAGAATTCGAGCCAAAGAGTCTGTATCTTTAGTAGGGCTTGCAGAGTGAGGAGTACGATTGGCAAGTCGGTGGTGGAATTCTGACCAGGGCTCCGAATAATTGGATACCCTGAAGAAGACCAGAACCGACCAGGTCTGCACACCGCAGTCCCGCAGTCCCGCAGTCCCGCAGTCCCGAGAAAGAAGCAGAAGCCGAGTCCGCCCAGACAAGGACCAGACAGACAGAAGTCGAAAGCAAATTCAAGGAGAAGTTAACATACCGCATGTCATTGCTTGAAGCTGCTTGCATATCAAGGTAATCATACCCTGTCGACGGTTCGAACTCCTGTTTGGATGGCAAGCACTTGTTAGATCGTAGCCTTTTCTTTTTGGAAGAGTGAAGAGGATGGGAATAAGAAGGAGATCTCGCAAAGTGATCTGGATGCTGTGCCGTTGCTGGAGTAGTAGCCGGGGGGAGAAGCTGTGGGTGTTGCGGGGGCGAGACGCCTCAGGCGTGTTCCGCCACAGACAAGTAGACAGAGGGGACAAGTGAGTGACCTGCGGCGCAACCATGGGCGATAGTTAGCTGGGCGTGCCAAAGAGAGACATCTTCCCACCAGGAGGTAACATGCGATAAACTAGCTTGAGAATGAGGTAGAAGAGGGAGGGGTGAATGCTGCTATTGGGGTTGACCGGTCTGGGCCTGGTCGGTCTCATTGAGCCCGACCGATGAGGAGACACGGTGGATGCAGCGGCGGCAGAAAAGCAACGGCAGCGGAAGCGGCAGCGGAAGAGGAAGAGGGAGATAGCGGAAGGGGAAGGGAGAGTGAGAGAGGAAAAGAGACTGAGAGAAAGAGAGAGGCTAAGAGACACGGGGACAGACAGAGACAGAGGGAAAGAGAGAGTTTGTGAGAAGGTGTGTGTGTGTGTGTGTGTGTGTGTGTGTGTGTGTGTGTGTGTGTGTGTGTGTGTGTGTGTGTGTGTGTGTGTGTGTGTGTGTGTGTGTGCGAGTGAGAGTGAGCGTAAGAGAGAAAGAGAGAGGTGAAGAGAGGAGGCAACATGGGAAAGACACGGTACAATCCAATACCATCAGGCACCACAGTGTACTTGCTTGCATGCCTTGCAGATGAGCGAGCCTGCCGACAGGCTAAAGTGATAAGTCTTGCAGAGCAGACATACACACTCTCTCTCATCTGCATGCTCTCACATCTCCCTCTCAAAGCTCATAAACCTGGCCGGCACACCTCACATCACCACAGGAGTGAGTGGGTGAATGAGTGCAAGGCACCGCGATGCCCCCTTCCCAGCAGCGCGCACTTTGTGTGTCGAGGGACAAGGCATTGATGATGGTGGTGGTATTGGTGGTAGTACCAATCGTCTCCGAGTCTTGTGTTCCTCATCCCATGAGATGGGCCTATGGAAATTCAAGGTCCCAAAAGAGAGAGAGAGAGAGAGAGAGAGAGAGAGAGAGAGAGAGAGAGAGAGAGAGAGAGAGAGAGAGAGAGAGAGAGAGAGAGAGAGAGAGAGAGAGAGAGAGAGAGAGAGAGAGAGAGAGAGAGAGAGAGAGAGAGAGAGTGTGTGTGTGTATGCGTGTGTGAAAGAAAGAGCAAGGAATCGAATAGAGCACAGAAGCATGCGCCTGGAACAATTGCATGCATGTTGGCTGTCCTGAATGGGCGCCCAAATGTGCTCTGTTCTGCTGCTGCATTGCTATGCTCTCTTCCCTCGACCTTGTTTTTTCCTTTCTTTTTCTTCTTCCTCTTCCTCTGGTCTGAATGCAATTCCAAGGGGAGGCCGGTGATTTGAGATGGCGAGAGGGGAAAAAATGAGAAACAAGACGAACTCAAAGTGCAGTCGACGAATGTGTGCAAGGCATGAGAGACATTGGGAAAAGCAAAGAGGGCCAAATCGCGTACGCACCTTTTAGCGAAGCCTCACTCGGCCCGCTTCCTTGCCTGTCCGTACTTCGGGACAGGATCAGGCCGTCGGGACGTGGCTAAGAACGTTCTCCGGGCGTGGACCAGCCCTCGACTCGCCCGCCCTTCCTTGCCTGCGCCACCAGTTGAAGGCGTTGTTGGTTTCTGCGCGTCTGTCTCGTTCGTCTTGTCCTGTGCGTAAATGTCTTGTCTTGCAATGTCTCTCGTCTTGCCGATAATGCTAATTTGTGCCGGATCGTAATCGTGATGTGCTGACAAGCTGTGCAGCAGATCCGACCCCAGCCGCCGACCGATGGACGGGGTTTTGACCGATTTAATCAATCAAAGTTGATGAACATGCCGGTCCATTGTTGTTATTGTTGTTGGTATGTTGCAGCACCCGCCGCAGCTGTTGCTCCAGTTGATTTCGATTTCCGGGTACGGAGTAAGGGCACAGCGTCCGTTGCGATCCGATGTAAAGGAAATGGGAGGGAAAGAAGGGAACGGAAGGGAAGAGAGCTAGGGAACGAAGCGTAAAAGTGACATTGCAGGGGGGTGTTGGTGGTTGTTCGATCAGGTAAGGCAGGCCAACCAGGATAGGAACATTGTATCCATAAGGAGTCACCTCATGAAGCGAACCGCGAAAAAGGGAGGGATTCCGAAGGGGGAAGAGGGGGGGGAGAATTGGATTACGGATACGGTACCTTTGGTAGCTGTTGAGAATTCATACGACGGTCGTCCCCCGCGGCCACGAGGGGTGTCGTGCCGTAGTAGAGGGGCGGTGATCTGGTGCTGATGCTGGCGCTGGTACTGGTGCTGGCGCTGGAACAGCGCTCTCGTCGCCCCAGTTCCTCGATCCTCTGTTTCGACACCGCAACTGTCAGCACACAATGTTCCCATAACAAACATCCTGGTTCCATTTCCAACCCAACCATCCCACCAACACAGGCCGCCAAACCGCCCAACCCTCTTCCTCCACCCGTATCTTTGAAACGTAACCAGACTGGCTCGCTTCGGCTGATTGTCATTCCCAGATACTCGGTCCTGGCATGCTTCGCTGCAATGCCCGCAGACTGTTCTGACTCTTCGCTCGGCTTCAAACATCGACTCGAACGACCTCTTCCCAAGACTCCACGCGGGATTATGGGGCTTCATCACTCACCGGTTGACTCTCCAAGAGTGCCCCTGTCATGCCAAGGGGTTGCGTGCAGCTCTTTATCCTGCTTGGCCTAACCAATTTGATTCTGCCGTCAGCAATGGACCCAATTTGCGTCTCTGTCAGAAACAAACGTGGCTGTTTCTTTTTGACCCATGAACGCATCCCAGACTGCTCCAGCATGATCGATCGATCGTGTTAGAGACACCGCCGTTGATCCACGGATTGGGCAAAAACATCATCACGCCGTTAGAGCTGTGCCGTAGCCATTGACAAATCCTCTCCGCGGGTTCCAAGACCATGCAACATACATAAAGCTGCTGTTTTTTCCCGCCGATCTGGTTGCGCACTCCTAGTTGGAAATGGTCTGGCTGGGTCGTCCTCCTCCGCACTAGGTAATCACCAGAGAACGCGGTCTCACTTACTCGCAGGAAGAAGAGCACGGCAAACTGCTATACCTGACATGAAGTTAGTCTTTATTTTTTATTTTTATTTTTTGTGTTTTGAGGAATGAATGATGCAGCTGCCTCATCAACAATGGCCAGCAAGCAAGCGATTGTTCCCGTCCGCAATAGAGACGAATCGGATTCTGACGCGGGGGAACCGGCAAGATGGGTCCTAGCCAACGGACCCTGGTGCAAATCGCGCTGAGTTGCCACCCTCGACGGATCAAGGGGAGCATCCCGCCAAATAGACGTGGTGTAGTCTACGAGGAAGGGGGAGAAGAGTTGCAGTTTGCACTTACTGAATGAGAGTTTTCCCGCTTGCCAACTTTTCGGGTTGATCAGATAGCAGACTCGTGTTGACTAAAGTCTTATCTGTCCAAGTATCGGATAGGTTTTCGATGTGAACTGTTGTGGGCTGTTGTGCAAGGAGTACGCAGTAACTCGAGCAGTCGATACTGATAGCTTCTGTTCGCTGTGAATGGTGATATCGAAGTAGTCTCTGTCCTAGAGATGTAGTTTACTAAGTCGAAGAGTCTACGAGAGGCCCGAAAAAGTGCAGGATCTTGGAAGCAAGGTATCTATATACCCTGCCAGAGGAACCCCAGATGTGGCTGGTTCAAGATCGCACAGAGAAGCAGAGATGGATTGGAGGCTCAAATTGCGACTAGATGCTGGACGCAGTTGCACAGGCCAAGAAACAACGGACAGCTGAGTTTCGCAAGCAGACGTCCTGCCGATGTCCTAGAGGCCCATGGTGCAAAGAATACAACTTACAATATCGGGGAGAGGTAGGGCGGGGGCCTCCGCGCGCCAGCAGCAAATGGGTTGTGCAGTCTCTGAGACAACGGTAAAAAGAGACATTCAGTCGTGCGGCACTGCGGAGAGCTTCCAGAACCCCCGGCCGACTTCTGAAAAAGACGTGCTTTGCCTGCCTTCGGTGCTTCCTTTGCTAGAATACGATGACGGGCGCGTAAGCCGAATGCGCAGGGTAGGAAAACTTCCCATCGCCAAGCCGTCAAGCAAAGGTACCGGGGACCGGTTAGGGCCACAGTCGAGGTATTTTGGCCAGGGGGGTGGGAGTCTGTACAACTCGACTTTGCTGCCGGCCAAACTCATCAATGGCCCAGGTCCATGGGGCTATTCAGGCAAGCAAGTGTTTGTGGCCGTGTCTGAGGGTGCACTCAAGATGGGATGATACTATGCCACTCATCAATCCGCGGGCTGACAAGCGTCCAAGCCTGATGACTAGAGACTCTTAGCCCAAGCAACGTTTCCATCGCCAAATTCTGTACATGATACAGCAGATGGATTCAGGCTTGGATCAAGGCAACTTCTTCTAACCAAGGAGCGAAGGATCTACTGACCTGCATCGGCGGGTAGCCGGATCAGTCAATGTCCCTCGGCTGGTGAGCGGAAGACGACGCCTTCCAAGCCTCGCTGAGTTTTCCTTCCATGCATCAATTCTGCACCTACCCGTTCATCCAGGGCCTTGATGAAACGCCACAAACAACCCCTTCAGATAGGGAAAGGATTTGCCCTTGGCAACGAGGTGGGCTATCAACGGCAGCTTGCAGTCGTCGTGAAAGTAGGCCTTGGGCGTTTAGCGGACAATCCCGGCCATTGAGATTTAAGTGTCGGCATGACGTCCAGATTCGACCGACACCTTGCGTTTAGTGTCGTCGGATTGGTTGAAAGAAGTTAATGGTAGCGAATTCGTTCTGGGGAGCTCTGACCTCGTGTCATCGGAACAATTGTATGCAGCCAGAGAACTTCAAGTCTGGGCTGACGGGGATGGCGGAGGCAGCCTCACATCTTCTACAGCCACACCAAAGATACGTTTGGCAACAATCGTGGTCTTGTTGAAGATCCACCACGTAGCTTTCGGCCCTAAACCCGCCCATGCGACCCAACATCATTTGGTGGCTTGTCTATGAGCACAACGCTCGAGCTGCCCCAGAATCGGCCCTGATGAACCATGGTTAGACTCGACCTGTAGAGACGTGTCTCGGCCGGCAGAGACAGGCTCGCCACATGACACGTGCGATGAGAATAGGGTTTCGCCTTATTCTGGTTGACAGGTTGCCATCGGACCATTTCTCCCCACGACACTGTGTTCCTAGGTTGGCTGGGCTTACTTTGACTAGTGGCTTGAGTGACCGTACGGATACTGAATGCCTCTCCGCGGCTGGCAAGACCGAACTCATCATCCATGGAATCGAAGCATGACAATGCAGGATCAAAACAAACTTGAGCCGTGCCTCTTCGCGGGGATCCAATGGGATGTCGCAATACCCGAGAATGGTAGAAAGGCAGGCAAAGCTAATTCCAAACAGATCTAAAGATGGTGCAGACCGGCCAATCTCTTTCCTGAGGTCAACAATCCTAGTGTCGGGAAGATAGGCTCGGCACCTCGTGTTCACAAGTGCAGACTCAATATAGGCCAGTGCGTTAGCTGATCAAGTCGTTTGTGCAGGTTCCCGTTGACTAGTCCAGAAAGATCTAGACAATTGTACCTGATGCGCGCGCCACCATACATGAGGCACGGAGCCAACTTCATTGTTTCAGAAGTCTGATTTCCGGATCTTTTTGGGCCACCGGACTGGCCGGTTGACTTATGACCTGATATCCGTGGGGGAGAAGAATCAGTCCAGCAGGACAGGGTTTGCACATTGGACATTTTGCTGCTCACGGCCAGCACTCGTGAGACAAATCTTGACCAAATGAATGCTGATGTATCGAGGCTAATTGGCAAGCAGCTGGTCGAGGATGGTCCAGTCACGTCGGATCGGGCCGCTCGAATTTGAGTGTGGCCGTTTCTTTGGCTCGTTTCAACGCCACCACCGCCGCTGCTACCGCTGTTGCTAGTACCGACGGGACGGCAGAGGTGTGAGGGGCGCTGACGATTGCTCTGTCGTGTCCGGCAGCATGCCATCGACATGCAAATCATAATGCGCCGCCCGATTCAAATGTAGCTTAATCTTCCAGCACCATGTGCCGGATTCTTCGTCGTCGCCTGCGAGATGGAAGTGTAAAAGGCACCATTTCCCCATGTTTCTTCCTTTGCCTGCTTCCATAGATCAGATTTTGTGTGATGTGACGTATCACGGACACCAGGGTCCTCTCAGTGGTGGGCGGACACTGGCTAAGGGGCAGAAGATTTGACGGCGGGCTTGCTTCAGTCAAGAAGCTGTTGTTATTGTTGCTGATGGTCTGGCGTGCAGAAAGCGAGTTGCTGTTGCATGAGGCCACAACAGGGGGGTTCAATGAGGGTGGTGACACAAGAATTTGCCGGGCAATCTGGAGAATTGCGGGAATAGAAGATGTTGCCAGCATGGGGCTAAGCGGGTGCAAGACTATGCTTCGAGGTCGATATATAGATCTCATTGGTGTGCGTCCGTGGGTTGATGTGATGGGCCATTAAGGTATCCAGGCTATGTCGCAACTTTGTCAAGCGTTGACGTTGGGTGGGATCAGGCTTCGTATCTAGTGTAAAGGCCACAACAGCCGCACAAGTTGAACATTTGGGGGTTTGGTACGGATACAGGGCTGGCGAGCGATCCATGGCCTGGGAGGCGAGTGGAATGAGCTGAGGGCGGCATAATTATTGCATTGTCGTCTATCTGTAGGCTCCTTGCTTTCTGCTTGACGATCCGGCCCAGCTAGGTACGGAAACGTGTGCACTAGGCAGGTGTGAGCATTATGAATGCTTTTCTCGTTCAAAGTGGGCGACGTTGACTTGCTCCCAGGTGTCCCAGGTGTCCTAGGTGTCTTGTGGGAGGTCGTGAGCGCCAAAGAGCGATCAATGAGATGCTGTACAGTGGTCAGCAAGGAGCCATGCATCTTAAGCCCTCGAGGAAAGGAGGAAACAAACATGTACATGCGGTGTGGTGTGGCTGACGGGCGTAGTCGATGAACAGTCGTTGGCCAAGGTGGTCAAAAGAGCCTGCACTGTCTTGGATTGGTGACGGAGGTGAGAAGATGGAGGGGATGGGATGGAGTTGACGGAAATGGGAAGTCTTCGCACGGTACGGTGTAGAAGTGGAGTCCCAGGTGAATGTATCAAGGGTCAAGTGGATCTTCCTATTGGCTAGCGGGAGAGTGCCTCATTTACACGGCCCAACCTGCATAGCATCGAATCTTCATCTTCACAACTGCAATGGATGGATGACACGGCACTCTCCTCTCCTCTTTGATCCCCGGTACGCCGAGTCACCGACCAACATTGAATGAGGTGGACCTGATGTAGGCTGCCTGCCGGAACGAGCTGCTTCCCACTGCTCTCACACACTGTGCCTTTCTGTGCCTCCGGCCCTATGAGGTAAAGGCAGGTACTCACCACCCCACCCCCTGTACATTTTGGCTCTGCTCCTTTACTTTCAAGTTCACCAAGCTCCGAGACGTCTTCCTCTTCATATCAATCACATGAAGGCTCGACGAGATATCCTCTTGCCGTGACTACAGCTGGATCTGTTTTTGGGCCTCATCCGATGCCTTGGGTCTCCGCTGGCTCGCTGCATCTCTCGCTGGCACTGCCGATCCGAGGCCCTCACCGACTCTTCAGAGGCACATTCAGTCCTCTGCCATACTGCATCGCGCCGCAATCGGGCACCTTTCGACCTTCGCCTCGTGTTTTTGGCCTTTTTCTGGCTCTTGCCTTGCTACACCGGTCGCTTCACCTCTCATGCCTCGTTCTGGTGCTTGTCCGGAAACATTGTTTTGCTGGACAAACACCCACCCCTTGGAGGGCCATAAGAACGTGAACCATGGCAACTATGCTGTTCAGAACCGAGGCCAGGCCCGATACTGTGTCTTTCCTGTATTTCAGACAAGTTGAATCGGTGCTACTGGCCTCGCTCGCTTTTTTAACACTTTTGTGGTCCAAGCCGGTCATCTACTCCAACAACAGCTATCACGGCTACATGACTGACCAGCCAGCAGATAACCCAGCCTAATGACCAGTGTTTAACACTCTAGACTACTCCATACAGAAGCTCCTTATACAGCACATAAATTATGAGTCCGGGTCATGACCAAGACCACTGAGCGTGAGTCTTGACCGGACCGTGTCCCGAACCCGCTCCATGTACTCCTTTGTACCTCTAGAGTCTTTCTGGTACCATACGACGGCTTGCCACATGTTTTCTCTTTCGGTGTCATTATGGCCAAGTTTTCTTGGGATGAGCCATGCCTCCGGATCACAATCTATCGCTGACTATTCGGGTCAGGCGTCTGACTGCTGGTATCAACGCTACTTCTTCCCGGCCTAACATCCCAGGAATGTCTCGCAGCGCGACCTAGCAGGACAACAGGAGAGCCAAACGGATCGTCTCTCTTACATGTCCGGTCATCAACCCCCTGCAAAGCAATCAAGCATACACAGGCCACTTCGACAATGTAACAGCCGCTGCAGCGACTGTGAGGACCGGGTCTTTTCTATCGGACACTCGGTAACAAAGAAGCAAGTATGCAGAGAGAGCTATCAAAAGGTTGTGGCTCTACTCCCCGGTCCTAAAGAACTCTCCCGCTACATGCGGCGTCCGCGCCGCAGACTCGACAGGGAGTGCGTTCCCAATAAGGCTTCTATCAGCAGGCCTCCTTGCCTAAACATTTACAAGGGCTGTGCAGTGGCGGGAGAAGACAAGGCGAAACAAAATTCGAAGGGGGTGAGTAGTTGACAGTGGCCGGCCTACGACTTCTCGTCTCATTCGACGTGGGTATCTAAGGCCTTGACTTGGCTTATAATTAGCCACCCCCGTCTCTGTACGGCTTGCGGCAGAAGGACCCGGCATGCTGGTTGCCTTACGAAATTGTCAAAAAGGCGGTCAAGGGAGAAAACCTACAGCATTTATTCTACGAAGAGCCATCTCATCAGCTTCAATTCCTCGATTCTCACTCCCGACACTTACCCCCCGACGCTCTCTCTGTCTTCGCGGAATTTGTCTCTCGCGCAAGGTCAACCCGACAAGCCCAAGCTCCTAAGTAAAGGAGCGGGTTGGCCGAGGAGCAGTGAGAGTACCGGCCTAGATTTCTTTATGCCATTCCAGCAAGAGGAAAGTCTCTTTGGCTTGAATATCAGGCATCGTGACTTCTGAGCACACCACACCCCCTGTCCTTGCAGGACTGTACCCCTTGGGGCGGCAACATTCATTCCAGGTGACACAAAGAGGGCTTTAGCCGAGAGGACTTCCACATCATGAAAATTTGGCAGGCAGGAAGGGGAAAGGGACTGGGCTGTCTCAGTGAGGACATCCGGCATAACACAATAAGGGTCCGATCACTGTCTTTCGGTCTCAATTACCAGGCTCATTTTGGAGAGCCACAGCGTATCGCTCAAGACACTAGAATCGGTTGAGTCTTGGTATAGGCAAATCTTTCGGGACCGATGGCTCACATGTCGCAGATCGGATAGTGAATGCTACGGTCTTGATTGTTTCGAGGCTACACGGTGCACATGAGCAGTCTTCTTGGAGCCATTGCCCTGGGATCGTCACGACATCCACGGGCTGTGACTGCCCATCTACCGAAAGGCCCCTCCCCGACGGCCTCCCTAATGGTAGGGTTCTCATCACGTTGCCTTTGATGTCGAATCTAGCCAATGTTGGGACACAGATTTCCGAATTTGTTCGCTTTCTCCTTCCAGATTGGGACTGTCAATCTTGAATTGTCAAACGTACAAGACTCAGTCAGCAAGCTTTTTTGCCACCAAGCGCCATGTTTCTTCCCCATGACTGGGCCCCTGACCATGTTGTGTAAGGCATCTTACTTCCCCGCTGAAGGCCTCCGTCACAACACAATAGGATGATTGGCAAAGGATCAAGAGCGGTCGATCACCCAGGTTGCCCGCCCTGGTCGTCCTCGGATATCCCTGAAAACCGTCCCAGACTGCCTACAAATCTCTGTCCGCGGGCTAGCAGCGTGCTCCTTACCCGTCTGTCGTCTTAAGCGTACAAGAGTACCAAAACTTAAAATGTCGCGCCATTCGCAAAAGCCAACGACGAACACCGTGTGCATCCAAGACGCACGTTGTTTCCTAGGGCCAGTTTCAGGCCCGCCTGTCAGGAGCCTGCCATGGGCTTTTGTGGATGCAACGTTGGACGGGCTCTTTATGATAGACCCATGGATTCATCGGCTACCGGGTCCTTTTCGACGTCGAGGCAAGCGCTGCCACGCTTCCGACGTGGCTTACCTGCCTGGAGTATCATAACAGCTCTGGTTCGTACGCCAACATCTGGGTCCAAAGAAGGCCTAGCCCTCGATGAGGTCAAAATGATGTGATATCTTCAACGGGCTACTAACTCGTGATTACGGTAGCCCAATAGGATGACGTGAGGAAAGTCAATCGATAGAGCCAACCGTGCGGCTACCCGATCTTCAAGGCGCGTAGCAAAGTCCACCTCGCCCGGCTACCACCATCTTCCCAGTATGGGTCCATGGATGATTCGAGACAGTTGTTGACAGCAACAGCTGAAAGAAACAAGACAGGCAGCCTATTCTGAGCCCGGGTAGGCTCAAGAACGTCACACAAACACTATCTGGCCATGAGGACGGAGTTGGCGAGTATGATGAGTTGTGATATGGCGGCTTCTTGCATCGAGACCGCCATAATAAGCCAGTCCCAGATGAGAGGATGGGATGAGGTTCAACGGAGCCATCGCCATTCCTCGGTGTCGGTGGCGTCCATGACATGCATTGCGCATCAGTCACGCCCCGCATTGGAGTGCCCGCTCCATGGACAGTTGCTGATGAACTCTTCTCCTAATCGATCAGCGCGCCTCCGACAGCGTCCCTGGGTTGACAATGGTGTACTATGTATGGGTTCCATCTTGATGCCTAGGCCTTCCATTTGAGTGAAATTTACGCCGCCTGTGCTGTCCCAGACGCCAAAGATCACCGCGTACATGGCAAACACGATGCGCCAGGCTTGCTTGCCGCATGCGGGTGGTCAAGCAGAGGATGCCTCATCTTGGGTAGAATCAGGGTATGGAACGCCCTGAAAGGTCCCTCATCTTGGAGTGCCCCTGCTAAAACAGTAGACTGAAAAAGGGGTGGCACAAAGATGGCGGATGTAGTCTTAAACTCTATGATGCTATTGGGTCTAGCGGCAGTCGGGTTTGCAAGGTGAGGACCTTTCTCACATTTTCGTAAAAGTGATGGAACAGAAACAATAGAAGTTGATTGGGAGACGAGCACCTAAACCCCCAGAAGGCCTGTCAGTCGGGCCGTAGAGGTTGTTGTTGTTGTGAAGGGGGCCCGAGTCAATTCCATTCCATGTCCGAAGTGGGTCAAGCCACAAGGTCGTGGATGTCAATGGTTCAGGACCTGCCGAACCGGTCGACCGGCAGAGCGGGTCCTGCCTGTGTCCGGGCCGGGGCACCTTCTTCGCGCATCCGAACGCTCAGACCATGGGTTTGCCCCAAGGTGGAAAGGCCCTGCCGCCCGACTCATTCAGTGATTCAGCATTGAGCAAGGGCACTGGGGAGTCTGGAAGTCCGTGTAAACCCGGGACTCAGTCTGGACTCTACGGAGTAACCAGCCCTGTGGAGGGGAAGCAGCGTATTAGCGCTTGTGGGCGGATCCAATTGACAACTGGCGGAAGCTGACAAACAACAAAACGAGGCGCATGAGGGGTGCTTATCACATTGCAGCATGACGTTTGTAACGTTTCCCCCCCTTCCAAGCCACGCTACGGCCCTTATTCGATCCTAAAGCTAATTAGGGCATCAATCAATCCTTTGGTGAGCAACAACTGCCCAGGGAAAGCGAGGCAATGACTCTGCTGTTCTCATCTCGCCCTGCAGATTGAGCTGCCTGACTGACTGACGGAGCTGCCTGTGACTCACAGCAAGAAAAAAAAGAGTAATTGGCGACTCATCTCGTTGTTGCTGACGCTTAACCCAAGGCGGATGCAAAAGGCGGCAACAACATTCCAGAGTACAGGGAGTACATAGCGACAAAGCCTCGCCGCCTGGAAGCTTGTTTGCTCTGCTCTGCAACAACGACGATCGACAACAACGACGAGAAACCTACCTTGGCTTCTCCACCCCCCGCCTCAACCTCCCCTTCGGAAGCCTCCTCCCACAGCTTCCCCCTTCCATACCTCCATCTCTCGCCCGGGCATGACTAAGAAAAGGCATCAGGCGTTATACTCGAAGCCGCAGTCAACTGCCCCGTCTTCATTGGGTGCCTCAGCTTCAGCCTCTTCTTCTGCCCGTAAGTCCAGCTCCAACCCCACGCCCATTGCACACCCCCCGGCCGTGGTCCCCCTCTCTCCTCTCTCTAACCCATCCTTGCCTTTCCTCTGACCGAGGTCTTCTACGTGACGTCGCTTCGGCCACTGACAACGATGCAACACAGAGAACCAACGTAGGGGCGTTAACGAACTTTTGGCTGATCTTCGTCGGTCATCCTCCCGTGCTACCCCGACAGCATCAGCAGCAGCATCGGCAGCGACCACGCCCACCGTCCCACCCGCTCTGCGACAGATCCTCCAGATCCCAGAGACGCCTCCGCCAGCACCCAGGCGTGTCCCAAGATTCGACGCTACAGGCAGACGAGTACCACCTGGCCCGCCACCTCCGCGCAGCTGGTTATCACGATCCAGCCATGTCCAGCGCGCGCACGCGACCGCCGCCCACCGCGGCGCCCAGGCCATGGAGGGTCTGCCTGGCACGTACGAGCCGGACAAGGGCAGCCTGATGGACCTTGTCCTTCGAAGGATGGCCCTGAACTGGGAGCTCCATAAAGATTACGATCAGTACTACTTGCACACGCTGCCCAGCCGCGTCAGGGCCTCGTTGGCAAAGTATGTTGGCGTATGGCACGAGGGCGGCGCATCCGCTGCAGACCTGCACAACATTCTGATTCCTCCTGCGGCGGCGCACGAGGGCCAGCAGCCACTTGATGTCGACGGCCTTGTGTCCCTGAACAACGACGTCTATTCCCTCGACCTGACTGGCTCGGTGGGCCACTCCATGACCGTCAGGGAGTTGGCCGACGTTCTGTTCCCGCAGCAGCTGGCGAGCGCCGCCGAGGCCGTGCAGGATTCTTGGGACACAGCAGAGGCGCCCTCGCTCCCGCCGAAGCTTCTCCCCAACATCACTCACCTCTGCCTCACCGTCGCCTCTAGCGCGCAGCAAGGCGGTGGGACGACTGGCGTGTCATGGAAGCAGCTCCTCTCGCTCGCGGCGAAGCTGCCCACGCTCACGCACCTGAGCCTAGCGTATTGGCCCGAGCCGTCGCTGACGCCCAACGCAAAGTTCTCCAAGATTGCGTCGTCTGATGGCCGCGCCGAGACTTACTCGGGCACGGGAGCGTACGCGCACACTCTGGACGATGACTGGTCCGAGGCCGTCATTCTGCTGAGGAAGCTGAGCAAGTGCCTTTACGGGCTGGAGTATCTCGACCTCACGGGCTGCGGCACGTGGTTCAAGGCGCTCATGGCCAACGTTGACGGTGACAAGGTCGACTGGACCGGGCCATGGGGCAAGGTGTCCAAGTTGAAATTGAGATACGGGTATGAAATCAGCGTAGATACGCCGATTGCGGACCACGAGAGGTACCGTGAGGCGGCGCAAATGGCAAAGGCTATTGAGAAGTACATTGTAGCGCAAAGGGCTGGAAAGGGGAGATTCATCAACGTGGACAGTGATCCGATAGAGGATGTGCAAATGCCAATGATGCCGTTCATATTCTGAAGACGAGAAATCAAATTACAAAATATTCCTAACAAAGTTTCTGAACATTTGGTCCTTTTAGTTGAGAGTGCAATTGCCACATCATGTCCCAACGACTTTCACGCATCCTGTCCGCCAGCCTGCCGGCTCGCATCCCACAGCTCTCTGAACCTGCCCTGCCTCTGGTCCAACAGCTCCCGGGGATTCCCGACCTCGACGACGCGACCTTTATCGAGGACCACGACGCGATCAAAGTCGATGACCGTGTCTAGCCTATGAGCGATGGCGATGATTGTGTGGTGCTTGAATTCCTCGCGGATGAGATCTTTGACTATTCGCTCCGTGTGGGCGTCGACACTTTTGTCATTGTCAGTTTTAGGCACTAGAGAGCAAAAAGAAAAGAAAAGAAAGAAGGAGGGGGCATGAAAGGGGAGGAAGATGGCTTACCTGCTCGTCGCCTCGTCAAGGAGTAGAACCCGTCCGACATCTTTCCTGAGAATCGCCCTCGCGAGGAAGAAAAGCTGTCTCTGTCCGTGACTTAGCGCTTCCTCTGCGAACTGAGCTTCCAGTCCGCCGTTGTCGCGGATAGTATCCCACAGCCCGACGCGTGTCAATACCGAGACAAGGACATTATTGTTAGCATCGGCATCAGCTTCCGCATCAGACACCAAGCCTAGCGGATCGAGATTCTGGCGGACCGTCCCGGGTAACACGAACTGGTCCTGTGTTATCGCGACGAGGGCCGATCGTAACGGCAGGAGTGGGAGAGCGTCGATGGGAATACCGTCGATGGAGATTGTGCCGGAGGATAGAGGTAGGAGGCGCAGGAGGGCGAGGAGGAGGGAGGACTTGCCGCTTCCTGTGCGGCCTACGATGCCTGTTTTGGAGGCGGGGGGGAGGGAGAGGGTGATGCCGTCTAGAGCTTTCGCGGTGGCCGCAGGATGGCTCTCGGTATCAGTGTCTGGATAAGTCTGATCGTACGAAGCTACGACGTCGTGGAGCTCGATGGCACCGCGGGAAGGCCAGCCCTGGACGATCGCAGCCTCTGGAGCCTGCTGCGTTTGCCCGCCGGCAGCAGACTGAATCATCAGTGCCTCCCGCTTAAAAACATCCGCCTCAACCTCATCAGGCGTCTCCTCAGCAAAGTTCTTGATGCGTGCCACCGCACCGATGGAGGTCTCCAGCGAGGTCCAGAACTGGATGAGCATCTTGAGCGTCTCGGTGAAGGATATGAGCTGGACGAGGGAGACGCCGGTGAGGGCGACGGAGACCGTGTCGCGGAGGCGGACGGCGAGACCGACGACGAGGAGGGCGAGCGCCGTGGTGGTGAGGTCGAGGACGAGGGTGAGCCATTGCTGGGTGAGGAGGAGGATGTAAAAGGGGCGCTGGGAGCGGTCTATGAGGGCGTGGGCGTGGGTTATGGAGGGGGTTGTGAGGGAATGGGCGCGGAGGGTCGGGAGGCCTGAGAGGGTTTCGAGGAAGTGTGTGCTTGAGATTTGGTTAGGTTACGAAAGCTTGGAAGATGAGATCAAGGAGTTTGAGGAGGAGGGGATCTTACTAGACGGGAGCCTTCTCTTCGAGGTCTAGGAGGCGTAGTTGGCGCGAGGTGCGGAGGTAGGCACGTTGGATGTAGTAGAAGACTAGGATCAGGACGGGGAAGCTGATGGCGATGTACCAGGAGGCGGAAGCTATGAGGAAGGCTTTGCCAATGCAGGTGAAGAAGCCTGTCGGTGACGTTTGGGTTAGATCTCGCCGCTTTAGTTTGAGACTGGAGTGGGAGTGGGAGTTTGGTGGCTTACTTGCGAGAGAAACGACTAGAGCTAGGGGAAGGCTTCTATCTATCAGACCTACGTCTTGTGAAAACCTAGGCCGTATCAGTTTCATAGTATGAGGTGAATGAAGGTGACGTAAATTTAGGCTTACCGGGTGGTGATGGATCCGGTATCTGTTTTCGTGAACAGAGATAGAGGCGCGCTGTACAAGATATTGAGATTCACAGTCGGTCATTTGAGGGGTTACGGGAGATACTCACTGCATGACGGCCTTGAGGAGACGTTGGTGTAGACTGATGCCCGACTTTGAAGCAACTGGAACAAGAACGAACCTGAACGATCCAGGTTGTCAGCTTTTGACGTATTTATCAACTCAATGAGAGAGGGTTTCAGACTTACCAGATGAGGACCGCAAAGCACAAGACACCGCTAATTTGGAAAGCGGCATATACTCCGAGGTAGTAGGCATCGTGGCTCGCGGGACTTTCAGCCTGGGAGTCCGTCCAGAACTTCAACCACACGGCTGGTCTCATTTGTTAGCGATGCTTCTTTCGAGTGCTCCCGAAAAGGGTGTTGGTGAGACTTACTCGGAAACGTCGAGAAGAACGCCCATGTCACCTCCAAGGCCATCAAGACGGCCACGAGGGAGGCGCCGACGCTACCAAAGTAGTAGCCGTAGACGCTCCAGTCGCCCAGCTGCCGTCTCTTGTCGTCTTGCTCTTTTACTGTTTTGGCCCTCTTCTCTAAAGAGTCGTCACTTGTGGTCCTGTCTGCAGGCTCTTCTGACGGGGGGCTGCTCTCGTCCTGTTTCTCGGTGTTGGAGGAAATGAGACTCAAGACGTAGCCCTTGGCGTGTAGACAATCTTCAAAGCTTCCTTTCTCTGATATTTTGCCGTTCTCGAGGGCGATGATCATGTCTGACTGAGAAAGAAAGCTCACTGTATCTGCTTGTCAGCGATATGTATCATGAGGGTTGATGAGTGTTGAGCGGTTGATACCAGACTGAGTCGCGAGAACGATTGTAGTCCCCCAGGTCCGTAAGATTCCAGTCCTGGCACCAAAGACGCGCTGGAACACTGTCCTGGCTGTATGGTTATCTAAGCCGCTGAAGATGTCGTCAAACAGAGCAATCTGAGGGCGGGAATAGATGGCTCTGGCAAGTGCCTAAACCTTGTTAGTCGAAGAGGACGAATTCAGCCCATGGAACTACATACGACACGCTGCTTCTGGCCGCCACTAAGAGCAATGCCCTTGCTTCCGATCGATGATTCATCTCCATCTGGAAGCTGAGCGAGGTCCTTCTCAAGATCGCATGCATTGAGAACTTGTTGGTAGAGTTTTTGGTCAAAGTCGGAGAAGCAGATGATGTTCTTTCGGACAGTCTCGTTCTAAATATCTTTTAGTGATGCTCACACTTCCTCGTCTGTGAATGTACTTACAATGAGCCAGGGGCTCTGCTCACACCAAGAGACGCGATCGCTGGACAGGGCAACAGTTCCGGTGACGTGAGGCAGCTCGCCAAGAAGACCTTTTAGAAGTGTACTCTTCCCGGATGCAACTGGCCCCACGAGCATGACGAGCTGGCCTTGAGAGATGCTGAAGTCCATGAGATCAACTGCGGGACTTGTTTCGGGCTTCCATGCCAGCGTCGCTTCTTTCACCCGAATGGCGATAGGGCCAGTGGGCTTCGTATCTGGTGAAACCCGCCCTTTACCTCTCTCCAGATTCTGGAGTTGCACATCTTGAGAGTAGGAGCCCGTCCGCTCAGATGAGCCAGCAGGTGGTCCCGACGGAAGATCTCGATACTCTGCTCGCGGCGGCTCAGACAGGTACTTTTCGATGCGGTTGAAGCACCCCAGAGCCGCACTCATGTCGAGGACGACCTCGAACATCCAAAAGAGTGGCTGGGCCAGCAGTATGATCAACGACAGCGCGGCGAAGAGCTTCGTGGCGTCGAGTACTTGACCGTTCTTGGATGCAATTGTCGTGTACATGGCAAAGGCCACGACGGGGGCGATCATAAGGGGAACCTGGGCGACGGCGGACGTGACGGCGCCGATCACGCGGAAGGGAGTCGCCGCTCTCATCTCGGCGAGCCGGAGGTCGGCCAGAGTCTGGAAGAGTTTCTGGGTCAGACCCGACATTTTGATGCTCTTGATGTGGCCTATCATGGCCGAGGTGATTCCTTTGAAGGGGTCAGCAAAATATGCGTCAGGGGAGAGGATAATACAGACCAATGCGCTTCTGAACCTTTTCAACCCAGAGGATCTGGTACTTCTGAGCAGAGGGGGCAAGGCATACGGTGGCGCCCAGCGCGAATACCGACACAATGATCGGACCACTGGCTGCGTAGCCGAGGTGAGTGCTGAGAATCCATGTGGCGAGGGCGATTTGGATGGTGTTGGCCCAGAACTCATGAACTTCGCGCCAAGCACGAATGATGGCTTCAACCTGAGAGGCGAAAGTCAGTAAATGGTGTCGAAGATGGGAGGTGAAAAAGTGCAACGACTTACATCAGTTGACATGAGAGTCACAGCCGCGGAGTCGTCTCCCGGGGCGACACGCAGCTCCGTTGTCTTGGTGTAGATGGCAGCGACCAAGACGCCTCGGAGCATAGTCAGACACCGGAAAGCGGCGTGCCAGTAGAAGCTCGACGAGATGGAAATGCCCAGATAGACAAGGCCATAGGCACCAATGAGGCCGTAGCCATAGTTGACCGTCTCGTCAGGATTCTGCAGGAACTCAAGGAACCGGTTCAAGATCAGGGGCTGGCAAATGGTGAAGCCGAGCAGGAAGAGCCTGGGAAGGATAACTGCCAGCAACTGCCATTTCAGCGTGACGATGCACGTCCTGATGAGACGGTACCTTGGCGATCGTGATGCTTCGCTGGATTGGTCGCCCGTCGAGAGAGACGGGGACTTGTCCCAGTGAAGCCAGAACCTCTCATTCAGCACAGCAGCCGACATGGACCCGTCCAAGACGAACAGGTCCAGCGGCTTCAGGAGACGACGGAATCCCGTCAGCAGCAGCGGCGTAAGCCACCAAAAGAGACCGCGGCTGTAGATGCCGCTGGTCTCCTCGGGACTGTACGATGACTGACCACCGGCCGCCGACGACGACACGAGATAGCGCGTCTTCTCCTGGGCTTCGAGGATCACGATGGCCGTCTTGCACGCGAAAGACGCGGCGAAGACGGCACTGATGGCGACGCTTAGGTGCGACAGCCACATGGTGCGGAGGATAGCTCCGTCCAGCACCAGGGACACGAGGATATATGTATTCA